ATTAGATGGATGGGATGGGGATGGGATAGACAGACAGACAGACAGACAGACAGATAGATATATAGATAAAAAGATAGATAGATAGATAGATAGATAGATAGATAGGATAGGATAGGATAGGATAGGATAGATAGGATAGATTTAGTGGTTAATTGAATTGGTGGGTTGGTTGATTGATTTGATTGATTGGATGGATGGATGGGATGGATGGATTGGTTGATTGATTGAGAGCTGGTGGAGTCGTGGTCTCTCGACTTGCTGCAGCAGACGCTCTTCTTGACCATCTATTCACCATCTGCAATTGGCGACCACAATTGATACAAATCACGCAATTAAGACAAACAGCAAATCAATCAACACAAATCACGCAACTTGAGCCCTATTGCCTCTGACATTCTTTTCATTCATCCGTTCTTTCACATAATTTGATTGATGCATTGGCACAGCTGCTGAATAATAAATAAAGCCCTGGATGAGTAGAACAAAATGAACAATTGACTCAATTGACCAAATCACTTTTCAAGATGAAAATGACTTTGCCAAAAGTGCTTGTCAAAGAAATCCTGGGGCCCCCACCCTGAATCGAAGGCCACGCCTGGCCACTTGGATGGTAGCGCACTAGAATCACAAGCAATTGACACTTTGTTAGCATGTCAACAAATATATATGTCGAAGTTCAGCCTTGACATGTTTTCCACTGAATGTTCATGTTTTCAAGCACGGTACTCTTACTTTGAAAAGAAAAGGCAATTGGGCTGCAATTGTGCTTCAATTGACACACTTTCTATTTCTGGAATAATGGGTATCATGATGGTTCCTCAATTCCGTTTTGAAAGCACACCATGGCTTCAACAACATTTTTTGTTTTTTATAGTCAAGAGTAAGAGGACCCATACACACCCACTTCTGGAATCTTGCCAAAAACAGCTCACAGCAATTCTATCAGGAACCAAGCAGGCACTTTGGGATGGCTTCCGTCCTTGGCATGGGCGCAAATGAATTCGTTCAATTGATGGGTTTGGACAGGGAGAAGCAGGGGACACCACAGGCATTCCAATCTTAAAGAATGACATCCCAAGTGAACTGAAGCGCAGCAGTTTGAATTCACTACTTTACCACAAAACCTGGTCAGGGATTGAAGACTGCCAAGACTCATCAAAATTCAAAAGACAACCCACTCGCCATCCTCTGCTTCTGTGCCATCCTGCACAGCCAGCACACCTGACGCAATTGACAATGGTTGCCATGACGCAATTGACACCTCATCCACATCTTCCAGCTCCGCTTCAGCAGCCAACGCCTCGAGGACCTGTTCAGCAAGTCCAATGGTCCAAAATGAGCCAACTGACTTGGAAGCACTATCAATTGCTGACTAACCTACTGTGTTCATGACCTTACCATGCTTGGTTCATGCAAGTGCAAATCTATTGTCAATGAAATTCAATAACGCAATGTTCCAAGCCTCGATGTGGAATTCGCCGATGTACCACATTCGTCTACGGACCAAGTGTCCACACGGCGATATCTGATCACAAAGGAACTCATTGTCTGCAGCCAAGACGAAGTTGGTGTCCTTGCGGCATGCTTTGGGCGCATGCTCGCCTCGGCAGTTCCAGTCCCAAATCCGGAGAGTGCCATCCCAGCTCCATTTGCCATGCAATCCACTCCAGTGCAATGCTCCGCTTTTTGATCTGCCTCAGCAAAGCAAGCTGCTCAAAGACAATGTTCAAAACACATGAGGCAATTGAAACAATTGATGTCACTTGAAAGCACACTCAGAACAATGTTTACTTAAGGCAAATCAGTTCAAAACCAAGACACTCCGGAAGTTGCACTGCATAGTGTCCTTGCAGAGGGTCATCCACTCCGAGCGACGTCCGCTCCCAGAATGGTAGTAGTAGAACACATAGGCCACATGTTTCTGCTGCGGCTGTGCCACCACCAATGGCAATGGGTACTGGGACTCCTCGTTGCCTGGCTTCTTCTTGTCGTCGTAGTCCTTGTTGTCACCGGGCGCATAGCTACGAGGAATCTTGTTCGCCATGGCTTCGATCAATTGAAAGCAATTGAAGCAATTGACACAATTGACAATTGGCAAGGCAATATCGCTGGCTGGAATTTAAGTTAGTAGATGAATTTGATTTTGTTCAATTAAGTCGATGATTTCGATTTCATTCAATTAAGTAGATGACTTTGATTTTATAGTTTTTTTTACTTGCTTTCTAGAGTAGATGTCTGGCTAAATTGTCCAACTTCAATGCTTGAGTTCCTCTACCTAGTGTAATTGCATTTTGAAGTTTCTACTGTTCTTGAGCTGCTTCTCATACAACTCAGTCACTCAAACCCAAGAGACATCAATACTTGACACAATTGAGAGAATCTCTGCAATAGCACTGCATGAAGAACCAAATGAAATCAATCAGCTTTCCAGTTAAACAGGCGATGCCACAACAGACACTGTGTCACTGTTAGAAGCTTCAACATGTTATGTTGAAAAGAATTAAGACTGGAGCAGAACCGGGCCTTTCAAAAACATCTGCAGGCTCGAAACTTGGTTCAGGCCTCACATTGAAGAATGCAATGACATGACTGCAACACTTCTTGTTAGTTTCAATTTCAAGTCTGAACTCGATTGATTCAATTGACGCAATTGCATTTGTATGGAAGAAAGCAAGTCAAGTCAAATCATTGGTTCTGAGTACTGAGAGAATGACAAGCGCCCAGATCCTGCCACAGTTAAACCCTTCAATCAATAAGTTGATCATCGTTTTCCACATGTGACTGAACGAATCAATCATGTCGGCCATGTATGATGATGTTGAGACAATTGAAGCCATCAGAATCACTGACCACCCCTTGGTTTCTGCTCATCACTTCAGATGCTACTCAGTGTGTCAGTTGAGTCAGTCTCTTGCTGTCTGTGTCTACTGGCTATCTGGCGGGAGCGATTGTGGCTCTTGCACAGCTGGCTCTTCATTGTCATCCGCCACAGTGGGCAAATGAAATTGGATCAAAGGCGTACAGAAGAAGCCGCCGAACTCCACAGCGATTTCGCCTGCAGGTTTTCCAATTTCAGTCGAGTGAATTGACTCCAGCTGGCTCAGCACAATGATTCATGTCATGTGTGAACATTTGAAATTCAAAGGATTCCAACATTCACTTGACTCAATTGAGGTAGGCGCCCCTGTGGAAGATAATCAGGTTCGGCGCATTCTTGGGCATACTGGGCACCACCAGCCACAGGTCGTTGTCAATTTGCACATGGCAAGACCAGCAATTCGCCTGCAGCATGGCTGATGGTTCTCAACAATTTTTGGCATCGCAACGCACCTGGCAAAACCGATTGACTACTGAGTACTGAAAACCACATGGACTGAAGCAACATTATGATCCCACCTCAATGTCATCGTTGTTGAGCTCATCCAACAACTTCTGCAGATTGGCCTTCAAACGCAATTCAGGTTTCTCAACCAGTAACTTGGCCATCCTGTCCATCAGGAAGTCATGCAGCATCTCTTTCGCTTTCCTCACAGGCTGTAGTTTTGTAAATGATGCCTGGAGCCAACCATCAGGTTACTTTGACATCACTAAGAATCACTGGCAAGAATCTCTAGAGATGGGTGCTTCAGGCATTGATCTGCATCAACTTTGCGCCCTCCATCCATCCTCGGTTCGCTGACAATGCGAAAGCGCGCAACACCACATTTCTCAGAAGGTCCTTGAATTTTATTTACCAGTTGCCTTATTTTATTTGAACCAAGGCTCTCCCTGTACTTTGGCCATTTCACCCGACGATCCTGCTCATGAGATGCAGTGACCAGCTAATAATTCAGACCCCACAAGCAAAACTTTATCTATTTTATATAATGGACACACAACTCAGAACGCACTCCAATCAATCAAACATGCCTCCTGAATGACACCGGGGGCCATGACCACAATCGGAAGGGAGCCATCAGCAACAGGAACCGACATCATGGCAAACAAATGACACAATTGACACAGCTTGACAAAATTCAACTGATCCACCAATTGACCAAAATGAATGATGCAGTAAATCCTGCAAATTTTGAGCCAAAATTGCCACCACCCACACATGGCCCCGGTTCAAGAATTGAACAGTTGCAGCTTGGACTTGAGTCCACTGAATTGATTCACAATAATTGAACTCACCAGCTCCTTGTCATTGATGAAGTTGACGCGCTATACAGCCCCTCCTTGAAACATCCAAACAAAACATTGACCTGCAAACATCCAAATGACGCAAATGACACAATTGACGCAAATCATTTGTCAACGAGACATGTTTGCAAACTAAGGCCCGAGCAGGTGAATGACAATGTAGTAACATCTCAAGCAATGACTCAATTCAGAGAATCTCAATCTGAAACCACTTCACACCACAAGAACTCAACATCAGAAATTGAAGAAACACAACAGATGCAATTGACACAATTGACTGACTGACTAATTGAGGGGAAGATGTTGGCATGTTTTTGTGAGATATCACATCGGCAACAGGAAATATGCATTGCCATGTGACCTGGGGATGCATAATCATCCTGATGTGATGTGTATAACACACATCCTTCCATGAGGCATATGCAAACACAGGTACTAGACATGCCCAATAAATAGTAATGTTGGCAATGTAGTAAACTTGATGATTGAAGTTCCATCACCAAGCTCTGCTCTCATTGCCAATAATAAGACACAATTGACTCAATTGACAACCATGCCACATCCATCAAGGATACTAATTCATGTAAGTTCAATGTTTGTTGGTGCATAACTTTTACAACTTTTCAATCTAATATAAATCATTTTACTTTTTCATTTTTCACTTTTTCATTTTTTACTTTTTACTTTTTCACTTTTTCACTTTTATAACTTTTTTACTTTTCATTTTTCACTTTTTCACGTTATAAATCGTTGTAAGACACGGAGATGTTATGACATGTTAGCACGAGACACTTTTTGCTCAAAAAGTACTTTTTGAGATGCCCAAAAATCCCTACAAATTAATCTCCCCACAAGCTGGTCGCCATTCCGAAGTTTGTGAGTATTTGCACCATCAAGATGCTCCACGTTGTCAGACGCCTCGACCGGTAGAGTTGGACTACATGGACCACTTGTGGCTTGATGACATTCGAGAAGTATGGGCAGACAGATTGCGACCTGGTGAAGTTTTTCACCTGACAAGCGTCGTTCCACAGCCACCAGCGGCTGACAATCAACCGTACATGCCCCACGTGATTGTCTCTCAAGGGCCACAACCGGATCGTATTGGTGTTATTTTGACTGCGAGGTTTGTTGAAGATCATCAAACTCAACTACTCCAAGAAGCTGCATCATCTCCTGGATGGATGTGTGGCACACGGGCAGTTGAAATGATGCGCATTCAGCATCTTGTGCAAGATCGTCCATGGATTGCTCGCTCTGGGGTCATGATGTTTTCCAATGACGAGCTTGAGGAAATCCCTGATGGCATCAGCATCAACATTGACATCCGAGTCCCTCCAGCTGATACTGATGTTGTTTCTTTTGCAGCGTTTCAGCAGCAGGCGTATCCACCTGATCAGCCCATCTTTCACATGCCGGATGTGGCTATGCAAGGTGAAGAGACTCACAATGACTCAGACCACTCAAGTTCTGATGATGATGTTCAATACGCCCAAGGAGATGATTGGCGATTTGCACATGTTTACCGCACACGGAATCGAGTGTATCATGGCTATGTACCGTGGGACAGTGCTTTCGTCTTTCAAGAACGTGTTTCATGGCTCACAGGTGTCGATGAGGATGATATCGCGTATTGTCATCATGTGGCTGACCCACCCGAAGATTTGAGAGCAGCGCATACTGAAGTTCTGCTGATGCAAACAGTTGCTGATCTTCCTCAAGGCTCTCTTCATCGGCTTGTGTTAGTCGACATTGAATTCCACGAGCACCTACCTTCAACTGATACCTCAACATCGAGACGTTGCTTGTCATTGCCACATCTCACACAGAGAAGATCTCTATTGAGACTTCTTGGCCTGGACATTTATTGTGATAAGGTCAAGTCGCGCTGTCTCATGTGGCTGAACAACATCTTGGTTCCGATGCAGCGGAAAAGCAGCTTTCATCTTGAACATGGAGATTACCTGCGTTTGGCTATTCCACCGTGGCCATCAGCAGATTCATCCATTTCAACACGCCAGTGTGTTAGCAATATTCGTCGACATCGATCTGCCATTGAACCATTGGTAGACCACCAGCGCCGCCACAAGATCCTCAACATGAGATTGGCATGACAGAGGTCGAACACCTTGAACAAGGATCCTCATCAAGGCGTTGGCAATCGTCATATGAGGCAGACCACGCCATGTTCTTACAGACAGACATTGGCAAATTTCTGCCCTTTCCTGCTTTACCAGGAAATATGCTGGCCTCTGAGGTTGCAGCCTTGCTGATGACCTCTCAAGATTCTTCATGCGATGGAATACCAGAGGACAAATTGGAGAATACCTCATCTCAATCCGTGCAGATTGCACGGCAACAAGCCACGCAGATCGATCAACATCAAGTTCAACTTGCCGGGATGCCAGACTTCATCCATGAGCTATTTCAACACTATGCTCAAAGGCAGCCTCTTGCTGGCGATGATCGACGCAATGTCTTCTTCATCGAGACTTGGTACAGCGACCACACTCGACGCCCTCACAGTGGCCTTGGTCGTCAAGTACGTCTTACGGCTGACTTCAGCACATGGTATACCTCCATTGTCATGGCGTGGGAAGATCATGTCGACCCATTTCATTCATTGACTGGCCACATTGTCCAGCCGCACCCTGCAGGAGGTGATCCTGAGGTATTGGCACATGTTGTGCTGGTTCAGAATGCCATCCCGGATCAGGTTTCGACATTAGTTTCCATATTTGACGCTGATGATGATCCATGGCATCCACGACTGTTATGTCTTACGCTTCATCAGCAGCGGCTTCTTCAGACCTTGCTTGACGTTGCGAATCCTGGAGATGAATTTGCTTCCATATCGACTATGGCGACATGTCGTGCTTGGTGGCATGATCAAGAGATCACAGCACACTGGCGTACCCTTCTTCCTCATGGTGCTGGCATCCTTCTCCACATCCAACGTGCTCCTGCACCTGTGAACATGGCCCATCATGTTGATGATGATGATGGTCTTCAACTCTTGCAAAAGAATGTTAAAGCCACTGTTGTGTCCTTACAGGACCACATTGAAGCCCCAGCCAATCCTGTCTGGGTGCATGTTGACTGTCACAAAACACTTTTTGTTCGGCAGCAACTTTTGCACTTTGAGGAGGTCCACGTTCAGACTTGTACCCAAAGCGTTCGCTGGAAAGAGACTACCATTTCTGACCTGCAACACATTGTCCCATGGACCTGGGAACATCCAATCGGCTTCACCTTCTACACCGATGGATCTGCTCCAAGAGCAAATGCAACGGCTACTGCAGCTGTGGTGTTGATTGTCCATACGCTTCAAGGGCAGCGATGGGGAGGGTATCTGACAGCCCCCTGTATTGGCAGTCAGACCGCCCCGCGTGCAGAAGCTACAGGCTTGCTTCTTGCAGTCAGATGGTGCAGTCAGCTTCAGGTGCAGTATGGACATCAATTTGCATGGGTCGAGTTTGCCTTCGATTGCCAACATGTTGCCGGCATTGCTCAAGGACAGCTGGATGGTACACGCAATTGTGATCTATTAGTTCCTCTTCGTGCGCTTCTGCATTGGCTTGAAGGATTCAATGCGGTTAGTTTCAGTTGGACTCACCTTCGAGGACACAGTGGTCATCCATGGAATGAAGCAGCTGACACTTTGTGCTTGCATGCACGACAAAATGGTGTCACCCAGCATGATATGAGTGAATTTCTTCATCAATGTAGCTTTGACAACACTGATCTGGCTCCTGTACAATGGCTTTGGTTGGTCGAGAAATCTCTTAAGGGAGCTCCTGATGCACCCCTTTTTGGAAGCTGGACGATGGAAATTTGACATTGCGAAGCCACTTCTTACGCCACCAGAGATAGCTCTCCAACCTATCACTAGCCGACAAGATGTTCAGACATTTGATCCTCGAGTGACCCAGCAGTTTTGCATGCGACTTGCTACGGCCAATGTTTTGACGCTGTTTCCAGGACAAGAACATGCCTCTGGATACACAAGTGCACGTGCAGAAGGTCTTGCTGCGCAGTTTCATGCTCTTGGTTTTCACGTCATTGGTTTGCAAGAAACTCGAAGTCGACAGGAAGGACATGTTCAGATGGACCATTTTCATGTTCTTTCAGCCCCTGCCTCACAACGAGGCGTTGGAGGCATCCAGCTTTGGGTTCACCGCAACATTCGAGATGGCGATTTTCATCTTCCCATTGAACCACATCATTTACGCATTCTTCATGCTACGGCGCAACGCCTTGTTGTACGACTTGCTTGTGGAGATCTACGCGTTATTTTTGTGGTTCTACATGCTCCAACGGAAGCAGATGATTCTGTTCTACAAAAATTCTGGAGTGCAACCTCAGCGGCTATTCCAAAACAGTACCGGTCGTGGCGTCTTTTCGTCCTGGCTGATGCCAATAGCCGTGTAGGGTCTGTTTGCTCCAATGCTGTTGGTGATTGGCATGCAGAAACAGAAAATCTGAAAGGACAATATTTCCATCAATGGCTGCAAGAGCATCTGCTCTTCTTGCCACAGACATGGAGCACCTTTCATGAAGGACCCAGCTCTACGTGGACTCATGCTACAGGCACGACTGCACGGCTCGACTACATTGCATGTCCCGCGGAGCTGCACGATGCTGCCATACGTACATGGGTTGATGAACGCGTAGATCTGTCCCTCCAGAGAGAGGATCACGCATGTGTTTGCGCTCAAATTCCTCTCTCCATGCATGCGTCCACAAGAACACGTCAACCCCGACGTACCAAACAGCTGCAACAATTCTGCCAGCTGTCATGGGAGATGGATGTTCACACGCATGCCGCAGTGTTACAGCGTTGGCTTCATGATCACCAAACCACCAACAAGGTGCTGCGCAAGAAGCATTTGACTCAGGAGACAGCCAAGCTGATTGCCGCGAAGACTTTTCATCGTCAATGCCTTGGTAAACTACGGCGTCACCGGAGGATGGCCGTTCTACGTCACATTTTTACCAGCTGGCGGCATCAACAAGGCTCACATCCTGATCTTCAACCATGGCTCCGAGCATGTGATCGACAGGAAGCACATCATCTAGCAGCTTTTCAGACATTAGCACCTCATGTCGTTCAAGCAGTACGGCAAGACGACAAAGACTTCTACAACAAACTTGCCGAGCAAGCTGGACAAGAGTCTCAGAGAGGCGCCAGACAGCTCTGGCAGGCGATTCGATTTGCCTTGCCGAAATGGCCTACCAAGCAGAAATCCAATCTCAGGTGTGTTGGTCCTACTGTTTCAGACAAGGTCCACCATTACAATGAATTGGAAGCTGGACAAACTACGTCATATGTGGACTTGCTGTCAACATGCTGGCGAGCGCAGCAGACTGCGATGCATGATGCTCCTCTTCAAATTCCATTACAAGAATTTCCTACGCGTGTGGCTGTGGAGAGTTTGTGTGCGAAGTTGCAACGCAACAAGGCTCCTGGCATTGATGATGTCAAACCCGACACTCTCCGTCGGCATGGACCACCATTGCCACGGAGGTTACATCACTTTTCCTCAAGATGTGGACTACAGGTGCTGAACCTGTACAATGGAAAGGTGGTTTGATCCACACCATTGGGAAGAAGAAGCAGAGTAATCAGATCAAGGACATGAGAGGCATTGCCTTGCTTGACAGTTTGGGCAAATTGTCGCACGCCATTTTACGAGCGCAGTTCATGCCGGCTCTTCAAGTAGCACGAGCCCCATTGCAGCTCGGTGGCTTTGCCCACCAATCGACCATGTTCGCCACGCACTATTTACGTGCATTTGAACAACTCGCATCAGCTCGCAAATTGACTTCTTGTGTGATTTTTCTGGACATCAAAAGTGCCTTTCACTCCATGGTCAGGGAAGTGCTCTTTGACATGCAAATGCCATTGCCGGAGCGTCTCCGTGAAGTCTTGTTTGCAGCTGGATGTGATCCTGATGAAGTGACCCGTCACTGCTCTTCTTCTGAATTTGCGGATTTGATGACTCCAACCTTGACCAGATTGATGCGAGATGCACACTCTCATACATGGTTCACCTTAGCTTCCTCAGATGAGGTGCATCACACTCACAGAGGAAGCCGGCCAGGATCGCCGCTGGCTGACGCAGCCTACAATGCTCTTATGACAGCAGTCATACGGGACATTCAAGCCATTTTGGATGTGCATCCGGTCCTCTGTCAGGCAAATCAGCTATGTGGATTGAAACCTGATATTGTGGCTTGGGTAGACGATCTGGCGCTTCCCTTGGCAGTACCTTCCGCTGACGCATTGATGCCAGTGATCCAGAATCTCATGCCGGAAATTGATGCAGTGTGCCGTGGATATGGTTTGGTTCTCAACCTACAACGACAAAAGACTGAAGCTGTGCTTGCTTTTCGTGGTGCACATGCAGCTCAGCAGCGTCGGTCCTGTTTTGGGACGCAACAAGGGGTTCTTTGCACGACACTGCCTCAAGGATCTCTTCGATGTGTACCACGGTATGAACATCTTGGTACCATCTTCACGGCTGAAGGAGCAATCGATGCAGAAGTCACCCATCGAGTTGGACGTGCCACCCATGCGTACCAGCAAGTCCGGCGGCCTATCCTGAACAATCGACATGTGTCTGCAGCCACGCGATTGCGCCTTCTTGAGGGCCTTGTTATGCCGGTCCTCTTCCACGGCAGTGGAAATTGGCCGCTTCTATCTCACCGACAGTTGCGGAAGATGCAAGGAGTCTGCATGACATGGATTCGGTCCATCCTTCAAAATGGATATTGGACGGCCGATCTTCTAGCGGATCAGCGTCTTTTGATGCTCTGGCGCATCCCTTCTGTCACTTTGAGATTGGCAAAGATGAGACTGCTATACGCGTTCCATCTTGTGCGTGACTGCCCTGGTGCCATTCTCGATGTTGTCACAGCAGTTGAGTCGCACCCACAGTCATGGATCCCAGGTCTACGACATGCTTTGAATTGGATTCAACAAATGGATGCCCGTGCAGTGCCTTGGGATCCCATGCTCGCGCCTGTCTCTGTCATCTTTTCTTGGCTGGCGGCAAATCAGGACGGAGGACCAAGATTGGTCCGACGACTTTATCATCGTTCACTTCGTCAAGGTATGGTGGTAGCCCAAGCTGTTCGTGCTCATTGGCAATTGCGCAGTTGCATTGATCGCACTCCTCATGATGAACGAGTGGTCTCCATCCAACAATCACGTGATCAGTTCTTACATGAATGCCGTCTATGTGCCAAGGCTTTTGAGACATGGCATCAACTACAAGTCCATCTATGGATGCAACATGAAGTTATCTCAGATGAACGACGAATGATGACTTCCACCGTTTGTGATGCTTGTCACAAATGTTTTTGGACTGCACAACGGCTGCAGCAGCACCTGCGGTACAGCCGTCGGCACGTGAATGGCTGCTATGAGCAGCTCACTTGGCGTTGTCCGCCATTTATTTCAGCACCAGACATTGAGAGCATTCCTGTGGTGGATCGTTTTCACCGACATCCTGCCATGATTGTTGACAATGTGCCCACACAGCAAGAGATGCAAATTGCCACTCGACAAGAGGCGGATCGAATCCTTGCGTGCAGATGGCGTGAAGAGGATCTCCCAGAAGAGATTGATTCTGATTTTCAAAAGATGATCTTTGCAGCATTAGATGATATTTTTTTTGCGTTTGCACACAGTCGTCTTGATGATGTTGATCAGATACTATTCCAGATGCTTTCCGTCGCAGATGGATCAAGTCAGGGACAATCTCATGGCGCTGTTGGTGAGCTGGCTCTGTGTCTATGGATTCGTGATCATGTTCGCTTTTCTCGTTTCCTGGGCCTTTCTGTTGCAGTTTTTCAACAAGTAGAGAGTGCTCTCCAGTCCATCATGGCAGATTCTCATGTGGGGCAATTGGTTAGTTGGAAGAAGCGCATGGATGAAGCTTTTCAGCCAATGCATGTCAAGGAGGACAAGGCCACGCCTCCGTTGGCACCGCTTGAGCCAATCGTTAACCCTTGCAACCTGCAGAATTGCCTTTTGGATGAAGTTTTTGCCCATAAGTTTGCTTTCCCTCAAACCTCTAAAGTTCCATTATGTAGGGTAGGAGATCGCACTGTGATCTTAATCCTGCACTTGTTCAGCGGCAGACGTCGCATTGGGGACTGCCATTGGTGGATGCAACATCTTGCTGCAAAGATCTTCCCAGAGATGCCGGTGGTGATGGTTTCCGTCGACACTGCCATTGATAGCGTCTATGGTGATCTATCCTGCGGCTCGAACTTGGCATGATGAAACGTGGCGCAGTTGCGGGGTCACTCACTGGACCCCCCTGCGAGACGTTTTCGGCAGCGCGTGGTATTCAATTAGACACTCCTTTTGGACCACGACCGCTCCGAACGTCAGAGATGCCATGGTGTCTTCACGACAGATCAGATCGAGAGCTTCGGCAATGCGCCACGGGTGCAGAATTACTCCTCAACTCTCTGCAACTGGAATGCTCGGTAGTTGTTGCTGGTGGAGGCACAATTATGGAGCACCCTGCGGAACCCAATGACTCTGACAAAGTGTCAGTGTGGCGATTGAGATGTCATCGAGAATGGTGCATGAAGCTTCCTTCAGCGGCGATCCATCGCATTGAGCAGTGGCTCTTCGGTGCAGTTGGCGTTAAACCTACGTTTCTGAGAGCAATTAACTTAGGACCCCCGGTGGTTGTAGGTAGAGAATTGCTGTACGGTGCTGAGACTTGGCGCACCAGGCCCCAACAAGGCCTGAAAGGCCGTGGAAAAGACGGTAGGTTTCGAACTGCACGAGCCAAAGAGTATCCAAGCGCTCTGTGCCGTAGCATGGTAGTTGCTTTGCTGCGTGGGCTTCGGTACAGATGGAAAGCTGAAGGTGCCCACAATCCTGTGGAACTTTTAGCTGAAGAAGCTCAATGGCTGACGCACATGTGTGCGCAATCTGATATCCTCACGCGCACAGACTTTCTCCCTGACTATCAGGGAACGTGAGGTGGCTCAGGACAGTGAGCGAATTCACATGCGAGACCGCGCGGGGCAACTCCAGGCGGTGGAATGGAAAAAATCCACTATAAATGGCCATTTTCAATAGCTATGTAACAAATTACCAGAGGGTATGCCAATTCACCCGGATCATTTGGCTTGGACTTTTCGGAGATCCAGCAAAGAAATAGGTTTACAGTAAAATCCGGCTGACTGATACTTATTGTCTACAATATGATTGGGTTTATAAAATAAAAACCAGTTATTTTTCCATATGTTGTAGTTTCTTCTGTTGCTCCATGAAAATCATCTTTTGACATAAACCAACTGATGCTTAGAATCCATTGGTTTGGAAGCACATTTTTTTCTCGTTTTTCAAATGCCCATCTTGGGGCGTAGGAATTTTCTGGACACACAAATGACTGGATTGGGAAAGAAGAGGTATTTTTTGACAATGTTTATTTTGGGAATTATCTTCTTGTATTATTTGGTTTTGGCTATTGGCTTTTGGTTTCATGCTTGCCATTTTAAGAGTAGATTCAATTTTTCAATATTCGATTTCATTTAAATTAGTTTCACTAGTTTCACATTAATTTATAAATCGAAATTTGGATTAATTTCACATTTGCCACCAACCAGAAAAAGATCAGCAATGGAAGAATCAGGGAAAGCAGCTCTTAGGCCTCCACAGGGTTTATCAAAACTATGAAATATCTGGATATGGAGTTTATGTCTGGTTGGTGGTTTGGAACATGAATGGATTATTTTTCCATTAATATTAGGAGTAATATATAATCCCAACTGACTTCCATATCTTTCAGAGGGGTTGAAACCACCAGCCAGATGTGTTATGTTCCATCAAAAAGGAATTTTGGATTTTAACGCATTTATGTGTTATGTTCCCCAGTTCAGTGATATTACCTGAAGATATTTGAGTTCCAATGGGCTGAAATTCAAATGACCAAACCAGACGAAGCTCATGTATCATCAATAGGGGAGAAGGCACCCATTTTCAGAAGGGGTGGTTGATTCCTCGCCCCAAATGAGTAAACATCCCGGAGAAATCCACAGGGTGAAATCTGTAAAATGGCACTGAACATCACCCAACCACGGGTCTCAAATGGGGAAGGTCATTTTGGTTGGGAATCCCATGGGAAGTATAAACACTTTCTGGTTGAACTTGTAGAATTTGCTATGCGACTTTGGGACAGCACAACTAAACACCTACGACTTGGAATGATAGGAAGATCCGGCAATAGCCGCACAGTTCCACCCTTTCCTCAAGTGTATCATTATGACATCCCCAAAACAGAAACACTGGTTGGTGGTTTGGAACATTTTTTATTTTTCCATATATTGGGAATGTCATAATCCCAACTGACGAACTCATATTTTTCAGAGGGGTTAGCAGCAACCACCAACCAGATGCCATTAAAATTCCCATCAAATGCCATTAAACCACCATTAATCCCCATTAAACCACCATAAAATCCCATTACACCACCATTAAATCCCATTAAACCACCCCAAAATCACATTCAACCACCATTAAATCCCATTAAACCACCCCAAAATCACATTCAACCACCATTAAATGCCATTAAACCACCATCAAACCACCATTAAAACACCTGGTGTTTTCTTCCCTTCGCTGCCCCTCTGCAGGTGGGTTGCGTTCGTCTCTTCCAGGTAGGCTTTGAAGAGATGCAAACGGTCAGTGCAGTGGTGGCCAAATGGAACGGTTTCCAGTGGAGCACGGTGCCTCGAAACGCACGGGCGAAGGATGTAGTGGGGGGAATGGGCCTTTTTGGAAGATTGGAAAAGGGATGTTTTTTATGATCATCTTTTTGATGGCTATAAATTTATGTTGTATATTCTTATTCTACATGATTATAAAGTTGTTATAAGATGTTATAAGGATTATAGTTATATTATATGTTATTATATACTCATATACGACAGTTTAATATGTGTCAAACAGTCATGATTTTGATGCTTCACATTCAATGATCAGTGGTTTTTGATGGGGAGGACTGATCCAAGATCGGGACCAACATCTTGTTTTGCTGTGAACACCAGGAGATTCCAGGTTTTTTTTCACCCACCACGCAAGAACAATGCGGAGCTTCCCAGAATTGAGAAGCCTAGAGTCAGTTGGAGGTGATCAAGTTCGAAGCTTGCCTAAGTTGCACAACAACAAACCAAGGATTTATGGATCTAGGACCTAAGACTAGCAGCCGAGCCTGCTTTCGAAGCCTGCTTCGACTTGGTTACACCGGTAGCCATGCACCATGTTTAAATCATTGAACATGGCCTGGGATTATATAACAGCAATTATTCCTATCACAACCCAGTTATTACATGTTATGACATAACAATATTTATCCACATATTTAACAAAAAATATTTACCCTCTGGTAATTTAACATAGCTATTGAAGCCATGGCCCAGTCGAAATAGTTGATTTACCCAGCTACAAAATGGTGGATCTTTCCATAGTTACGTTAGTTTACCAGAGGGTAAGGCCCAAAAAAAAATGGCCATGGAAACAGAGGCTTCCGAGGATCCGTCGCCGGGGATGGCGTCCGCCGGATGGCGTCCGAGGAATGGCGGTTGGATGGTCTCGGAGGGAGCGCCTGGAACCGGCGCCCAGCGGCCAGCAATACCATGTGGCGATTGCTGTACAAGTCTCGGACACTAACTCGAACTCAAAAACGCAAGGGTTCCGTTGGTGGTGCTACAGTTGTGAAATCCTGAAATCTTCCGTTGGTTTATAGATCTAAATCAAACCAATATATATATATATATATAGAGTTATATATATATATAATTATATATAATTATATATAATTATATATAATTATATATAATTATATTGTTATATTATATATGTATGATTATATATGTGTATCTACTGTACCATAAAACTTATACTCAACTTATGGACCAGCTGAGCTATCGGAACTGCAACGTTTTAGATTTACCTGGAACCCAGTCATGACCATTATTTTGGAAATTTAGACCCAAAAACTTCATAAATTTCAGGATAATAATCTAAAATAGAGGTCATTTGGGTTCCAGCTATAGGCAATATGACGCAAATTGAGGGTGATTATTATATAATTTTATTAATAGTTGGATTGTGGTTATTTTAGATGATTATCTGGTCCAATTAGAACGACCTGACCACAACGGTCACTAAAATTAAAACTGTTGGTGAATGTTCTGGGTAACTGTCCCAAGACGGCAAAATTTTATTCAGGTTGGTGATTTTTTAAAGTTGACCCAGATATTGTGGCTATGGATCAAACATAAAGACAAAAGCCCTGGTACCATGGTGAACATCAAATGGCGAAGGTGCAATGTGGAGACCGAACTTCTAGCAGTTGATGAATGGAGAGAGATTTGAGATGATTTGAGCAGTGATCAAAACCATTGTTGATTGATTATGAAATATGGGGTTGTGACATGTTAACACCACATGACTAGATGTTATGAGTGCAACTGTTTTTTTGTTTGGATTATGATTTTGCTCATGTGCTACTAATCCTGTTCTCAACCAACTAGTAGAATGGAATGGCATTGGGGGTGAAGTTGGTTGACCACACACCCATGAACTAGTTCGATGTATCGACCATAAATCCTAGTGAATTGTTAGTTATAAATAGCAATATATAGATATATTGGTATATATATGTATATATATGTACATAAAAACCAACTTAGTTGATCTTAGCCAACCTACATTTAAATATAAATCATCATTTTTCTTGGTTAAATCCCAATGTTCGAACACTGCCTACTGCCTTGACCCGGATTCCGATGCCAGGAAAGCCGAGCCTTGCCCCAACCAGTTGTCGCGCATCGTTCAGCGGCCCTGGGGCATTGCTGATTTGAAGTTTTTCAGCCACTCGGTGCTGCTGGGCAAATTAATTAGGGACCCAACATGATCCACCTAGCCGCAACGGCAAATTTTCAGATTTAGACCCTGAAAAATCGATAAACAATGATAAACATAGCCCAAGTGTAGTGGAAACGAATCTTCCAACCCCCAAGTCATGGCAGCCTGGCAGGGTCGTCATGTTACTTTGGGGGATGGAATGTAGATGTAATGTCAACCCCGGATTAAAAAAACATGGTTTATTAATTAGGGGGGTACTCCTCCAATAGTTCATTTCATCTGATACTGAAATATGGTATCCCCCCAATTAAACAACCGTTTTTACGGGGTTTATTCATCCAGGGTTGACATTACATGAGTAGCCAATGGTGTCTATAGAAATTAAAACAATCCCAAGAAGTCGACCATCCCACTAGGTATTGGCGGGATGACATGCGCTTGTAAGATCCATAGAAACTCATCGTGTCCTGTGGAACGTTGCAGCTGGACCGTCAAGGATACCGTTCTATTGTATGTCCACACTGATATTCCAAGCTATTCGTGGCTGATGAGACATGGAAGTTCATAGATACATGACATAGCCCTATGAGCTACTGTAACCATGGCCCCTCATATCCTCAGATTTGTCATAGATGGCCCAATAGACACCATGGTTGACTAAGGATATGAGGCTTAGCCATACCCGTCATTTGGTGGGGATTTTCCTGCGTTCGATGGCTGAGTTGTATCCCATATGATCTCCATGAAATATCCCCGGCTGTAGATGATGTTCCAGTGATTTCGCATTCAACATAGCCATTTGTATCCCATTCAAAATAGATTGGATTCGTTCCAGTTGTATCCCATACAATCTCCATGAAATATTCCCATTCCAATAATTCGATAGATTTCCAATGTTGAACGAATTATCGAATGGATTCGAATGGCAGGTGGTTGCAACAGCTACTCTCTCCCCGTGTCAATAGGTGATGATGACTGTCAAGACGAGATCACAGGAGGCAATGCCATGACATCTGGAGGCCGACGGACGCCAGGGAGCAATCAGCAGCCCTTCCGGGGGCTCGGGAACCGCCGGTTGCGGTTGATCTGGCTTGATATCTTTGTTTGAAGATCTGAGCAGTTCCAACAACTACAATAGATCTAAACCAAACTCTTTCCAACACCAATTCCAACCAATTATCTTTTGTTGTTAGGTCTTACAGTTACTATAATTGGTGTTTTCAAACGTGGCCGGCGAAAATAAACCACGAACTACATGGAGATGTTCATGGGAAAATCATCCATGGGATATGGAAAGAATTGCCATGTTTGATTATCTAATGGTATTTGAGACATCTTTAGTTACTAGTTGAAATGACGAGAAACTAAAGACTGATAGGCTAGGAATGGGTTTGAGCATGAACCCAGCTGTTGCAATTGGTGGTTTCGGGGGATTCTGACACCGACTGCCGCAGGTGGAAATGGATAACCCCTGACAGCTTGATTGATACACACCTTGACATGGCCGTGGGTCTGTGTGTCAAAACCACACAGGCCACGGCATTGAAAGCTCTGTACATCTGAACATGTCCTCTATTCCAGTAATGTTTCGGCAGAAGGGTACAGGGATTACCAGGGTGGAATAACCCGCTGTTACGAATACGTTTGTGATTGGATGAATACCCCCAATTGACTTACTGCAGATCTTGGTATGAGTCAAACAAATCCTAAAATGGGTACCAGAAAGGGAGAGTCAACTACTGAAATCAACACAGAAAAAAATTGGGTCTGCACAGTTGGCAATTTTCTGACGCATCCCATGTTAAAGTTGGTCCCCCAATCTTTGGTGAGATTTCACCAGTGTTTCTTCCAAGTTTTACATCGTTTTCACGAAAGAAAATCCAGCGAGTTGACTTCAGAAGCCATCAAAAATATGGTCAAACTGAGTCAAACTCAAGCTACTTCCAGAATCTTCCAGATTTTGAAACCAACTCCCCTCTATACCACAGACGTTTTTCTCAAAAAGCTACGCAGGTTTTGATCACTTCCACCCCTCTGCGGTGGATCAAGACTCCTATCTGACCTCGCGCATGGTGGACGATGATCCCCTCAGTACCTGGACGGCCAACTGCCGCACGGGCTTTTACAACACCAACACGGACCTCACGAATTGTAGCGGCTCGTGGGTTGGCATCTGGGCGTGAGACGGTCGCTGGTTGAGGTAGACCATGAACGACCGAAGAACATGGTGGTTTTGCCATGAATCATTGAGAAATGATGGGTTTTCATCATGAGGAATGGTGGCAAATACCGCTAAACATGATAAGCATGGGGCTTCGAGGAGGAAACTAATCTGGTTTTCGTCCTGACAAGGGAAAAACGAGGCTTTAACACAAGGTGCATGGGTGAAGAGGATAGGCTCAAGGTAATCAAATCAAATCTGACGCTTGGAAATTCCCTCTAAATGGAAGCGTTCTTATGGGGCAATCATGGAAAATCAACTGGAAATTGGAGATTTTCCATTGCCATCTTTGATTTCCAGAGAGTACTACCTACCAAAATCAGCCCTTGATATGTGAAATCTTCCAGTGTAACAACTTTTGCATGCCACAGGAATGGTGCTTAGATTGCGGGGAATCATCCCCAAATGGCCTGTTTAGCTTTATTGATCTATTTATCCCTGTATCAACATATCTCTATATCTATACCTATATATATTATCTATAATATCTATATATAATATCTATAATATATATACATATGTGATATCTATAATATATATATATATGATATCTATAATATATATATGATATCTATAATATATATATATATGATATCTATAATATATATTTATGATATCTGTAAAATATATATAACTATGATATCTATAAAATATATATATATGATATCTAATATATATATATATATGATATCTATAATATATATATATATATGATATCTATAATATATATATATGATATCTATAATATATAAATATATATGATATCTATAATATATATATATGATATCTATATATAATATATATATGATAACTATAATATACATATAATATCTATAATATATATATATATGTATGATATCTATAATATATATCTATATATGATATCTATAATATATATATATATGATATCTAATATATATATATGATATCTATAATATATATATATATATGATATCTGTAATATATATATATAACTATGATATCTATAAACTATATATATGATATCTATAATATATAAATATATTGATGATATCTTTTATATGTATATATGATATCTAATATATATATATATATGATATCTATAATATATATATATATATGTATCTATCTATAATATATATATATGATATATATATCTATAATATATATATAAATATATATATATATGATATCTATAACATATGTATATATGATATCTATACTATATATACATATGATGTCTATAATATATATATATATATGATATCTATAATATAAATATATATATATATATATGTGATATCTATAATATATATATATATATGATACCTATATAATATATATATATATGATATCTATAATATATATATATATATTTGATATCTATAATATATATATGATATCTATAATATGTATATATATTTATGATATCTATAATATATATATATATATATAATATCTATAATATATATATATATATATGTGATATCTATAATATATATATATATATATGATATCTATAATATATATATATATATATGATATCTATAATATATATATATATATATGATATCTATAATATATATATATGATATCTATAATATATATATATATGATATCTATAATATATATATATATGATATCTATAATATGATATCTATAATATATATATATATATATGATATCTATAATATGATATCTATAATATATATATACATTATATATATATATATAATATTTATAAGACGAGAGAACCGCAGGGATTTTCGTAGCGAGGTATGCAGTTCCGCGACTCGGAGGAGGTCCGTTGTGTCTCCATCGTGCAGAGCCGCTGGGAATCCGCCAGGCATTTCAGGGGGCAGAAGCCCTAGGGCTCGGTGGTAGGAATGGTCAAATGGATTAATTAGTTATATAATGTTAATGAAAATCTGGTTGATGGTTTGGAAGATTTTTTATTTTCCATTTCATATATGGGATAAACCACCAACCAGATTAATGTTAATTAATGCTATAACCACTATGGTTATTGAATGTTTTTGATAGTCATCCGGGACGTCCTGCTGCTATATTACTATGGTAGTGGTGCTAGTTATGGTGGTACAAGCCTTGGGATGAACCTCAGGCTTTGCAGCCTTTTATTGAGCATTACAAAATAAGAGTAGTACTGTCTAATCAATCATATTATATATATATATATTACATGATATATATATATAGTAGTAGTTAATATATAATCAATCATATTATGATTGTAGTAGTAGTTTTGAAAATTTGCCAATAAATTGAGCCCTATGTCACAGTTTTGTCAATCTTTAGAAAACATAGCGTCGTTTCCAAGTTTAGCAATATATAAAAATAGTAGTACTTGTAGTAGGGGTGGTGGTGGTAGTAATCTAATCTAATGCTTGTGATGTTTTGGTTGGGTAGGTTCTCCCTCCAGTGACAAAACATTGCCAAAATCCAAAGTATACATGATTTTCCTTTTGCAGGCCTGGATTTTTTCAGCCTGCATATTCGGCCCATGAAGAATATAGTGGATGATGTGATGTATGTATATATATATATATATATGCCTACTTGTACCCCGAGATTTCCTGCTAACGCAAGATCAGGTAGGTAACTTGGATTAAAGTGGGCTGGACCGGCGCATTTCCTCATGATCCATTTCTGCTTGATTTAACGTCACATTTATATACCCACAAAAATGCTGTAGATGAATGTTCCCTTCACATAAATGGTACAAGGTCGTGCCCCTGGGTTTGTTGGTTTTTAAACTCCATGATATAGCTAGTTCGTCATATCTACCATGGAATTCATCCAGTCATTTGCACCAGCTTAGCTATCAGGCGATCGGGCTATCATATATATATATATGAATATATATATATATATATATGAATATATATATATATATAATATACATATTTTATATGTGTATTATACATATATATGTATATATATATTATACATCAACCATAAATCCCCCAATTGTTGTGCAATCCCATCATCTCCCCATGTTTTCTGATCGCAGGTGTTGTGATGCCGCGGATGAATTGGAGTTGCAGCGCTGGAATGGATCCAGTCGCATGGCGGATTTCGCTGCTAAATAAAGCGGCATGGGCCTCGGAGGAAATGGGATTAATGGATGCTTAAATATGTTAATTGACATTAATTGAGGCTTAAATATGTTAATTAATGTTAATTAATGTCAATTAATGTTAATTAATGGGATATAGCATTAATTAACATTAATTAACATAGTAAAATGGGGATTATACCTATTAAATGGAGATTATAGCCTATAATATTAAAATTATCCCATATTCAATTAACCAATGCTATACCCTCTGGTTGTTGAACGTAGCGAACTGGAGAATCACCTTATTTTTAATAGGTAAATCATCATAAAACATCTATTTCTATGGGCCATTTTCCATGGCTATGTTAAATAACCAGAGGGTATATATATATATATATGTATATATAATTAACTATAATCATAACAATAATAATAAATAAATATATATATATGTATACACACCCTCCTTGGGGGTGCAGTTCTCATTTTGATGTCAAAAAATAACAATATAAGTATAGTTATAACATCATTCAACCATAGTTGTAGGGATTATATCCATCTCATGGAGTTTTTTTTTTTTTTTAACCCATGGTTATACCCATTAGTGACCCATTAGACCCCACAAGTCGCCATGAGCTCCATGGACCGCTGCCCGCCGCTGCGCCGTGGAGGTTTGAAGATGGCCCATTTAGTTCGTTGATTTACCGAACTTATTTTATGTTGTTTTCCAGTTCGCTATTTTTCGTAAAAATCAGAGGGTAGCCATGTCAAACTACAGGATAAGTTATATATACATAGTTATACCGAGTTATACCATGTTATAGTACTATAAAGTTCGAGAACGGTGGTAGATGGCTATGGGTCAATACCATGGGTGTCCCATGGTAGCAAAATCGGATTGTTGATACTAACAAGTTAATACTAAACATGACCAAACAATAATTACCAACTATATTACTGTATTACTATATATATATATTAATATTATTATATACAGTACACATATGAGAACTATAACTATGCACCCTTTTTGATAGTTAAAACCCATGCATTCAAAGTATGGAGACGGAATGACTTGACCCATTGAGACCCTCAGATCGACCTGCGGTTTTTTTACGTTCTCTGTGATCCCACGATTGAACATCAAGTTCCCTACCATGAGCATATTTTGCTTAAACAAAGCCCAATAAATCAATGTTCAAGGAATCTTATATCCATAAATATCCATAAATATCCATAAATAAATGGATCAGTTTATCAAGGATCACAGAGAATATCCATGTTTCAAGGGAACTTGTCATCCATGTTTCAAGTATCAATCCAATGTTATATCCATAAACCATAAATAAGTGGATCAGTTTATCAACATAAACCCCGTTCATACTTTGGATGGTTGCGAAATCCTGCACCAGTTGATAGGTGGTACATATCCCATTATTTCTAGGATTTCAATCATCCTTTCGGTGGTTTATCGGATTTAGCAAACACCCACCGTAGCATCCCCAGCGTTTGGATCTCCGTTTGAGGCTGGATTGAAGCTTCCTGGTTCCGCCGCCCACCGGTGCCGGCGGTGAAGACGGAGTTGCCGGGCAGTGTCGCTGGCAAATCTCCATCAAACATACGGGGGGTTCCATTCAAATGAGGCTACCCCCCAATAGCTGGATGGTTTACCCTCTGGTAAACGTTTACATAACTATGGAAAACCACCATTTTTAATGGGAAAATCCACTATAAATGGCAATTTTCCGTAGCTATGTTAGTTTACCAGAGGGTATTCATGGAAAACCAATCTATAAATGGATGATATCTTGCAGTTACCTAAAACGAAGCGGACTCCTAGCTGGCTAAACCACAAACTAACCCTAAACAACATATTGCACCAACACTAAATTCACGCCAAAGAAGCGCTACACAAATACCATTTATAAACCAACTTTAAACCGACGTGGAATAACTAACCCAACCCACGACACCGATACCCTCAACCAACCCCAAGCACACACCACAGCAGCCCCAACAACACTTCTAGCTGAACCAACTCCAGATTGCTGCTAGCTCCAAAAAAATCCGATTCCGGCAGAAATAAGAGTTTCTAGCTCCAAAATGCTTGACTTACCGTCAGTCTCTAGCTCCAAAATGCTGCAATTACCGTAGAAGTGGTTTCAAAATGTTGCAAATATTGTCGAAATGGCAGCTTCGAGGCTTAACATGCTGCAAATAGCCAGGGAATTGATGCGGCATTGAGGGGGAAAACAAATCCCCGGGAATGGCGAAAAAAAATCCCTGGCGGAAACGGGGCCCTTAGAGATGGGTGACATCTCTCAGAAATGGGGAGTTTTTTAGAGCCCAGGAAGCTTCCAGAGAAAAATGAGGTTGTTACCCTCTGGTTATGTCAATATAGCTATTGAACATGACCATTTATTTATAGTGGATTTTCCCATTGAAAATGGTGATTTTCCATAGTTGTGTTAGTTTACCAGAGGGTATCCCGCTTTGATCTTGTGAGATTCTCACTGGAGAGGGGTCATGTCGGGCAGTACATGGTTTGCCAATGTTTGCCATACGCTCGACTCAACATCATGAAGTTAGCTCCAATCCGACTCAGAATCTCCCTGGGTGAATCCTCCATTCCTCCCCAAAAATTGATCACGCGAGAAAGCAGTTTCTCCATATACTGTAACGTACTGTAACCATCCCTACAGGGGCCACATATCACAACTCAAAGATCTTGTAGGGGTTACATGTTATTACCACCGATATTCCTCACATCACCTGCGTCCTAAGAACCAGGACGGTTCATCAGCTTATGAACCCATAGTTGGTTCACCCAAATTTTATCCATTAACGAGATTGTAGAACTTAGTCATAGGTCACTTTTCTAACGTTATGAGAACCAAACCAGATACACTTTGTGGAGATATTTCACCATAAATATAGGGCTTATAGTATGTAATTATATATATACTGTTATATACTGTATATTATATCTATAATGTATGTATGGTATATTGTTATTCAATGTTATTCCCCCAAAAAACTGCCATAGTTTTCACCCTGAAAGTTACTACCATAGTTATTCAACAGTTGCACTCCAGTTAACGTTTCATAGATGTGGAAAAAACTCATATTTATCATTTTCCGAACGGGAAACCATGAGTTTTCCACATGTTTTTGTCTGTTTGCCCCAGGTGATTCCTATAAATTCATCACCTCAGTCCATTCATGATTTCCCCAATTGTAAGACCTCCATTTCTAGGGGATGTTCGTATAGTTTTCCCACGATTTCCCCACGACCTCAGCAGAGGTTCAATTTCCGAGAGCCCACGCACATTGGCGGCACCTTCGCCAATCTGGGGGCCTGCCCCTCGAGGACTAGCGACAAGCGCATGCACTTTGGACGTCATGGCATGTCATGGCAGATCTCAGAGGTTCTGGGAATAGAATGGGGATATAGTGGAATGGTGATATGGAAATCACATGAAATTAATTATGGGGAATATTCTTATGGAAGATATTAAAATCGTTATCATTGGGATATGGTGGAATATAGTTGTGATATACCACTCATCCACCCTCTGGAATAGAGTTGTGATATTGATAGTGGAATGAAATGGTGATATACCCTCCAGTAATCAGAGATAGCAATGGAAAATCCATCCTTTATCGATAATTTTCCCATAAAACCCTCCATTTATCGGAGATTTTCCATTGCCATGTTTGATTACCGGAGTGTAGTGGAACCGTGGAATATCATTTGTCCATTCTTATTGCTTTATGTTGCTTGCATCCCGATTCATGTTTGCTACTCTTTGTCCTCGTTTTGCTGTTTATGACATGCAGGTCTGTTGTATCCTCATTTGGTAAGGGTTTCAGCCTCAGCTGTTCTCCAACACTTCTCCATGCCTCCAATTACTTGTTGCTGCGTCGTACTCCCCAAAATGTTTGGTCTATCTACATTATGATTATATATACATATAGTACATATGATACATATAGTACATATAGTACCTATAGTACATATGTATATATACATATATATATAGCATTATCAGTTATATGCCCCAATAGCCAGCCTTTTGCCTGGTCCATATCCCACATTTTTTCTGCATCTCCGATTCGGTCCCTGCTGAGGTTTGAGGAGACCATCCGTGAACAGCGCAGCCGTCGTGACAGCGAGAAGTGTATCGTTCAGCTGACCGGTGCGGTGACGCTTCTGGCGGAGCCCTACTGCATCAAACATCCCAGGTGCGGGTGGTGCATGCTTTTTCCAATGATTAAATGATTGGTTTATATAATTCATATCCACATCCTCATCGTTGTTTGATACCGCCATCATGTTCCTATTGGTATACCTTTCTAAGGTGAAAATTCACCAGCCAGAGAATATAAGATACCCTCCAGTCAAAGCCCTGGTGGAATAGTAAGTACTGTTAGGCACTACAATTTTTAGATCCTTGATTGGGGGTACCTTATTTCTTATGCCATCAAAAATAGCACTACATCACCGTAATGAAACTATCCAAAAAGAATCCGCATAATCATCAACCAGCCATCATTTATCCATATCCAGCATATTCATGTTCCATTAATCCATCATTTTATCCATCATTTATCCATTAACCCATTATTTTTCCACTAAAAGTTATGTTGGTTCTGTTAGTTTACCATTTTTTCCACTAAAAACAACCATTTATTTTCAGTGGAAGGTGCGTGTCAGTCTTCGGCACCATGGGCACGTGTTGCCCTATTGGTGACCTGGTCCAGAGCGAGAACCGATGCTGCTGCGGATTTTTAGGACCGTTTATTTGCCTTGGTGAACGGAATTGGTTGATTAGGGGGATATATATATATATATGGCTATGGTTTACCAAACTTAAAAATGGTGATTTTCCATGGCTATGCTGAATAACCAGATGTTACTTTCAATTGATTTTCCTTTTAAAACTTAAAACAAAATCGCCCCAAAAGTTTTTGTGCACAATAGGCTACCATGCAAACAATTACATTATTGAGGATCTGGGTCACTGATGGGGTATCCCCTTGACAAAAATATTTGGGTGCTGTTTGTTTTTTTTTAATAAGGGTTTAATAAGGCATCTAATTATTTGGGAAACCTTGCATTTTCAAGGCTTGAACAAGGTGGATAAAAGGGTTCAGTGCTTTTTTCACCCCACAATTTTTTGTGCACAATAGGGTACCATGCAAACAATTACATTATTGAGGATCTGGGTCACTCATGGGGTACCCTCTTGAAAAAAAAATGTTTGGGTGCTGTTTTTTAATAAGGGTTTAATAAGGCATCTAATTATTTGGGAAACCTTGCATTTTCAAGGCTTTAACATGGATATGGTTTTCTAAAGTAAATGGGCCAGCTTTACCCAAAGAAAGGTGTATAAGGTGGATAAAGCTCCTCCTGAAAAAAATGGATCTGAGAAAAAACTTCTCGCAGTAGAAGCCCACCACCACCATTTACAGGACACTTGAAAAAAAATCTCTCAATAGAGGTGCAAGACACTAATTGGTATACTACATTATATGTATAATATATATATAGACATGTATGTATATATATATACACATTTACTTGTTTGCATAGTCAACGGGGTGAAACTCAACCGTCTTAGTCTCATAACTTGGGAGCCAACAAAAATGAGGATAGGACTGGTCAGTGAATTGCTTTTGAACCATGAGATAGGATGAGATAGGTTTGTGCACATGACATAACAAGACTTTATTACCCTCTGGTTATGTCAAAATAACTATTGAACATGGCCATGGAAATAGTGGATTTACCCATTGAAAATGGTGGATCATTCCATAGCTATGTTAGTTTACCCTAGTTTACCAGAGGGTATCCCCAATAGAACATGATGTAAATCCATAAATCCATTGGTTGCTGTTCAGTGTTCATTCTGTTTAGGCATTGATATGAAGACACGGTCCAAATGTTTTTCGTTGCATGTGGTGGTGGAATGACCTGTGGGACAGTTGAAGATGGGCTCTTTTCCTTGCCACTGAAGAATGGTTTGACTACTGCGGGTGGCTGGATATGCACATGCGGCAAGTAAAAGACTTGGACCCTGCAGAAGACAAGTATCACTTGGGGGAAATGGAGCATATTGTAGATTTTCATCCAAGCTTTAAGCACCCGGTGTTGATATAAAGTTACTGTATGTACAGCAAATACAGCCAGGGACTGGCAGAATCTCTCAGAATGGTCAGTTTTGCTGCATCCAAGCATCCAATGTTCAGGATTTGTAATTTTGAGTAAATTAAGGAGATCTGTGATTCTTTGAAACCTGGATGGGTCAAACTTCGCGACTCCAACATCCGATGGATTTTGTTCACATCACTCCAATACATTGCCTTTTTGACGCAAACCCGTTGTGATTTCGGGTTTTCTTCGGGGTTTCACGGTCTGGACGGACGCATCCTCGGGGTTTTTGCAAGATGGCAATGGGAATTGGACACAAAAAGTTCAGAATCAGGCACACACGAAACAAACATCAAGGCGTGTAATAAGTGCTGCAGCATGGTAAACCATATTTATGTATCAATATATAATATATAAAGATTAGGTACACAGCACAATGGACCAATGCCAAAAGGGTTCCTACACTTATGTCCATTTATTAGTTATAACTGGTTATTTCTATGGGATTATACATTCTATAAATGGGGTGACTTGTTAGTACTTATAACAGGTATTTCAGGCCATAACTGTACATGAATTAATATGTGGGTACCCCCAAATCATCAATTTCACTAGGATCTTCCATTGTAAACCAGACATTTTGGGTTTTCCCATTTATGGGAAATCCCCATATAAGATCGACCACTTCGAAACCTGAACTTTCAACAAAAGGCCGGTGATTTTGGCGAGGATCTGAACCCATCTTTGCGGATGAGATCAGTTTATCCAGTACTCGAGATGCTCGGTAGCCGGATCACGCGGATCACGCGGATCACGTTCATCGCCCATTTTCAGAGACAGTCGGAGCAAAAAAAAATATGGGTTATACCAGTTATACCTTCTGGTAAACTAACATAACTATGGAAAGATCCACCATTTTCAATGGGTAAATCCACTATAAATGGCAATTTTCAATAGCTATTTTGACATAACCAGAGGGTAGATGAAAATGGGCGATGTTATGAACATCTGGGTTTTAAGATCTTTTTCATCCATCCTCTAAGAAGATGGTGATGTTAAAACAGATCTTTATAGAGGATGGATGTCATGAACCATCATTGAAACCCAGGGTATCCAGGGGTTGCATGCATCGTACAATGTCAGGCCCCCAAGATATAAGTTGGGTTATAAGCCCCAGGAACTATAGTTATAAATACCATAAACCATAGTTATTTTCAGTTATAAACCAACTTAGCTATCTTGGGGGCCTCACATCTTACAGTTGGTACCACGTTGCGCTTCCATCCCAAACTTTTCATGATCCCGGTGGAAAAGAAGATCTTCTTGCACTGGCTGTGATCTACCAAACTGTTGCTTGGGAAAATTACTGCTGGGGAGGATCCAAACGGTTGTCCTACTACCCTCTGGTAAACGTTAACAGTTTGCCATTGAAAATGGCCCAGTCGAAATAGTTGATTTACCCAGCTAGAAAATTTCGTGGATCTTTCCATAAAAATGACCTTTATAGTTGATTTATCCATTAAACATGGTGATTTTCCATAGTTTTTTGTAAACGTTTACCATTTCGGGTACAGAAGGGAAACCAATATATGGTGTGATCCATCAACTTATCATGACCAAAACCGTCACCGGATGGGAAATGGCTGGATGGAATCATCCCCATGGCCGAATGATAGCAGCGAATTTCAGGTCGGTGATTTCTTGTAATTCAGCCAGGTACGGAAAATGGTCCGTTTATAGATGATGTAGCTATTTTGCATATGGTGATTTTCCATGGCTACCACTCCCAGAGAGGAAACAGATCACTGATTGGTGGTTTGGAACATGAATGGATTATTTTTCCATATATTGGGAATGTCATCATCCCAACTGACGAAGTTATATTTTTCAGAGGGGTAGGTCAACCACCAACCAGATGCCATTAAAAGTCCCATTAGATCCTATTAAACCACCATAAAATCCCATTCAACCATTAAATGCCATTAAACCACCATAAAATTCCAAGAACTGCCGGCGCTGAGGATAAGCTGAGCTTTGAATATTCTGCCATTTGGGTCTCCAACATTCTGCCGTGGATAGGACGGACGGCCCTGGGGTCCGGATGGGGTCCGAAAATTTGGGGCCGGTGCCAGGCTCCTTAAGACGCCATCAGAAATGGTATGGAACAGAAGAGGATATCTGGTGTTTATCAGATATTATTGTTATATTCTGCCCACGAATTCCTGGATGTTGATGATTCAATAGCAGATATTTCATGATATTTCGCTGGACTCATCAAGTCAACAACAATCCCATGGTATCCGGGGAGGATTTCCATGAATCAAGGGGCCACGTTTACCGTTGTGCGTCCAAGAATGATACCCCAATTTATGGCAATTCTTACATATATATATATATATGTATAAGAATATATATAAATATATTCTGAGAGGAACAGTTGTGGATATCTGATAAACCATGGGATTAGTTTGTTTTTCATCCATGATTTTGTGTAATTTTCAAGCCATCCAATGTGTATTCACCTGCATTTGGTTAAAATCCACCATGGCGCCCATTTAGTACCCAATACTGACCGAGCCGTTTGCAGCAAAATGCAGGCCTTGCCGTGACCGTCGCCTTATACCTCACGGCTGTGCTGATGCCTGCCGAAATGGAGGCCATTTGATAGGTAGGCTGCATGTGGTGAGATGTATACGAAACATATATACAATATTGTAGAACATTGTCGTATATGTGTTGGATGGATTCTGCGTTTCTTCTTTTTTGAATTCGTTTTTTTCGTTGCCAGTTGTCAGTTCCTGCAATGTCCTTGCAAATCATGAGGGATGTCGACAGATTGGTTCAGGGAAGGGCAGCCGCAGAAGAAAAGCAAGACCTTAGCCTTAGAACCATGATTCCTGGATTGCTACCACTGGTGGACCACCTGTTTTTCTTTAATCATATTAAAGCATAAACAACACTGCACCTATTTTTACCGACAGTAAACAAATTATTTAACCACAGTTTCCATTACCCTCGGGTGATCAAACATGGCAATGGAATATCCTTTGGTTCGACATTTTTTCCCATCAACACCTCCATTTAGTTCAATTTAGTTCAGAGATTTTCCATCATCTTTTCTCATCTTTTCCCTATGTTGCCATGTTTTCCACATTTTACCCTCTGGTAAACGTTTACATAACTATGGAAAATCACCATTTTTAATGGGGAAATCCACTATTTCAATGGCCATTTTCAATAGCTATGTTAGTTTACGCCATGATAACACCCTTGAAAAAATTCCCCCAGGTGCGCTGCAAGCTGTGGATCATGGAGGAAATGGAACGGACACCGGGGCGCCGCGGGCGACTACTGCTCAAGAGGCCTACGGGATACACCATAACATTGATCCAGTATGAAGTTAGTGGAAGTTAGTGGCTTATGATTTGGGATATGGATAGATCATGATAGATCCATATAGATCCAATTGATGGTGATTCCACTATATTCCACTTAGTAAGATTTAGAAGGAGATATGTAGCCACAATTCTTTTTGTAGTGGAATTTAGTAGCCATAGTGATCATCCACAAGGAGGATCATTCCACTTAGATTTAGAAGTCACTGAGATCCAGTGGGATGATCCAAAAATTGCACCACGAGGTGGTACCAGAAAGAGTTTTGTGAAGGTTGATCTTCACCCCCTGAACTAGTTCGATATATCTACCATATATCTACCATTTGTGTTAAATATGATTAACTATTGATTGTAAATGAACTTGCTTCACAAATCAACTCTAAATCTCCATTCTTGCCAAAACATCATCATTTTTTTATCTGGTTCAAAAAACCACCTTTTTCCTTGGTGTCGCCAGGCTATGGGTCATCGGAGCCTGGCCCTGGCTGTCCTGGCGTAGCTTTTTGGCCACCAGCAAGTCCCAAGTGAGCCGCTCGTCCTACGCACCAGTTCCCGGCAAACGCTGGCAAGAATAAGATGACCCAGTTATAAAGGCAACAACGAATACACCCATGACTGGTGGTTTTAGATGGTTTTAGATGGTTTTTTAGAGGTCACCCAGAGCAGATTAGATGGATTTTTATTGATGTTACATGACTGGTTGGTGATTTCAAACATGAATTGTATTTTCCATTTCATATATGGAAAATTATCCTTCCCATTGACGAAGTCATATTTTTCAGGATGGTTATGGCACCACCAACCAGATAAGTTAATCACTATTAATCACCATTCATCACCATTAATACACTATTAATACACTATTAATCACCATTAATACACCATTAATTACCATTAATACACTATTCATCACCATTTTTCTACACCATTAATCACCATAAACACACTACCAGTATTAATCACCATTTTCAGCACTGGATAGTCATAACTTATTGAATTTCCCCGCTCGATTTTAGCTCCGGTGATTCGGGGGATGACCAGATTGACCCGATCGAAAAACGGGGCCCACGGCGAGGTCACATGGTTCGATGGTTTATTCTGCCGGATGGGCGGCTCCCTAAGCCCTTGGAGATGTACAGGCGCGAGGGTCTCGGGTCTCGGGGATAGGGTAAGCCTCAGGTAATTTGTTACATAACTATGGAAAATCACCATTTATAGTGATTTTTCCCATGAAAAATGGTGATTTTCCATAGTTATGTTAGTTTACCAGAGGGTAAGCCTCAGGTTTTTCTGGGAGATGTCCCGAAAATAACTTTGGTTTAGGCTTAGACTATGGTTATTTCATGTTATTTCTGACTTAGTAACTGGAATAATTATATAATATTATATACATCCAAGTACCCGGCAAGAAATGGGTACTTGGATGGGTAATGGTTATCGAAAATTTGGAGTTTTCTCTCCAACCAACATGGACTCTGCCAAAGGGTGATTGGAAGACTTTTCTCCTCGGATGGCACTGAGGGTGATGACAACCCTCAAAAGTCAATGGAGGGCTATTTATTTTGGGAATTATGTTTTTTCCCCGTTTTGGGCATGTTTTTTGGATTTCTGTTTTCCTGCTTCTTTGCTTTTCAGCTTCTCTGCTTTTTGCTATTCTGCTTGCTTCTCTGCTTTTATAGTTCTTTGCTTCTCTGCTTCTCCACTTTTCTTCTTCTCCGCTTCTCCGCTTTTCCGCTTTTCTGCTTTTCCAGCTTCTTTGCTTCTCTGCTTTCTGCTTTTCCAGCTTCTTTGCTTCTCTGCTTTCTGCTTTTCCCTGCTTCTTTGCTTATCTGCTTTTCTGCTTCTCTGCTTTTCCCTCTTTTTTTGTATCTCATACTGCAGATAATCCTTAAGACACATCATATAAATTATATAGATTCATATAAATAAGTAAACCCTAATTCAACCATAAAAAACAACCAAAGAAACACTAAAGCAACTCTAAGTAAACCCTAAACAATCCCTACATGATTTTGAATGTAATCCTAAATAAAACTTATATCAGCCCTAAATAGATCTTAAACCAGACCTAAATAAATCTTAAACCAACGCAAAACACACCTTAAACCAATCCTGAATAGGTCCTGTCTTACCCTAAATAGATCCTAAACCAACGCAAAACACACCTTAAACCAATCCTGAATAGGTCCTGTCTAACCCTAAATAGATCCTAAACCAACCCTCAACAAACCTTTAACCAACACTAAATAGGTCCTAAACCAACCACAAATAGGTCTCAAACCAAGCCTAAATAAACTAAACCCTAAACAAACCCTAAAAAGATCCTAACCCAATCCTTAAACAAATCCTACATAAACTTAAACCTTAACTCTAAAACTCTTAACTGACCCTAAAACCAACCCTAAATGAACCCTAGTCGAGAACTACCATGTTACATCAACAGTTCGAGCACCAAAATGTTGCAAATTCCATCGAAAATGAGAGGTTTGAACTCAAAAATGCTGCAAATACCCTTGAAACAGCAGCTTCCAGCTCCGAAATGCTACTAATTCCACCAAAATGTTGCAAATTCTATGGAGAATGAGAGGTTCCAACTCCAAAATGTTGCAAAGACAGTTGAAATGGCAGCTTCCAGCTCCAAAATGCTGCAAATAGCAAGGAAAACGGACAGAAAGCGGATCCAAAAAAAAAACAAAGCGGAAAAAAAAACAAACAATTGGACCCAAAGTCAATTGTTGATGTGGAGGTTTCCGTTTCGTCATGGTACCCCAAATCATCCAATGAAAAACCATGACTCAGCATTGAAACAACCATGGTGACGGCTGGGGATCCATCATGACTTAAGAACCTCCCAACTGGTAACGTGATGATCAACTGGTAAACCATTGGATTGTAGGGATGAAGGGGGAGACTTGGTCAATGTTCAGAGCCACGGGGACCGATTTGGGCACCTCCAATTTTGCTGGCGAAACTCAGAGGCAGCTTTGAACTGGGTACACCCACTGTTAGTCAAGCATGGTCAGCTGGGAAATTTATTGTTTTTCACTTTTTCTTAGGTGTAGTAGCTACGTTTTTTTTCCCCCCCTTGTTTACTGTGTTTTCGCAGCGATTGGGGGTTCTGAATCAGAGGGGATCCAAACCGATTCACTTCATGTTTTCTGTGAATGGAATATCCAGTGGCAAGTGGTGTTTGGCTATTTCTTTGAGGGGTCTAGCAAGGGAATTTTCACCCCTTAGGGGTATTCGGTATTCAGAAGCAAAAGCCGCAAGTTTCACAATCCTTTGGGATAACCAGATGTCCAAAAATGTGAGAAAACTGGGCCTTCCTTGCCTAAAGGCTGCAGGCAACAATCAACATGCTCTTTCTGTTGTTTTTGTCTTCAGAGTCTTTGCCTTCCTAAAACCTTCAAGAAACGGCTTCGGAAGCTGAATTTCCAAGTGGAAGTGTCTTCTAATTTTGGCTCCATCTTCTAGTTTTCCCAAGGTGTTTTGGTGGTTAAGGTTTTGGTTCACCTTTTGGTTTCACATCTGGATTTTTGGATCGGCGATTCGATCAACCCCGGGGATTTTTTTCCGGGTTTGGTTTGAAACCTGGCAGGTCCCTTCTCTTCCTGATCTTCGGGTCCATTTTAAGTGGCATGGCTCCCTGGCTCCTACTGGGCGCCATTTGTGGGGAGATGATGATCTGGCTGGCGCTGCAGCTCTGCCAAGTGATTAGGCGCCGCACTGTGACACGGGATTGGAAGGGGAAAAGATCGAAATGTGGAGAACGGGCGGTGTGTACAAAGGGCAGGGACGTAATCAGCACGAGCTGATGACTCGCGCTTACTAGGAATTCCTGGTTGAAGATCAATAATTGCCATGATCTATCCCCATCACGATGCATTTGAAAAAGATGGAGAATCGCCAAAATAAATGGACAAATGGACACCAAAGATGAAGGCAGCAGAAATCAATGGGAGAATCCCTTCAGTATAGCATTTACATTCAATTTACCTCACCGCCCCTTATTTGTGGGCCCAACATGAACAATAATTAGATCCAATGCTAAAGCAGAATTTCAACCAGGGATGGAATTAATGTTGGGGAGAAGTTCGGGAAAAGGAACTAGTGATTGGCAACAAACAGTCTTGCTTTCTGGGGATTGTTTTTTTTCTTTTATTTGTGGGCTGTGGGTGTAACTTCATAGCTCTCAAAATGGAGCCTCAACTGGTTTGGAGTTTTTATTGTGCAAGGACATACTTGAACCCTACAGATCCAAATACTCCCTTCTAGAAAGGACCAGTCATCAGTCATCAGTCGTGTACCTCAGTCATCCGGCGGGGAAGGATAAATCCTGGCTTTTCCTTGTTGTTCCATGGTTTTCCCACGGGTTTTTCCATGGGTTTTCCGCGGCCCAAGTTCCGCCCCGTTCGGCCTCATGGCAGGTATTTCAAGTCGCCCTTTGATCCCCTGGACTTGCGCGACATGCAGCTGCGACAGAACATCTCCAGGGTCATGGTGAAAGATGAAACTTGGCCCCCAGATTTGGGCACCGTGGGCACCGTGGGCGGTGGATCTGGATCTGGAATCCCTTTAAGAATAGGTTTCTACAAGGTGGTGCCCCCCAGTTATAAGTTGGTTTATAATCCCATTAACTATAGATATATCACCTATAAACCATAGTTATTGGAGTTATGAACCAACTTAGCTATCTAGGGGGCCCCACCTTGTAGGTTTCTATGATGATAGATGGTAGACCAAACAGCTCCCGGCCCATCTATTTTAGCAAAAGGACATTATAGGCTAGATCTCTGGTTCTCTGGATCTAGAATCCCAAGTTTTTTTGGGAAGAACAATGATACATCGGATTTGGAGGTAGCTTTTTCAAGCTGGAAAGCCGGAATCGTCCAGAACCTTAAAAATGTGGTGCCCGCACCCGTTATTTGACTTGTAGTTGGTTTAGAACCCCAATGAATTATAGAATTATAGAGTAGTATAGTATAGATATATTGTTACTATATGTATCATACACCCTAGGAAATTGGAGTTATATAGCAACTTGGCTAACGCACTGGGGCACCACCTTGTGGAAGTAGCTCCCCAGACGCACGCTACGACGAATTATGTTTGATGAGCCGTCGTAGCTGGTGATCCAGATTGACTTTCATGTTTTGGGGTGGGTTCTTCAACCAGCCAGACAACTATGAAACCTGAACGTGTTTGGAGTGTTCCAAAATGTTAAACATGATAGCCATGATAGCGCCTTCGCACCCTGAATATGATTCCTTAGTTCTTGGCAATCTCCAAACGCAGCACATCGTGGAGGGCCGATCCGATGGATCATATATCCTAGATTGGTATTCGTCAGTTTGAATTGCAGATAATAGCTGAACGATAACCCATACAAAACATCACTGGTTGGTGGTTTGGAACATTTTTTATTTTCCACAATATATGGGATAATCCTTCCCATTGACTAATATTTTTCAGAGGAGTTAAAACCACCAACCAGTAATACAAGCTATGGAAATGCATGGTTTACCTAGGAAATGATCTACGAAAAAATGCTTTCTAAAATTGCTGGAGAGGTAGCCATTTACTATGCGAAATCATATTCTTTTAATGGAAATTTCCACAAATCTATCTTTCTGCGTGCTTTCAATGGAAAATCCCTACATATGGGAACATCCGTATGTCACATCTAATAGTTTGTGGTTTACCCCAGCAAGTGGGTAAAATCAGCACAGTTCTGGACGTTGCCCCCTACTTACTCTACTTATGATTTAATCAAGGTTATAAACAAACTATAGCATACACTACCAAGTATGAACTAACTAACGAAACAACTCAACTAAGTATACCCTAGTTACGCTTACACATTCTACCTTGCTATACAAGTTTTTCGTGAACCGAAGCAGTTGGGGGCGCATTTGGGGTGCAGTCCATGATGGGAAAGGGCTGGTGACACAACAAGTTGGGAACAAAAATCACTGGATCATGATCTACCCTATAAGGTAAACGTTTACAAAAAACGAACTGGAAAGATCCACCATACTTTTTTTAATGGAAAACTCACTATTTCGATATTCGAAAAAAATCAATAGCTATGTAACAAATTACCAGAGGGTACATTATAGTGGGCAACTACCATGCTTTTACATTTAGTAAAAAGTTCCACTTCGTGGAACTAGTACTGACAGAAACCTGGATTGATCCCAACTGATGGTCAAAAACTGACCAAACAACTGCATCCCTGCTATTTTTTTCAGAGCTACCCCATGGAATCCCCATGTGAAGTTCCATGGAATCACCATTTTTCCCCATGAAACTCATATGAAATCACCATTTTTCATGATGAAATCAGAGAATTCCCACGTTTTTTTTGGGGCCAGAACTGAGGACGAAGGTCTTGGTCGCGCCTTTGATGTGGCCGCAGGTGTGGCCACGACCATCGTTTACGGCCTGGCCTTCTTTGGAAAGCACCGCGGTGGAGCGTTTTTGGGGGGTGCAAATCCATGGAAAACTGTAGAAAATCCATTGAAAACTGTGGAAAATCCATGGGAAAGTGTAGAAAATCCATGGGAAACTGTAGAAAATGGGTGAATTTTCGAGATTCACCAGATTTTCACCAGATTTTGGTGATCTTTGGGGTCAACTAATTTTAGAACTGGTAGTGCTATGAGCAGTGGACGGGAAACGATCCGCGTTTGTGACATTTCGCTGCTTGTTTTACACTTGAGGATACGGTTTAGTAAAAAAAAACTCAGCCACAAATTAAGTGTATCCCAATTCATAAATCCCGGATCATCGAAGTGGGGGAAGTCATGTAATAATATAATACATCAATGGTTAATGGTTAATGGTTAATGAATGGCTAATGTTAATGGATAATTTAACATAATACATATATATATATAAATATCCAATCTTGGATGATCTTGGATGATCTTGGATGATTTGTTGCTGTCGATGGCCCTGTGAGGTTCATCTTCGATTTGTTGATTGTCCGTGCTCAGATGCTGTCCGTCGAGGTGCGAAGTTCGACAGACACTGGGGACACACACACACTCACAGATAGTTGTAATTTATGCATGAATATAGAAATCAAAACTCATATATATATATATATTTATGATATAAAATTAAATGATATATAAATATATATATAATAATATTTATAATAATAATAATGATATACGTAATAATATTTATAACAGTAATATATATGTATATATATTATAATGAATATATATTATAATGATATATGGTATGATATATGTATTGAGCGGGCTGGATAATCAAGTAGGATCATGACTCTATCTATGACTCTTAATATCAAATGTAGGACTTCTGCTGCGAGATCCTTGGTCGGCGATCCCTTATGAGTTGGCTTGGCCCAGTTCCCCGTTGATGGTGTCTCAGATTGGCCAAGTTTGTGGTACCTTAAACTGCCATAGATCATTCATTCGCATTTTTTAAGGTATCCTCTGGTAAATAAACAGTTCGACCCTGAAAATAACCCATTTTTAATGGAAACTCATCTTCCAACCCCTATCTGGCAGTGGAGGGTATCGCCTGATCCCTCCATGACCCAGGGTTCCGTTTTTATTGCCAGGCCATCGAAAACATCGAGGCAGATAAAGTGGTGGAACTCTTCCCAGGGCTTTTAGAAACTCTGCAAGAGCCCGCGATGCTGCTCTATGATGTCACTTGGTGAACTAACCGCTGGATGCTGGACCTGGCTGCGAGACAAGCCCCGGGTTGATGATTTTGTTGCGGGCGTTGATGTTTCCCCAGTTGTTTTGTTGGGAGATGATGATGTCAATCCCGTGTGGGAATCCGTATTGACCAACCAGTATAATCACCACCTGGACATCAAACAACGCTAATCATAAGAATAAGAATAGTCATGGTAGCACCAACAATGCTAATGCTAATACCAACAAGATTGGTAATTGTAGTTGATGGTTTTATGATTACAGTAATATATATATATATATAACTGATCGGTGGTTTGGAACATGGCTTTTATTTTTCCATATATTGGGAATGTCACTATCCCAACTGACGAAGTCATATTTTTCAGAGGGGTTAGCAGCAACCACCAACCAGATAAGATGCTGATTACATTAGTTGTCTAACCCCCATGATCCCCAACAAAGATGGCGAGGAACAACCCATGTTTCTTTGTGGAAAACCATGGATACTGGCGCTGTAAATACTACTTGAATCTCATTGAATTCCATTGACATGGAACGTATACCAGAGGATATTTGGATAAATGATAACGACTGCACTGGGACGTCAGTCGAATGATGGGAATTTGACTGGAGGAACTCTTCCAAAAACGGTCTAAATAATCAGCTTGGTGAATATTCCCCTATCCCCATCCTGTTCCCTATCTCCAATATTACCATATATTACCAATATCCCTATTATACTACCACTATTGATGGTAAATATACCTACTTATAACCATTCAGCCATATATATTTATATAATTATATATATATATGATTTGTATGTATATATATACATATCAAACCACTATATATCTATATATCCAAAACATATATTTCTCAGATACATACTGTATATGACTTGTTTTTTCTCTGTATCATTTATCTCATGTCGTTTTTTTTTCGGGCAGTATGGCACCATATCACGTCCCAATCCCAGCAGGTCATGTACTATACCAGTCAGTTGATCTCTTGGACTTTGGGGCAGTTGGCACCTTGGCGGAAAATACGTGAAACATGTGAAACAGATATACATACTCGTCGTATATATATATATGTATGTATATGTATATATTTTTATATATGGAACAATATATATATAATATGTATACACTGTATATATATATACATGGATGATTTAATAACCATAGTAATGGGATATTTATGGAATATCAATGGGACATTAAATGGGATACAATTACGAATGGGATAAAGATGAGGATGTAATGGATTATTTTGGTTAAGTGTTAACTTACCCTCTGGTAAACGTTTACATAGCTATTGAAAATGGCCCAGTCGAAATAGTGGATTTACCCATTGAACATGGTGGTTTTCCATAGCTATGTTAGTTTACCAGAGGGTATATAACTTATATTCATTTATAATGACCTTTCGTAGAAACGTCACTGGAATGGTGGGAAATGGCCAGAACTCACTCCGAACAAACAAGTGCCGGCCAGGTGGGGATCCCCCTCTGCGAAGGCTCCTGCGCCTTAGCGGGCTCCGTAGCGCTGGTGATGATTTTGTATGGAGCCTCCCAGTGGCTGAACTACGACCTCTTCGGCCTCTTCGTAGCTTAGCTCTGAGATATATGGAGCGTGAAACTGGGGTCCGTTCTCAGGGGAAAATGGGATAGTTGGGAATAAATTGAATAAATAGCTGGATTATAGTGGGGATGATGGGATTATGACTGGATCATTGGAGATGTAACCAACAGATGAGCAGCAAGGAATCGTGGGGTTCGCCATTGCGGAGACCAAGTTAGTGTTGCTAAGTTCTGCAGTGGGGAAAGCAACGATGTGTGTGATAAACCCAATAATGAACCTTATTAACGTGGATATAGCAAGATGATATGCCATCTGGTTATTTAACAGTTTGTCGTGGAAAGATCCACCATTTGTAAAAACGGTAAACCATCTATTTCGATTAGGGCCATCTATACCATGGCTATGTAGCAAACAACCAGAGGGTAAGTGGATACAACCTGGATGGTCCAAGGATTTTTTTTTGTTCAGGGAGTATACTACACAATCTGATGTGGTAATCTCAATAGCCACCGTCCCGTTCACCCACCATGACTTGGGGTAGTGTTACATCCTCCTAAATTGAGGTATACTCAACAATACACCCCCTATAAATTGGGGATTATTATTGTTGGGTTTACCTCAGTTAAAAAAATGGGATACCCTCTGGTAAACGTTTACATAACTATGGAAAGATCCACCATTTTCAATGGGAAAATCCACTATAAATGGCAATTTTCCATAGTTATGTAAACGTTTACCAGAGGGTACCCCCATCTTAAAACACATTTGTGAAGTCCACACTCTTCTTGTTTGCTTTCCATCCCGAGAAATGGGTTACTACCGTAGTAGCGGTGTGGCCGGTGTGGCCTCAAGCGTCGGCCCCCATTTCGAGACAAAGCCGTAGAAAGATTAGTAGCTCTGGGTTGTAGCTCTAGATGATTTCCAGATATGTTCCCATCGATTTCCAGAAACATGTTTTTTTATGGGAAATACCATCTGGTTATTTAACATAACCATGGAAAATCCCAACCATAAATGGAGGTTTCTAGCTGGGGAAATCATCTACAAATGGGGCATTTTCCATGGTTTTGTTAAATAACCAGAGGGTATATGTTTTCTGCATATATTTCTATGGTGATGATCTGCTTGGGAATTTCATCATCCCAACTGACGAAGTCCATCATTTTTCCGAGGGGTAGGTCAAACACCAACCAGTGATGATTTCTGCATATATAATTTATGGTGATCGTCAAAATGAATAGATGGTGGTGTTCGATTCCGAATTTATCCCCATGAACTAGTCATATCCGAGTCATGTCCGAGTATCGGATTGTCACAAGTCATCAACAAATGACTTGTTTCTTCGATCCAAAAAAAGATGTTCCGTGATGTCAATGTTTATGGTCTATCCAGATATCATGACTTCAGATATGTCATGGTCAAACTTTGAATTTACAGATGTCCCATTTATTTCAGGACAGGTTATTTGAATATGTTTCCATATATATATATAGACAATTAATGTCTTTGGTATATAACCATGGATTTCCCACATGTTTCCCCAATGTTTCCCACATATCCCATGTATAGATAGGGTGTCCTACATTTTTGTTCATGTATTTCTCATATATTTCCCACACATATGTCCCATGCTCATAGATTTCCAATAGATTTCCCATGGATTTCCCATAGATTTCCTACATATCCAATAAATGCTGGCAGGATGTCCCACATATATATATACATATATACGTTATTTTCCATAGATTTCCCAGATATTTTCCCACATATTCCATAGATTTCTCATAGATGTCCCATTGATATGTCCCAGAAATACATCCCATGTCCAAAGAAACAATTCCATTTTTTCCATACATTTCCATTTTTCTTTGGTATTTCCTATAGATTTCCCACATTTTCCACAGATTTTCCCTACAGAATCCCCCCGTTCTGAACCTGGGCAGGTGGCCTCGCGTCAGGTGGTGAAGGCCACGCGGCCGGAGTGTCAACGGAGCCTCGGCCGGTTTTTTTTTAAAGTGATTTTTAGTGATTTAGGTATATAGTGGTTAATTCCCTTTAATGGTAGATATAATCAACTAAGATATATGGGTTATAGTGATTTACAGTGGCTATAATGTGGGTAAAACAATCATAAACCATCTCCCCACAAGTAGGTGATATAAACCATTCCCAGTCATGGGTGGTTTTTTGTTGTTTTACTCACATTAGTGGTTATTAACACAATATATGGGATATAACTAACTAATGTAATGGGATATAATGATTAATTCCCATTAACAGTAGATATAACCAACTAAGATAAAATTGCTAGACCAACTGGGATTTAATCGGTGTATAATCAACAGTAATGGTGAAACATTGGGAATTTAGCATGAAACATGGTGATTTAATAGAATATTCGTGGGCATATGAATAAACTCTGGTAATTATAGTTACCCAATATTCAGTATATCCATTCTCGTAGGACTATTTAACTACTGGGAATATAATTGGATTCAATGGCTATAATGGTTTTGACGGGGATATATTATGTAATGTATTCTAATATTAGAATTATGGATATATAAATATCATATACAACCTAACTGTTGAATGGGATAGTTAATAGTTTAGTGGGATATAATGGGATAACTACTAACTTCAATTATCTTAAAATAGTTTAACCAGCTGGGATATACCGGGATACAATAGTATAATGATTCCAATGGTTATAATTGGGAGAATCCGAATTAGAATTCAACATAAAAATTGTATATTGGATATAATGGTTATTAATGGGACTATAATGGCTATAACTGTTTTGATTAATAACCATTTTGTATAACTATTGAACTATTTATCTGGTTATCTATTTTTCTACTGACTATAACTAGACACTATTTATTTATCTTGACTAAGTATAGAGAACAAACTGGGATATAATGGGATGCAAGTCCAGAAGGTAGATTACCAACCAACTAAGCCATAACAAGTTGGTCTCTAAAAATGGGTTTTATTCTCTACTATTTTATATTACAGCTATTTCCTCAGTTTTAACTATTGCAATTAAAGCAATCCTGGTTATAATGCTTTGGATGAATGGATATAAATGGTACAATTGACGGGGAGTGACTAAATAGATATCATGGGAATATAATCCAATATATTTCATCAAAAGGGATATTTCATGGGGAAGATGATAACAACATATTTATAACCCTTAGATACCCTTAGTGCTTGTGGTTCTCCCTCAATTTTTGTGCTTGGAAGATCATCCCACGGCTCGTAAGTGGTAGTTTTACCATAGGAAAATCATGATGGGGTAATATTCAATGTAAATAGGTAAATAGGTAATACCATTAATAGGTAATAGGTAATAGGTAATAGACAATCCAACAATCGATGTAAATAGGTAATACCCAACATGCTTTAAAAAAAAAAACACAGTCCCCAACATCATCGTTTTTATGGGTGGGATTGAAACCATCCCCAGTCATGGTAGGTAAAAATGGCAGCCAGGGTTGCCCACATTAATCCATTGATGGGATAAGCCGAACTCTTGGGTGACTTGGAATGAGATTTGGGTATTTCACCAGCAATTCTTGCGTAGTTAGTAAGTCCCCTTCTTTCGTCGCTTAATTATGTACCTATGGTTAAAAAACACCACTTTCTATAGGTGTCATGATCTTCCAAGTACCCCCAATGTGAAGATAGTTGGCAGCTTCTTTCGGATGGCTTGGGAGTGTCGTGATCACATCTTAACACTAGGATAGAAGTATTAAGTAAGTATTAAGACATCTTAAGTATCTAGTGATAGAAGACATTAATGCATCTTAACAAAAGGTTCAAATTGCCTCAGTTGTTTAAGTCTTTTGGGAGTTAAGTGATGACCTCGGACCTGGTTATGTATCTGGATCCAGAAAGAGATGGTTTTTACTTGTAAAATTCGACGATTTGTGGAGATGGAACTCGCAAAACATGTTATTTTTTCACCATCTCTATAAAGATTAGTGTTTTTCTGTTCCCATCTGAACATGTTCTTAAAAAAAAACTGTAATCTTCAACTACTAACAAGGAGGGCATTTTATGTTAATCACAGTTTTTTTAATCTTTGGTGAAGGAATTCAAAAATAACATGCAGTGTACCCCCAGAAGACCCATCCTTTTGATGAGGATCTTGGCGCAGTCCCTGATTTTGCTGTGCCTGGGAGCTTCCTTTGCGGCCGTGCAGATGACCATGGTGCTCTTCACACGAGCACCACGACGTAAAGGGGAACGTGGGCTATACGAAGATCTTTGTGGACTGATATACTCACATATATATATACATATATACACTTATATATATATACTTATATATATATATACTTATATATATACACTTATATATACTTATGCATATATATATATATACAACACATGATTTTATTTATACGTTTTTTCTTTGTATATGTTTATACATTACATACATATATACCTTCCCAGAATGAATGTTGCATTATGCCTACTAACCTACATTCAATGGATGTTTTGGGTTGTTTTGGTGTAAATGTGCATATATATATATATACGCAATCCATGGTCTAGATAGCACGTGCCCTCAATTGTGAGCTTTCCAAACCAGCGGGAGTGGACAATATGAACTTCCATGTATCCCCCGCACACAGTTGCCGATAGAAGGTGAGGAAAAATGTTCTTCAAGTCTCCAACCCCCCTAGTGATTTTATTCCACTTGATTCATGTTTTTTCATTTTCGGCAGAGTGCCCATGGTCCTTTCATCACTAAAATCATACTATATCATTCTATATCATTCTATATCATTCTATATCATTCTATATCATTCTATATCATTCTATATCATTCTAAATCATTCTATATCAGATACAGTGTCCTGACTTTTGTCTCTACCTGCAGTTTATGGATCTGGCCATTCTGGCCTTGGCCTGGTACTAAGGCCTTGGCGTTTGCCAATCCCTTCACTTCTGCCACTTGGGTATCTTGGTACATGGATGATTATGGACGGTCCTAAACCATATCTTTAAGGTAACAAAAACCATTGGTTTTTCCGTGAAAACCATAGGAAAAACCATTGGTTTGAGGAAAACCATCTAAGCTAAGTTAACCCTGGTTGTCTACGAAAGCTTCCAGCCCACCAAAAAATCATGAAATCTGATGACATCCCCCTGTCCCACATCGCTTTCTTCCGTTTTTGTGCTAGATGCTTGGCCTTGTTTTCTTGATGTGTTTTCCTTTGTTTTTGGACATCAAATTGTTGAACTTGGAGCTGTACCATCTACACGACCTCACTTGCCCAGAACATTGGCCATGCTGAGCCCAGATTTGAAGCAGTGATGGGTTGGGGTGATGCAAAGATATATTATATATAAAAAATAGATTCTATATAGATTATGTAATATTATATATAGATTCTATAGATAGTATCACATGATACTCAAAAAACACACCATCTCTATGGAGCAAGATACTCCCCAGTCATCATACACTGAGAGAGCACTTCCGAAGGCACGGCTCCGTAGGGAAAAATGATGAATAAACCATTTTCAACCATGAAAATTAATCATCCTGCTTATGGGTCAGTGAACAAAAAGGCACCCTTCTGTGAAAACACCATAGTTGGGATTTTTGCATCTTCATCCCGCCATTCATGTGGAAATGCGCACGTTTCTCTTCCATCACAAAGATTGAAAAATCAATCTCACAAATCCTACCTGAATGTAATATGACATCACAATAAATCCCATATATATAATATACAACCTTCGGTAATCAAACATGGCAATGGAAAATCCACCGTTTATATACAGATGATTTTCCCTTTAACGCCTCCATTTGCATTCATTTTTAGGTAATTTCCCATTGCCACTCTTGATTACCAGAGGGTATATATGGATATATACATATTATGTCAACTATATATATATTTATGTGTATATATATTTATGTGTATATATATATGTACTGTATATATATATATATATTTACATACACTATATATATACATAAACACACACCATCTTTCCTTGCTTGTGCTCCGAGGTTTGTCCTTATGATGATACCCTAGCCATCTTCGTGGGGCGAATCCTGCTAACGGGATCTTCAATCATAGGCGCAGCGTGAGTTACGTGGTGAGTTACCCCGGTATAAATCGGCAATGGGAAACCCTGTCTACAAGGTGGGGCCCCCTAGATAGCTAACTTGGTTTATAACTTAAATAACTATGGTTTATGGTACTTATAACTATAGTTAATGGGGTTTATAAACCAACTTATAACTGGGGGGCCCCACATTGTATAAATCGGCATTGAAATGGGAATATCGCCTGTAAATGGTGGATTTTCTATTGCCTCGTTTGATTTCCAACGGGGAAAATGGTGGAAGATTTTTTTAAAAGATGGGAAAAGGTATGTAAAAGGTATGGAACCTGTGTATTTATTCAAGACCATAATATTAGAACATAAATATATATATAATATACTTCAGGGTGTTTTCCCGTGGTAGAAATGTTCGACCAGCTGAGTGAGCTTCATCAAAGAATCCCAACGGCTTCCAAAGTCTTGAGTGGCAAACTGACGACCAGCCCAAGAAAGTACGCGCGAAAGAAATATGATTTTTGATAGTTCAATAACGACCTCACTACAATCCTCACTGCACAATGATGCTCAGACTAAGCAGAATCTATGATTGACCACGCCAGCGCTGTCAGCTGTTTTGATTTGACCTTGATACATTTGGGGTGACAAGATCCTCCGTGCCAGGAGTGCTTTTCGTCTTCTTGTGCGTCAATGGACACTTCGTGGGTCAGGACGTCAACGTCGAATCACAACTTGACCACTGGGAGTTCTCGTAAATCAAACACAATTGCAGTTTGCAGTTGATTCATGCCATAACTATGATATAAATAACATCTCTCATGATGACTAAGAACTGCTACCACATGACAAAACCTATTAGTAATCGTGAATCTCTGTTTAATGATCTATATTTATTCAAGTTCATCATCGAATTAGCCTGCAGTCAACATCTTACCCAAATGCTGTGATTGCTACCCTGGGCCCTAAGCCCTGCTCATGCCCATATTACTACAATGTGGTGCCCCCAAACGATGGCTAAGTTGTTTTACAAGTAGCTTAACCGTTAGCTTCATGGTAGATATATCGACCATTGTCGAACTAATTAATGGGGTGAATAGAAACCAACAATTATTGCCTCGTTGTATATCTCATTATTGTTGGATAAAATCCCACATATTCCAATCATGTCCCATCAGTTCTCATCTATTTTCCCCATGGAAATTCTTACATATCATATAGTTTCCCATGGATGTTCTCACATATCATCTATTTTCCCACAAGGTGGTGCCCCATAGTTAGCTAAGTTGGTTTATAACTCCCATAACTATGGTTTATGGCAGATATAACTATAGTTAATGGGGTGAACATAAACCAACAAACATCACTGGGGGGCACCATCCTGCATGGAAATTCTCCACATCCATCATTTTCCCATGTTTTTTTTCATGCTTCGACAGATTCACGGCACAACGAGGACTACATCACGGAGCGCGTGGCCCATTTCCTGGGCATCGACTTGGCGGAGCTGGACCCGGATGGCACCGGGGAGGAGGGTGGGATGCGCCTTGGCCATGGGGATGGATCAATACCTATTACCCTCTGGTTATTTGTTACATAGCCATGGAAAACGGCCCATAGAAATAGATGGTTTACCTATTAAAAATGGTGATTTTCCATGGCTATGTTAAATAACCAGATGGTAATACCATTTTTAGGGGGATGAACATCCATTTATAATGGGATATAATGGGATTATAATGGGATGAATATTGGGATTATAATTGGATTATGATGGGATTATATATATCTGGGTAAATTTCATCACGACCTCACTGTTCTCCCTCACTGGAAATCATAGTTATAGTAAGGGAAATCATCCCCAAATGGCCTTAATTCAGATGTGGCTATGGATCAATACCTATTAATACCATTTTTAGGGGGATGAACATCCATAAATCCCAGCTATTTTGATGTGAACTACAGGGGTACAAGGTTTTGACACTCTGCCAGTTGATGTAGTTGGTTGATGGCAACTACAATGTGAGGCCCAAAAAAGATATGTTTGTTGGTTTAGCAAAAGCCCCAGTAACTAGTTCGTTATAAATGCCATAAACCATAGTGACATTGGAGTTATGTTCACCAACTGAACGCTATCTAATGGGGGCCTCACATTCTACCATATCATCCCCTGATATTCCCATTCATCTTCCATGGTATAGTTGTCTTTTCCAATTTTTCCCATATATCTACTTACTGGTGCTAAACGTACGTAGGGTTGCTGGATGGGTTGCTGGGGGTTGCTGGGATGATTACCAGTGATTATGGATCATTCCCGAAAATTCCCTACTAAGCACCAGTAAGTTTAGAAATGATATGGAGATTGAAATGGGGGGTACTTCCAAAATAAATCATCCAGTTGACTCCCGGATTTTCCATCATAATCATCCATATTGGGGTACCTTCATTGATGGAAACCTCTATATGTATGTGCATGTATATATATAGATCACCCTGTGGATCCAAGTACCTTCTAAGAAAGTACTTGAGGTATGATTTAGGGGATTAAGTACCTTCTTAGACAGTGTTTGGATCCATAGGGATATGTATATATATATACATATATGTATATATATGATGTGTGATAGAATGTCTGGTTAATTGTTGAAAAATGATGATGATGATGATGATGGTGATGGTGATGGTGATGCTGATGATATTTGAAGATGTTTCATGTTATGTGTCGTTTTTTTTTTTTAAACATATATATATATATATATCTTATACGATGACCTATGGTGATATACCTCATTATATGTGGCACGGTTAGCCCTGTTTGGTTACACGAGGTTCCGCTTCGACGTCTTTGGTGCAGCGTTGCCCACACTCTTTGGAGTATGGTGGGTGCCCAGGGCCCAAGTTGAGAGGCGGCAGAAAGCATGAAAAAATGCGGGATTTAGATAGCCTCTAGTAATGACTAACAGTTTGCTATTGAAAATTGCAAATTTATACTTGATTTACCTATTAGAGACGGTGATTTTCCATAGCTATGTTAGCTGACCAGAGGCTAAATGGGATTTAGATGTGAAACATTGCTACAACATGGCATTGAGGTCGCAAGCATAGAATGGCAAAACATACACAGGGGATATTAGTGGCATAATAGTTGGAACGATGTATGGTATCTTGACGGAATATTGAATCCACGTGGGCAAATTGTAGTTTGTGCCACGTTTCCTCGTTTCGATATCTTCAGGGAACCATGCCAGTACCCTCTGGTAAACTAACATAGCTATTGAAAATGACCATTTATAGTGGATTTTCCCATTGAAAATGGTGATTTTCCATAGTTATGTTAGTTTACCAGAGGGTACTTGTTTACATAAACAAGTCCTTATTTGGTCACACCTAGGGCCCATGATGTACACCAGAGAATCCCTGAGATATCACCTTGCTGGCATGATCCCTGCAAGAGGGTGCTGTAGATGGTTGGTGAATGTGTTACAACTTACAACCCAGATTGCGAGCAGAACAATTTCTGATCTTTTTAGTGTTCCTATTAGCAGTGGTATATGCACAGCATTCAGCCATTATGATAGTGATAATGATACTAATAACACCAGTAGTGATACTAAATATCACAATGTTGACTTTAGTGACATTTATAGACTTTTTCTGCTATGTTTCTCATTCCTATTACTATCATTATTTCAGTGGGAGATCTTCAGGATCCAATTGATGGAGGTACGTAAACGTACCATATTTTTGGCCATATTTTCTGGGGATATTCCGATATTCCCTTAAAAATAGGCCTTATATATATATAGGCCTTATATATGGTAGGTAGGTACCTCCAATCAATCGGATCCTGAAATGGCCATTGATTATTTCACTAACCACTACCCTCTGGCTATTTGTTACATAGCCATGGAAGCCATGGCCCATAGAAATAGATGATTTTCCCAGCGACATCAACCTCCATTTATTGTTATGTCTTACGTCAATTCTCATCTCTGGATGGAAAAGCCCTGAGGATCCCTGGAACATCGATGCTTATTTGGTGCGTGAGCGCGCACACGTCTACTCCATGGAATTGCGAGATCCCCAGGCGCGCGCTGGCGCTTGGGGTGTTGATTTGTTCAACATCATCAAACCAAGGTTTTTCATGGGATTTAACTAACAAACATATAAACATGTTGATTTGGGATGATTTGGGTCATAGCATAGATATAGTGACAGACATACACTTAGAACATAATTTGGAAAATGAACATCAAAGATTCACCTGGGGAATGTGTTCTAAGTATCCGCTTAGAACACCAACCAAAAACATACACTTAGAACAGGTGTTCTAAGTTAGAACAGGTGTTCCAGGAGGTACTTAGAACACTTTCGGGCAATTTATGTGTTCTAAGTGTAAATCCGCAATTAAATTTTGTAAGGATTGGTACAGCCTTCAGCGGGGTCAATGGATATATATATAGACGATTAATGTGATAAACCCAAAAATAAACCATCCCATTGAACAACCATGTGGGCCATATTTGGTTCCATCAGCACGCAAAAAGAAGAGTATGCAGTTTGTGCAAGAGATGTACCAGGTTTGCAGGGTTTCTGGATGAATCTTTTACTATATATACATATATATATATATATATGCACATATACACATATATATATACACATATATTGCCTCATATTATGCAATAATATATATATATATATGTATACTGTATATATATATATATATACACATATACATATGTCTTACAATTGTATTGTATGACTACTTTGCAGGGAAGGACATACACTTAGAACACATGTTGTAAATATAAAACGGGCTAGCGCCCGGGTGCCGCCGACCCCTCCTTCTTTGGGACACAACGCTATTATGTTAGGTTTACTAGAAGACATTGATGTGTGACTTTAGAGTGCCTGTTGGCCGCAGGATGAAGCATGCCAAGGTTCCCTTGTGTTTAAGGCCTGGCAAACGGCAGGCTTGGACCCCCCATGACGGGTTGTAAGGGTTTTAAGGGTTTTAAGCGTTTGGAGGGTTTTTAAGCGTTTAAGGGCTGGCAAACGGCAGGCTTGGACGCCCATAAGAAGACATTGATGTGTGGCCTTGGGGTGCCTGTTGGCTGCAAGATGAAGCATGCCAAGGGAATGTTTAAGGCCTGGCAAACGGCAGGCTGCGACGCCCATAAGAAGCCATTGATGTGTAGCCTTGCGGGCCTGGCAAACGGCAGGCTTGGACCCCCATGACGGGTTGTAATAAGGGTTTTAAGCGTTTGGACGGTTTTTAAGGGTTTTAAGCGTTTAAGGGCTGGCAAACGGCAGGCTTGGACGCCTATAAGAAGACATTGATGTGTGGCCTTGGAGTGCCTGTTGGCCGCAGGATGAAGCATGCCAAGGTTCCCTTGTGTTTAAGGCCTGGCAAACGGCAGGCTTGGACCCCCCATGACGGGTTGTAAGGGTTTTAGGGTTTTAAGCGTTTGGAGGGTTTTTAAGCGTTTAAGGGCTGGCAAACGGCAGGCTTGGACGCCCATAAGAAGACATTGATGTGTGGCCTTGGAGTGCCTGTTGGCTGCAGGATGAAGCATGCCAAGGTTCCCTTGTGTTTAAGGCCTGGCAAACGGCAGGCTTGGACCCCCCATGACGGGTTGTAAGGGTTTTAAGGGTTTTAAGCGTTTGGAGGGTTTTTAAGCGTTTAAGGGCTGGCAAACGGCAGGCTTGGACGCCCATAAGAAGACATTGATGTGTGGTGTGGCCTTGGGGTGCCTGTTGGCTGCAGGATGCAGCATGGCAAACGGCAGGCTTGGACCCCCAGGACGTGGCAAAGGGCAGGCTTGGACGCCCATAAGGAGAAAGAAGACATTGATGTGTCGCCTTGCGGTGCCTGTTGGCTGCAGGATGAAGCATGCCAAGGGAATGTTTAAGCAATGGCTTTTAAGGGCTGGCAAGTGGCCTTGGAAAGCTAAGAAGGAGAAGTTCCACACCTGCGGTGGTCCCAGGCGCCGCCCCTGCCTTGGCCAAGGCCGGGGTCGGCGGATAAGATGTGTCCTAACACGTTTCCGAAGCTGTTCTAAATGCAGGCTAAGAACATGTTCCAAGTGCACACTTAGAACAGATAGGCTACTGATTTCATACTGGGATTTTGTGTTCATTTTGTGTATGTCCGTCAGTATATATGTAGTTCACATACATAGCCTCTGTCATCATTGGCGAGCAGGGAACTCTCCGAACTGGGCCCTGGGCCGCTGGCCTCTTCTTTTTTGATCTACTGGGGTAAACCCAACCAGAAAAAAAAACCTCCAATTTTGGAGGGTTGTACAAACTATTTCTGGTGAGGAAATATATTTTGGATGGTTGATTATTGGGTTTCCTATCTTCCTTTCCCATGGTAGGAGATACCCAGATTCACGCGACCATGCAATTTGCACCGAAAAGGCATGAGGAATGGATTCACATCTGGTTTCTCTGCAAATGTAGTTCATGAATTGGTTCGATATGATTTGGTCTGTCTATTATAAAACATATCAACAGGCCTATGTAATTATGATTAACATTGATTAACTATGTACATAGTTGTATGCCTTTGTTGGCTTGAGAGAACATGGCATGAAAGACGTTCATGTAACCAGATCTTCAAGCGGCCAAGCGGCTCACTGAAAAGTCGGTGAGCATCCACACCAGCTCCTTTGGTGTGAAAGTCGGGCAGGGTTTTGGCTTATAGCCACTTGAGAACTCTTGAGTAGTCTCAAGTATCTCAAAGTGACAAAGGAACACTCACAAGTCATTGCGCACACACACACAGATATTCACTTTTTGAATGCTGGTTTTTCAATTGTTTTGCTACAGTCCCGGAATCGGTTGTTTAAAATCCATGGTTTCCTGTCGATTTTCTCAACAAAACCTATCCATTGATACAGCCAGGCGTGCAAACACTGCGAGAAGATTCATGTCCAGTACGAGTTGATGATGACGGCTACAGGTCCCTTGTCTTCATCCCATCACCCTAACATCAGGTACTTCCAATATAGGCCCCCCAAAATGAATAGATCTGGTCTGGTACTAAACGAAAGGTTTTTGGGGTTATTCTTCTGCTTGGGGGTAGGGATTGTTTGGCTGCCAGGAGGTCTCATCATTGGAGCTACTTCTTTTTTTGTTGGAAAAAATTCTCTATTTTCTATGTATTTATTACTTTCTTAACAAGAAGCCATCCACGCAAGTCTACAAATTGGTATATGAGTTATATGCGTATGAGTCAATGTGAACATGACCTGTAGGGGCGCCTTAGTCCGCAGAGTTTGCTCATTGTTAGTATATATATATATATTACCCTCTGGTTATTTAACATAGCCATGGAAAGATCCACCATGTTTAATAGGTAAACCATCTATAAATGGGCTATCTATACCATGGTTATGTTAAATAACCAGAGGGTATTTAAAAAAAAATGGACTATGAAATATCAATGGTATAGATGACCCATAGAAATAGATGGTTTACCTATTAAAAATGGTGGATCTTTCCATGGTATATATATATATGTATATCAAATTTTCCACTCTTTGGGTTACTAAAAATCGGTTCAGTTTGATATGAGCCAGGTCGCCGGGTCACCGGGACTGAGTAAAATCGGTGACATGTCCGACATGTCCGACATGTCCATGGTGACTCGGGGGAACATGTGACGCTTGGAAAAAAAAAGCAGGTGAACTAATCAGAAATCATGGGACTTTTTTCTGGTTGGTGGTTTCAAATATGGGATAATAGTTATGATTATGGGATTATCCCATATATTTTATATTATGGTTTCAACTAATCTGTTATTTTCCATAATATATAGGATAATCCTTCCCATTGACTTTCATATGTTTCAAGATGGTTATTGCACCACCAACCAGTAATCCATAACTAAGTGAACTAATCAGAATCCATAGATGGAACATCTTTCCAGTTGATGCCAGTTGTATTTGGATAGCATGGTTAAACCATGTTAAACCGCCCGGTTCTCCTCAGGCCGCACGGTGAGTGCTGCCGTGCAGATCGTTCCGTATGGTGCAGTGGTGGCCAAGGCATGTGCCTTGAGCTCTGCGTAGCCCATGGCTTATGAATCGGATTGTCTATGGATTTTCTTCACAATCCCCAATATCAATAATGGGATATAATGGGATATAATGGGATTATACTGGGATATAATGGGATATAATGGGATATAATGGGATATAATGGGATATAATGGGATATAATGGGATATAATGGGATTATAACGGGATATAACGGGATTATAATATACTGAGATGTTTTTTCATTGGATAAGATATAGAGTATCAAATACAATTTGGTGCCTAAGTTGAACGAAGTTGGTCCTGGAGTAAACATACCAAAAAATGTTTGGAAAAACCATAGGGAAAACCGCTTGCAAAATGATCTACAAATGGTGGGTTTGAATGGGATAAACATATCATATCCTCGTGTTTCAGGATCCCTATTCACCAAGCCTCATTCTGGTGGGTTTCAAGGTGTTTCAAGTTTTGTTGATGTTCAACCAGTGTCAATGCAATGATGATTCCAAATTGGAAGTTATATAACCTTGGAACATTGTGAACTAGGGATTCCGACCAAAAAATCTCATGATTTTTGTCAGAATTTGAATCATCAATTTACATCATATGATATTTCTCAACGGCGGTAAACGCTCAAACCTCGAGAAGTCAAGTCCCGCAATTTGAAATCGGGTCCATTTCAAGGCGGTGAAACACATATTTTGAGTGTCTCAGATACCCATATCTATTTGATATTAGAGTACAACTTTGAAGATTCCCATTTGGTGACGTCCAACAATTGGAGCTGAACACCCCATTTTTGGCGTAATCATCGTAATGGAAAAGTCCATTTTATGGACTGAAGCATCAGCCTGGTGAGTTTCCCATCAGCCCATCCCATGGGGCATTGGTCCGCGATTCTAAGGTGAGTATTTGAACGATCCGCCATTGATCTACATCGGAACCAAGATGAGCTGTATGCGCGTGCGGAAGCTGGAACTCACACATACCAAGGGCACCAAGATCCTTGGGATGAACATTTCGCTCGCTATCGCTCGGAAATCACCCAACTCGGAGGTGTTTCTTTAAGAAAAAACAAGTGAACAGCTGGGAAAACATAGATGATTATCAGAGGTTAAAGCTAAACATGTTGAAGAATCCAACAATCAAACGTTCGATGAATTGCAAGCATGGAAACCATTCGCCATGAACGTGTAAACTAGTGTAAACATATTCATGGCTTCGGAAAAATTGCGCAAGTCCTTCATTCCGTTACGCTATGTTACTATCGTCCACTGCCACTATCCATCCACCTCCGATATGATTCAGCGATGATTCAGCCATGGAATTTGCAGGATCATCCCATTTAGTAAATGCTTCGTGGGCAAAAATTACCCACTTCTAAAATCTTCTAAATTGATCATCGTGAAAATCGAGGACTTTAACTTACATAACTTACTATCTCCAGGCAGATCTTTATGTCATGTTTTCACAGGTTATTTTTTTCCACAAATGACGAGGATCAAGGGGATCGCCAGGAATGTCCTGATGTGGTCGTTGCTCTTTATTGCCTCCATCTTGGCATATTCCATCGAGTATGCTGTGCCATTTCTGTGCCTTGGAGGGAAAAAGCCACTCAAGGGACAACTGACCTATCAGATCTACTGTTCAATGGTTCCTGGGTAGAATTGATCATATAAAATCCGCACCAAGATTTTCCAAGAGGGATTCATTACTCAGTACTCGTTGATCCTCATGAATTGCCCATGCAATGCACTCGAAGTTGAAGAGTCAGTGTTGAATTTCTCTGGGTGGAACGAAAGTTCTGGGATCGTTACGCTTGGGTTTGTTTGAAGATTTGGGGGGAAACCACAATTTTGATTTATCATCATCATTGTCCCTAACACAATTGCCATAGCTGCCATAGCTGCCATAGCTGCCATAGCCGCCATAGCTGCCATAGCTTGGGGGGTCATTCTCCATTATGAGCTACACTGTACACCCATATGATCAAGCCGTGTTTCTTTTTCTGTTCCCATGGTATCTCCATTTTCTGTTGGTAAATTGGATGGTAAAACAGTTGGTAATATAATGTTCTCATGATATCTCCATATTACATGTTCCATTGGTAAGTTGGTAAATATACTTCTCCATGGTAAAACCGGTTGAATCCCCATTTTTGTTGCTGCATTCTGAGCCTTTCGCCGAGGAAGAGAGTTACCAGCGTGATGATGCTGGTCTACTTATTCATGGGCACCTTTACTTTGACGGACGCTCAACTGCCAGCTATGGCTGGGAAATCCTCGAACTCGTTTCAGGCATCGAACTTTTTGGGAAAATAATGCCAGTAGTTTTGGGGTTTTCCAGCAAACCATGTTTGATTACCAGAGGGTATATAACTATTCAATATTATTTATCATATACACATTAAAAAGTATATCTTGTATATGCTGCATGTATGGAATATTTACCAGCATCAATAAAACGTGACTTCAATGTTGTAACATATTGCATACATGGAGCATATGATGTATATCTAGGTCAATCTTGGATGGGTAGTTTAATCCTTTAGTCTTTTGGTATCAATGGGATTATCTACTAACCAGCTAAGAATTTTCTTTATTCCAGGCTATCTAAGATTGGCCATTATATTGTCTATGATATATGTATATATATAATATATATATATATATATTATACATACACAAACAAACAGTGAAGTTACCCCCAAGAGAAGGTAAGATCTCTGGATCTCTGTATCTCTTCACCTTGCACCGTTCATTTTGGATATGGCCTATTTACCTCTATAAATCAATGCCATGGTTTCTTTTCTTTCAATGATATTATATCCTCATCATCTACCCTCTGGTAAACGTTTACAAAACTATGGAACATCACCATTCTTAATGGGAAAATCAACTATAAATGGCCATTTTCAATAGCTATGTTAAATTACCAGAGGGTACCCAAAACAGATATAGGAATTAATATAATATATATACCCTAGGGTTCAACCGCTACTGTTGAAAAGGTTTTTCCCTAACGACAATAATCATCATAATCATAGCATAGACATCTTGCTCCACCCATCCATCATCCATGTTTGATCCTTGTTTCATCTCAGTGTTTTCTTCAGACAACTTCAGACACACCCAAGTATCATATACTGTAGTTGGCTTCATGTGCCATTATATCCCAATGGTTCGTGATGACCTCCCTGACGTTTCACCATTTCTGATAGCTAGATCCCCTATGTTTCATCATTTTTCGTGGTAAAATCCCATTGTTTCACTATATATTTTCTTTCCCCACATTCATAATTTCTGCCATCATTCATATTTTTCAATCACCATATATCTTTGTTTGCCCCCTTTTAAAGACCCTATATACGGGGTCCACTCCCACGTTCAACCCACGCGAGGAACGCAACCTAGTGGATCAGGGGACCTACGTCATCCTCTCCGGCTTCACCCTGTCCTTCGTCAAGGCCGCGCTTGAGAAGCTGGTCCCGGCCTTGCTGAGCTACGGCCACTGGTCGCGATACGGGAAAACCCAAAAAATGATGGCAACCATGGACATTTAGCGGTGAAACATGGGGAAAACCATGGGAATTTAGCGGTGAACAATGAAGAATGGTGAAACACATTACATTTAGGGATGGAACTATGGGAAAACCATGGAATTGAGCGATCAAACATGGACAAACCTGAATTTTAAGCGATTAAACAACGGTGAAAAGCATGGATCTAGCGAAGACATATATGTAGTTCAAGAGCAGGGGGATTTAGTGATGAAGAATGGAAATTCATGGGGATTCAAGGAAAAACAATGGGTGATATTAATGGGATGTGAATGATAACTGGGGATATAAATAATGGGAACGAAGCAACTTGATCTAATCCTCTGTGGATCCAGCCTTGATGTACCCGGATCCGATGCAAACAAATCCCCCAAGAATGGGAGTAGAATCCACTGAACATTTATATCATTTATCTTGCGCTGAGAGCTAAGAAACACCAAGAATCGCGCCAGCGGTTCATCAGGGCCCCTGAGGGGGCACGGTTCTGGAGAGATGACTCAGCACCCTCTGGATCCCTCTGGTAATTTCACATAGCTATGATCATCATCATCATCATCATCATCATCAGAAGCAGCAGCAGCAGCATCACCATCACCATCACCATCACCATCATCATCATCATCATCATCATCATCACTATCACTATCATCATCATCATCATCATCATCATAAAACATATGCGTGTCTATAACTATGTTAAATTACCAAGCCTTGTGTTGCAACATTTGGGGAGATATGGATATTTCGCCGGGATTTCACCACCCTCCCAGGTGGGTGAGCCACGTCTGTAAGTTGGGTTTCCATAGTCATGGGAATATCCCAATAGCTGGATGGTTTATTTCATGGAAAATCCGAGAATAAAATGAATGATTTGGGGGTACCCCTATTCTGGGAAACCTCCATATCTTGCTATATAGATAGGATGATAGGATAGCCCCAGTTAGAGGACTTATTCACTGTCAGGTGTCTCCCATTGCTCAAGAGCGCAGCTAATCCACTTTGAAATTGTTTCATGTCAATTTGGAGGAAACGTTTTTTTTTTTGTGATCAAAGTAGGTCAAATCATCACTTAAGACTTAAGTATAGCTGCCTCAAAAGATCAGCAAGTTCAACAAGATCATTGACCATGACTGGGTGGATCGTTGCCGACAAGATGGGCAAACATCACATCAAACACTCACAGAGCTAAACGTCTGGCCGGGATTCAGAAAGACACCATGTATAGCTGTTCAAGCACATTCAAACATCGGATAGTAACTTCAACCACATCGATGCACAGGTGTGGCAGGAGGCTGGCTGAACACAGCCTTTTTTTCCAGAGCATGAACCAAGTGCCGACCGCACAGCAATCCGAAATAAACAAATATATACATATTCAATAATTATTCAATGATAGTCAAACTCAGCCTTTCACTTATCTCCAATGATTGGACATGACTTCGCCACACTACGGTGATACGTCCCGATTGCTATCGATGCTTGGGGACTTGTCCCAGGCCTCAGCGGGGTCTACTTCGTCATCTCGCGCGCCGAAGGAACTTTGACGCACCGCAACGACATCGCCAGGACGACTGGAGAATCATCCAACTGGGTAAATTATAACGACCTCACTGCGACCTCACTGGAATCATGGTTAATAAGGGAAATCATCCCCAAATGGCCTTAATTCAGGTTAGTGAAATATTATAATTTGCCCAATGGTTCACTAGAAAATCTTACGCTATGATAGACATATTAACATGATAGAACCATCCCACTTATTAATCAGTGGTTAATAACAATTAAAAAACATAATGATAATTGGTTAATAGCCAATAACCATAATAATGACCATTAATAATAGCCATCATATTAATAACCATCATGTTAATCAGTGGTTAATAGCCAATAACCACAATATTCATACTTAGTAGATGTTAATAGCCAATAGCCAATAGCCATAGTTTTATCCCAGTTATGATAGTTACGGAATCACCCACAAGTGAGGGACAGGGTCCTTCTAACTTTAAGTTTGCTAAGTGGAGTGATCCTCCAGGCGGGATGTGACCGGGCATTTTGACATTTCTGACATAGAATTTTCATCATCGAACCACTTCCAAACCCTTGCGTTTTCCCCAGAACTTCCCAGTTTTTTCCCAAGTTCCATCGCAATCTGACCCATCTCCCCCGTTTTTTTCGGCGGCACGGGCAGGACCTTAACTGGCCAAGCCTTGAGCGGCGCCACTTGCGCCACGTTGGTCTCGGGCAGCGCCCTGGCGGCCCAGTGGCAGTCCCCAGCGGTGGCGGTGCTGCTGGGAGCCACGGTGGGGTATGCCTTCAGCCTGCTGACGCTGTTAATCAACGTGCTCTTTGAGTCACTTGGGCTGACTTGGGCAGCTGAAAGGGGAGCGGCTACCATGACCATGGGGATGCGTTTTAAGTTGCAATATTTTCCTGACATCTAGATAAACATAGAAATGGGAATAGGATTAACGGGCTCTTCGAGTCACTTGGTCTTTAGTATTGGGGATGAGTATGTTAGAATTTTTGAATATGACCCACTATTCAATAGCAATGGGGGAATGGGGTAATATGGGGTACATGATCAGCATTCTCTTCATTTCTTTTTGCAGCTGGAAATAGGAGGATAATATGCTTGGAATATATAATATACCTACAAATGGTGTACATATAATATATACATACACCTAGCAGGAATGGATAGATATATGTAATTATTATTTCTAGTCACTTTGGTGTTGCACCAAGAAGTGGGTTTACGTGCATCGATGGATAAAAATAGGGCCACACGGCCTGACATGGCTAGAGGGGTTTCAGCAGTTTGATTTTGCACAGTTCCCCCCCAAAAAAAACTATACACAGTTTTAAACCCCCAAAAAGGGTAACTCCTACAGTGGACAGTGGATGGAAGAAGTCCTGCACTTGATACCCTCTGGTAAATTAACATAGACCCTGAAAATTACCAATTTATAGTGGTTTCACTAGTCTTCCCACCCCAACAACTGCCAGGGTCTATGTTAATTTACCAGAGGGTAAGTGCTTTATTCCATTGTTTATAGTGTTACCATCCTTTTGGCGGCTGTTTGGTTGCCGGTTTCCGAGGCAACCCTCGCCGGACATTGATCAAAAGGTTCCCAGGACGATGTTTCAATTCATCATGAAGATCGGTGCGGCCCTTCTGACAGGCGCAGATTTGCATGCCATGTTATGCCGTGAAGTCAATTTATTGGGGGATTGAAGCAACTGCTAAGAGGGGGATAAATGGATATATATATATATATTAAACTAACTTAAATCATCATCACATATATATATATATACACCGTCCAACCACCGGTATAAATGATGGGAACTTTAGAGGGAACGCACGCCCAAAATAATAGGTGTATTTTTTTCCCCCACCTGCCAGGTGAGGGTCTCTAGATTTTAAGAAAGAATGCCAGATAGAATGTCAGAGCATATGCCAGAAAAAATATGTCAGAATAGTGTCTCAGGGTGATCACTGGAACAAAGTAATTTTCTATGTTTTTCTGGTTGGTGGTTTGGATCATGGCTTTTATTTTTCCATATATTGGGAATAATAATCCCAACTGACTTTCATATTTGTCAGAGGGGTAGGTCAACCACCAACCAGTTATGTTTTTACATGTCCTTAAAATGAAGATTCACCATGGGATGTTTTATCCCATGATCTGGGGTATACCTCAGAGTTTTTTTTCTCGAGGGATTTATTTCAAGGCACTGGCGTGGCGCTGTGGCAATGGGTGACTTTCGGACCCAGTGATTTAATGGATCTGTTTTTCTATCCAGCTTTGATTGTACAACTGGTAAACTACAGTATCAAGTTTATCAAGTCATGATTTTTCATCGGTGGAACATATGGAAGCAACGGTTTGACATGTCACATGTCGAAATTCCCAGGCGGCTTGGTGGCCCTGGTGGTGGTCTTTGCCGGTGAAGCAGGGTTGGCCATGGAGCAACCTGAAGCGGATTCCTATGAGCCCATTGGTTTACCCTGGCTGGGGATTTGTGGGATGCGCTGCCGATGGTGCCAGAGATTTTCGGGGGAGGAAAAGCAGAACCATGGGATTTCTTTAACAGTGATTTTGAAGCGAAACATGGAGAAATGTGAAGTTAACGCTTCTGCTTTTACTAGGTCAAACATCTGAATTTGTGATTTCGAAGCTATGAAACATCTCCAATAGGTCAGAAATTGAGAGATTGATGTGATTGGGCAATGAACTGGGATTTGACATCGCAGCCAAGATGGGGCCCATGAAGTTTTTTTTTCGATTCTACCAGCAAGGCGAGCAAGCTCCACGGTCATGCAACAAAGGATGTGTTGTCAAACAGGGTCATTCTCCATCGGAAACCCGCGATGCCATTTTCCCACTGGTTGGTTGATTTATAGAGGGTTTTCGCCATGAAAACCCAACCTTTCTTGGTAGACGATAATAAAAACATTGTTAATAAATACTCGTAGTCTACCAAACCAGCCCATTTTTTTTCCTGCAGGGACAATATTGACCAAATAGCAAAGTCACCGAACATACCCGACTACAGCATACCACAGCTGGATTCGGATTCATTTGAAACTGGGATTGCCTTTTCCCTGCTGAGGCTTCAATATGGTCACCCTTTGGTCACCCTTTTTTGGGTTGTACCGGGCTTGGTAAATATACGGTTTTTTGGGATTTTGAACATCACTTGAAAAAGTTTTTGTTGGATACTATATCAATTATATCATGTCATATCCCCAATGGTTGGGTGAGGTGAACAATTAGGACATTTACCAGCCTTTGTAGTACTGGCTCTTTTGCAGCATACTTACCATATTCCAAATCCGGATTTGGATGTGTGATTTTGGAGCAAGTCGGCAGTAAGCATGTGGTTAGGCTCAATGAACCGTCAATGGCATGTTGGATAGCACCAGTGTTGCATAGTAAGTGGGTTACAACTTACCTACATATATATATAGATATATATTATGCATACGGGTTACAAATTATCCATAAAACATATATATGCTGATATATACTGTATATATATATTACATACATTCATATCCCTGTTTCTCACCAGAAATTGCATCCCAAATTTCCAGGATCATCCGCCAAGATAACACCTCATCTTCTTCTTGGGGCTGCAGTTTGGGTTTGTATTTTATGGCTATGGTAATTGCCTCCATAAGTTGGAATGTAATCCCTACTATATGCTGAAATCTAACCCAGTTACTACCCTCTAGCAATGGAACATGTCACATTGTCCTATACAGAATTTTCCCAGCTAGAAACCTCCATTTACAAAATGGAGATGTCCCAGCCCTCGTTATGAAGATCTCCTGAGGTCCTTGGGTCCTTATGATTTGATAGTCCATTTTTTAAATACCCTCTGGTTACTTAACATAGCTATGGTATAGATGGCCCATTTATAGATGGTTTACTGGTTTACCTATAAAAAATGGTGATGGCTTCCATGGCTATGTTAGTCATAACCAGAGGGTATATGTTCCGATCATTTCCCAGCTATAAAGCTCCCCATTTTTTTCGGGGACTGACCTGGCAGCCTGGGGACCCAGGTTCCAAAATCTCCTGGGAGAGCGTTGGGGCGTCCGTGGGAGTATCAGCCTGGCCATTCTGCCTCTGGCGGTGCAATTCATCGTTTTTCGCTTGGTCTTGGTGGAGAATCTGCCACCGAAGGCCTGGCCCGAAGAAATGCTGAGTCAATGGCCATTGATGGAGCGAAATTGAAGATGGCTTTGAAACTACAACTTATAATACCTGGTTGGTGGTTTGGAACATTTGGATTATTGACTGGAACATGAATGGATTATATATTTTCCCATTAATCTTGGGAATAATATATAATCCCAAGTGACTCATATTTTTCAGAGGGGTAGGTCAACCACCAACTCATACTGTAACTGGCGGGGCACCGCGTCGCCACGTTGTACTGTTTGATGAGATATATCTCCCATGGTCAAGTTGCGGATTCATAGCTAATGGTCATCCCATCCCATGCCAAACAGAATGGTTATATAAATTCCCTATGACAAATCATGAAAATAACATAAAATAACCATAAAATGGGGATGATGATGATATTGATTATGGTAATTAATGGTTAAAAAATACATAATGGTTATATTGATTACAATCCCCCAATATGGGTATATGATCATTTTTTTTGACCATCGCACGTATAAACAATGTGGATTCTCGTGTCTTAAGTATCAATCATCCGGGGATATGATATGCTGCAAACCAGGACTGGGGAATCTTGGGAATCGGGGCAAATCTAAGGCGAGGGAAAGCATCAACCCGGACTACGACGCTTCGCTTGGGGCGGTGGAAATGGGGAGTTACGGTGAGGTTGAGTTGGATAGAGGTTTGGCATGTTCTTGGGGTAAGGCGACTTTTGCAGCTGAGGATCTTTTCGGATTTTTTGGGTAAGCAACTTGCAAAATAAACAAGTCGTGAAGGAGGTGGAATGGGGCGTAAATAGGTATTTTTCACACAATTGCCAAACTGCTTGCAGGGTGTATTGTGCCATGTAAGGCCAGGATAGTCCATTGATGTTCAGTCTACGGGCACTGGGTACCATCGATGGAGGCAACTGAAATGTCTTTTGATTCCTAAGCCAGTTGTGAATTGTATGGGTCTGTTTGCAAACAGTGTACCCCTAAATCGAATTAAATCGAATTAAATCGACTGTTTTATCATAATGTTCTCTATTTGCATCGCCAATTTGGGGGCCAAAAACTCCAATTTCAGACACACCCAGATACCAACCATTTACTGATTTCACTTGGATCATCGAAATTGGGAACCCCGAAATTCGAGGCTTTCGAATTTCGTTTTCCACGAAGCAGTTTCGTTGGTTCCACAGCCATGATCTCCCATTGTCGCTGCGGGACTTCCTTGATTTATTCACTCCTTTGGATACGTTGATTCCCCACTGAGCAGTGTTCAAAACTCTGGTTGGTTAATGACCATAGGGGATTATACGACCCAATATATTGGGAATCATACTGCTCAATTTTTGATTGTCATACAAGTTGATCAAAATGGTTTGTTGGGGCAAATACATATGGTTGTTGCTGCTCAATATTCCTAGCATTGTTGGCTAGAAGATGTTATAATCGTGAACATTGAATATCTGGTTGGTGCTTTGGAACATTTGGATTATTTTTCCATATCTTGGGAATTTCATCATCCCAAGTGACTTTCACTCATATTTTTCAGAGGGGCTGAAGTCAACCACCAAGCAGTTATTCATCTTCTGATGTTCAGGACTTGGTGGAGATGGAAAGGGCCTGATGTTTGGGATTGGTGAATCGGAAACTCATTTTTTGCGATATTTTTCAGATGCGAACCATGGTGCTGGTATATAGAAAGCTATACAAAACTGGATGATTTTGGACGTTCGGGCAAATGTTGGGATTCATATTCCAGCACCATGGTTCGCATATGGGATACAAATAAGATCAAAGAAGTACTCTATCTCAATCCATCATTGTCATAATCTTATCAAGTTTGTCCATTTATCAAGCCGCATTCCTTATTCCCATCCCCAATTTTCCCAATATAGTATAGTCCCACCGTTGATGGCTAAGATAAACAACTTCCCAACTCTTGATGGTTCATATATACCCATGTATACTCCCACTGTGGATGATTCATATATACCAAGTTATTGTTCCACATTTGGAACAATAGACAATATACAAATTGGTATATTCCAATGGCTATACACATTTATATATACAAATTGGCATATTCCAACATATTTGTTTTTAACCACTGTGGAATCTGTGGAATGACAATCTACAAATTCGCCATTTCGCAACTGATCCCCAGTCCGAGTCGTCCCAGTCGAGGACTGGCGAGACTCGCCCACCTGGGTGGTCCTCCGAACGGTGCAGTTCTTTCCCAACCTCACGGCCATCCCCACCTGCGCTTTGGTCACCGTGCTTCTGCGGGATGCTTGGAGATGGGTCACCCGAAGGGGAGATGTGTTCACAAGAAAGCATGAAAAGTGGTGGAAGATATATATATATATATAAATGGAGATTTAACACCCATAGGATCCATGTATTGTATGCTATATATGCTAACATAAAGGGGGTAGATTGATGGGATCCATGGAGCACCATATATAGCAGCACCATGGATCCTATGGGACATGATTTTAACTATCAGATAACTACAAAAATGGTGCTTCGCCACAACGTGAAAAGTGGTGATGGTGAACCGTCTGGTAGTCCAACGGTAGCTAGCAATTTTCCAGGGCTATGTTGGATTACCAGACGGCATTTTCATTGTTTTTTTTTCATGATGTTTGACTTTTGTACTTTATTTTGGGATCCCTGTTCTGTGACTAGTTTCTAATATGAATTGGTTTGTTTGAATTGGCGTAGTGAAGGTTCTTTGTGATATGGAACCACGAAGTGCTTCCTAAGATGCATTCATAAAGATGGCTTTTCTCCAATGAATTTCATAACGAGGGAAGTGTTTTCCTGACCACCGTTCAGGGCACTGTTTTTCGGCTGGAACTACGATCCAGACGTTTCCGGTTGGAGAATTACGGTAGATCTGGCGGGATGACTTGCTCTCCGGTGAACTAAACTAGCAATGGACCATAACTGACCATAGCCTCTGGTAATGACTGTTACATAGCTATTGAAGCCATGGCCCAGTCGAAATAGTGGATTTATCCAGCTATTAGCTATGGTGGATCTTTCCATAGTTCTGTAAACGTTTGCTAGAGGGTAACCATTTTTGAAGGCGATCACCAAACTCTTGGGCCAAGGCTTCTGGTAAAAAAAATCGCCAGCTCTTACATTACGACGGTATGGGAAACGATATAGGATAACTAAATATAACTAAGACATACTAAGACTAAAACCATCTCCAATTTTATGCTACATGGGATGATAGATTTCATAGCGCAAAAATTGGGGTTCATTAAATGGTCATTGGGATTTCATATCATCAACATGACATTCAACTACGGTACGTGTGAACACTGCAATCTCTGTTGGTCATATCATTTGGTTCTAAACCAATAACTTTACTATTTCCGATTTCGTCGCCCATGAATTATCCCACTATCATCCCATAGATTGTCCAGTTTTGCTGCTTCCATACACCATTTTGTTGATGATATACCCTCGGGTAATCAACATGGCAATGGACAATTCCCTATTTCTAGATGGTTTTCCCATTCAAACCTCTATTTATACAATGTGAGGCCCCCGTTCGATATGTTTGTTGGTTTAGATTCGCCCCAGTAACTAGTTCGTTATTTGCATACCATAAACCATAGTGAAATTGGAGTTATGTTCACCAACTTAGCTATCGAGCTGGGGCCTCACATTGTAGAGGATTTCCCCCAAAAATTTCCGTTGAATTTTCCCATGAAAACCACCATTTCCTTCGGGGGTTTCCGACAACGATTCCCCGCATCCAAGGACTTGGTCAAGAGTGTGCTGTTTCTCAGCAGCTGGGCCGGAAGTTCAAGGGAAATGGCGAATTAATAGCAAACAACTCATGCAAAATGAGGATTGAACCAAGAAAAATCAAAATTAACCATCAAACATTGATTTTTTAATCAAGAAGAATTGAGATTTAACCATCAAACATGGTGAAACATTGGGAATTAACAAGCGAATACAGCAAACAACTGGGGAAACATAGAGAATTACCCTCTGCTCATGACAGCTATGGAAAACGGCGCATAGAAATAAATCCTATAAAACATGATGAATTTCCATAGCTACGTGAAATAACCAGAGGGTAGCCATAAAAAATGGTGATTTCATGGGAATATCATGATTCATTCCCCTTCCCAATGGATTTAATTTGTTTCATTTGTTAATCAGTGTTACCCTCTGATAAACTAACATAGCTATTGGAAATTGCCATTTATTGTTGATTTACCCATTAAAAATGGTGATTTTCCATAGCTATGTAAAGGTTTGCCAGAGGGTAATCATCATTTTCCCATGAAAAACCCATTCTCACAACTTTGGCCCGTCCTTGCAGGTGCTTCTCACCATATGGTGATAACCTCCATAAGTTTGGATAGATGATAGAACCGCCATGACTATGGTGAACCAATTATATCCTAGAACTGGAACTCTTCCCTATGACGGAGGCTTCCAACTTTACATAACTTTCCTACCAGGGGTTGCGATTCATATCGTGAATGGGACGAGGTTCATCCGACCCACCTACTTTGACCATCCTTAGACACCGGGAATTCGGACAGCCATTGCTGATATGTTCCCGCACTTGGGGGTGCAGTTATTTCTAGTTATTGGGTATAGTTCCCCATTACCGGGGTTATATCATGTTATATCATGTTATATCCCAACTTATAGAGGCTATTAAAGGCTAATTGCCATGGTCATACAAGAAATTCTAACTTCAACTGCAGCCCAAAGTTTCAACTTAGCCCTACTTTTTGCTTTTGCTTTTCACCGGTGGCCCCAAGGCCCCAAGATATCATTTCATTATCGCAGCTTCAGGTCCAATCCAGCATCAGCTCCTTATGACAGGACAGATGGACCCTGATTGACCCCGAGGGACCACGCTGAATGAGCATCAACCCTCCATCGTTACCAAATTGTCTTCACATTGAAGTGTTAAAATACTCTATGTGACTGGTTGGTGGTGACTGGAACATGAATGGATTAAACAAATCCATATATCTTGGGAATTTATGAAATTCCCAACTGACTTTCACTTTCACTCCGGCTGTTAAAACTCTATGTCTTGGTTTTGTCCGAAGAAATGTCGCCGCTGCCACTCTTCTTGTCACAGCCCTCTCCAATTCACTGAGGGAAACCCGCGTCATCCTGGATATCAAGCTTGAGTACAATCCTATAAGATATATTCTGTAAACGTGTATAGATACATATCAATAGTACCCTCTGGTTATTTGTTACATAGCCATGGAACATGGCCCATTTATAGATGGTTTACCTACGTATTAAAAATTGTGATTTTCATTGGCTATGTTAAATAACCAGATGGTAATCATGATGATAGTGCTAATAATAATAATAACTATAAGACTATATTATAAACAAATAAAGTAAATAAAGTAAATAAATACGTATCGTACCGTACCCTACCCTACCATACCATACCATATCATACCATACCATACCATACCATTATTACATTACATTGCATTGCATTGCATTACATTACATTACATTACATTGCATTATATACATATATATTTATATACACATACTGTATATATATATATAGACTAAATATAATAATAAGAAGAAAACCATAAATGAATCAATAAATAAATATATTCACATTCATTGGCTTAGTCTTTCGCGTTCTGGACATGGCTAAAAACCGGCTCCAAGGCTTCCGAAAGTGGCATGGATGTTCAGCCCCAATCTGTTGTCATTTCGATGGGGAAAATGATGAGAAACGATGGCATTTTTGTTGTGTTTACCCCAGGAGCTGATGCACTGCTTGTTGCAGTACCCTGTTTCAGTAGGTCCAATCGGACATGATTTTCCCAGAGGTGCTCTGCCAACTTTGATCTTTTCTTTGCTCCAAAGTCAACCAATTTTGGTGGCTTTTTCCATGGTTTTTCCACCATAATATGTTTTTTCCATGTTTTTTCCATGGTTTTTCCACCTGGCAACATGGGAAGGTCATAGAAAAATCCCATGAGCCATCGAGGATTCTTTTGCGCCAGGAGCTGGTGTGGTGGTGGCCAATGTCTCCGCTATGACCGTGCATCGATTGATGGAGAGCTTTCCCCAACTCGTAGGTCACGTGGCGCCAGGGCGCCAGGGCTTGTCTTGGGCCACAAAAGACTGATGGTTTACCCTCTGGTTATGTCAAAATAGCTATTGGAAATGGCCATTTATAGTTGATTTACCCATTAAAAATGGTGATTTTCCAGTTCGCTATGTTAGTTTACCAGAGGGTACATGATGGTTCATTCTCGTTTCTTCCCATTGATTTTTTTTATTTTCGTACACTGCAATTTTCGTCAGAAATGCATCAGGCCGTTTGCAAACAGTGGAAATCCTAGGATATGTTTAAACGGGAATGTTTTTTGTTCATTTTTGTTCGTGGAGAAAGACATATAGAAATAGCCTAACCCAGATGCTCCATGTGTGGTATATTTACCTACAAAACTGGGTGATTTCTGATGTTCGGACAAATGTTGGGATTGTAAATATTCCAGCACCATGCTTCGCAGGGTGTTTACCATGGTGTTTACCATCCCCAATAGGGTCGTTCCCAATTGGGGTTGTCGTTTCTGAATGGTAAAAATTGTTGGGGAATGGCGCTGTATTGACAACCAAAGTCATGAAGAATCTTCCTGACCTGGTGCTGGAAACATAGATCTTTCACAGCACCAACTACCCTCTGATAATTTCACATGGCGAACTGGAAAATCCCCATTTTAATAGGTAAATCCACTATGAGCCATGTTCAATAGCAAACTGTTTAATTACCGGAGGGCAGTTAGACTGGTGATATACCTGCGCTGACATTGGACAATGAAGGTTGAGACGATGATACGTCAGGTTGTCACTGTTGAAGGCCATGTCCCAAATATACCCTTTCCCGTCTATTTTTTTGGTTAATTCCCCATCGCAGAACAAATCAGGAAGCGAAGCATATTTATACTTGTTTCTCTATCTTTTTCGGTTTGTGTTCACCCCATAAACTACTTCGATATATGGCTATGGATCAATACCTATAAGTACCATTTTTAGGGTGATGAACATCCATTTACCAGCTATTTTGATGTTCACCAGGGGTACAAGGTTTTGACACACATATATAAATTCAGTTGTTGACCTGCTGAACACCACCTTGTGATTGATGCTTCTTAATGGTTCAGATCATATCCCCATTGTTGATGATCCTCTTATAAGTATCCAGGATGGTTTCAATATCCCCATGATATTGCTATATTCTGAACATATTCCATTATACCCCTATTTTTGATGGTTAATATCCCCATTACTCAACTATGTTTCTCCATGTTTCTTGTCGAAGTTCCCACTTCCCTTGTTTTTGATGGTTGTTAGGACAGTTAGCATCCACATTGTGTATCCCCATGAAATATACCCTTATAAATCCTTGTTTGATGCTTAGCCATTGATCATCAAAAAAGTCACCAACAAATCACCCAAAGCCCCCAACCAAACGAACGCCCACGGATTTCTATATAGGTTTTGTTCTAGCTTTTGGTGGAGCTTATTCCCCATCCAAATCCCCCTAGAAGAAACAATTCACAGCCGGTGACAGCCAGTGACGAGACTTGGGAGTTTCTGTTTGTTTTGGTGGAGCTCACTCAATTCCCCCATCCAAATCGGAGAAATCTCCCATCAAAAACATCATCAAACAATTCATGAGTCATGGTTTTCACCATGATTTTCCCCATGGATTTTCCCCATGGATTTTCCATTGCCATTCATTGCCATTCTTATTGCCATGGATTTTCCCCATGGATTTTCCCCATGGATTTTCCCCATGGATTTTCTCATGTCGGAGGTTTCTTCGCGTGCGTCTTGAGCGCCTGCCTTTTGTGTCCCTGGAACTTCCTCTTCGGCGCCTTCACGGCGGTCTGGATCGGCGTGGCCGTGGGAAGCGTCCTCGAGGAGGTGACGGATGATGGATCAATGGATGGAAATGAGGTGTTTTTTTCGTGGTGCAAAAATCATGGTTCATAGTGGTTAATAGTGGTTAATAATGGTTAATAGTGGTTAAACATTAGTATATAATAGCGGTTAATGATGATTAATCATGATTAATAGTGGTTTATAAGTGTTAATGGTTGGATAACCTCTGGTATCTCTGGTAAGTTGTAAGAGTTTGCTATTGAACATGGATAAAATAGCACCTTTATAGTAGTTGATTTACCGAAAGATTGTGATGTTCCATAGCTATGTAAACGTGTACCAGAGGGTATACTGAATGTGGTTAAACCATGTTAATGCACGTTAAGCCAAGAAACATAGACTCATATAGACTCATGACTCATCGTTTTTTTCAAATTAAAGGACCGGATAACCCCACATGTCAAGCCTTCATGTATCTAAGCTTAATGTGAACTTCGGGGAGGTGTGAGAAGTGAGGTGTGAGAAGTGGACTTGTGATGTCAGGTGTGAGAAGTGGAGCTGTGATGAGTTCTGATGTGATAAGTGAGGTGTGAGAAGTGGAGCTGTGATGAGTTCTGATGTGATAAGTGAGGTGTGAGAAGTGGTGTGAGAAGCGGAGCTGTGATGAGTTGGGATGTGATAAGTTGTGATGAGTTGTGATGAGAAGTTGTGATGTGATAAGTGAGGTGTGAGAAGTGGAACTGTGATGAGTTGGGATGTGATAAGTTGTGATGAGTTGTGATGAGAAGTGGACCTGTGAGAAGTGGAGCTGTGATGAGTTGTGATGAGCAGTGGAGCTGTGATGAGTGAGGTGTGAGAAGTGGAGCTGTGATGAGTTGGTATGTGATAAGTTGTGATGAATTGTGATGAGTTGTGTTGTGATGTGTACTGCGCCTGCCATCACAAGGCAGCCGCGGCCCCAGCGGCGCCCACGCGCGCCGCAGCTCCTCCAGGAGGCTCTGTGTACTGCACCTGCCACGCAAAAGGCAGCCGCAGCCCCAGCGGCGCCCATGCGCGCCGCAGCTCCTCCAGGAGGCTCTGTGTACTGCGCCTGCCATGCGCAAGGCAGCCGCGGCCCCAGCGGCGCCCACGCGCGCCGCAGCTCCTCCAGGAGGCTCTGTGTACTGCGCCTGCCACGCCAAAGGCAGCCGCGGCCCCAGCGGCGCCCGCGCGCGCCGCAGCTCCTCCAGGAGGCTCTGTGTACTGCACCTGCCACGCAAAAGGCAGCCGCGGCCCCACGCCCACGCGTGCCGCAGCTCCTCCAGGAGGCTCTGTGTACTGCGCCTGCCATGCGAAAGGCAGCCGCGGCCCAAGCGGCGCCCACGCGCGCCGCAGCTCCTCCAGGAGGCTCTGTGTACTGCGTCTGCCACGCCAAAGGCAGCCGCGGCCCCAGCGGCGCCCACGCGCGCCGCAGCTCCTCCAGGAGGCTCTGTGTACTGCGACTGCCACGCGAAAGGCAGCCGCGGCCCCAGCGGCACCCACGCGCGCCGCAGCTCCTCCAGGAGGCTCTGTGTACTGCGCCTGCCACGCCAAAGGCAGCCAGGAAGCTATCTGTACAGTGAGTGAATGAGTGAGTGAGTGAGTGTGAGTGAGTGTGAGTGAGTGTGTGTGTGTGTGTGTGTTAGTGAGTGAGTGAGTGAGTGAGTGAGTGAGTGACGGTGAGTGAGTGAGTGAGTGAGTGAGTGAGTGAGTGAGTGAGTGAGTGACGGTGAGTGAGTGAGTGAGTGAGTGAGTGAGTGAGTGAGTGACGGGCGCGGCGGCGGCGGACGGCGGACGGAGGAGAGCGGCGGGATCCAAGCGAAAAACAAGAACCCCAAGCAGTGATGTGGGGAAAAAAAAGGATGTTTTACGAGCATTCCACAGCGATTCGGATCATTATCCACTCTGGGGCAGCAGGAAGACCAGCCGCGCAGGTGGTGTTGCGCCGCATGCTTCAAAAGGAAATCAAACGGCGAAAAGAAACAGGAGCCGTGGCAGTGCTGGTTGTGGTTTGCATGGTGGTGCCATTCAAATATGGCAATTGTTACTTCTTCACTTGCTGCCGCTTGCTTAACAAAACTGATTCATTCGGTGAGTTTCAGCACGGCGTGTCCATCTCCAAGATTGCGAATTTGTTTCCATGTTGTTCCTATTCCCATCGGATCCATGTGTGGTATATATGCTAACATTGGGGGTATATTAATGGTAAATGTTACCATATATAGCATACATGGATCCTATGGATATTGGGCTAGCCATTTGCCACCAATGCAGGGACACAGGTGATAAGGACATCGCCAGAAACCGTGTGTCCTAGCAACGTCAGCGCCGGGTCCATTCGCGATCTATTTGTTGCAAAACTATCAATCTTTAGCGACCCCAAAGTACTGTAGAAATGTTGAACACCTGGAAATGCTACAATGTGAGGCCCCCAAGATATGTTTGTTGGTTTAGATTCGCCCCAGTTACTAGTTCGTTATTTGCATACCATAAACCATAGTGACATTGGAGTTATGTGAACCCCAACTGAACGCTATCGAGCGGGGCCCATCATCCTGGAGACACGTTTCTATCCTTTTAGGGGCATCCTCGTTGATGGAAAAACCCCGGTAATAAGCCCTGGTTGCCTGGTTGATGAAATAATCGGGGGGTTACCCCCAAATTATCATAGTGATCATGTGCTACTAAAAGTGCTAGTCCCCAAACTGTCCAAACTAAACAACCCAGAGGTTTATTAATAAGGGTTTTGACATCTCCCTACCAAGGAAACAACAACTTGTACAGTTTAGAATTCAGAGTCGCCTTGTCGGGTTTCGCACGTTTCGCGAAATTTCTCCATGCAGTGGAATTGAAGGCAGGCCGTGTCCCAGGAGAAAAGGATTCCACCTTCTTCGACACGGAGCGCGCCATCATGATGGAACAGTGCCTTGGCTTGGCTTGGCTAAGTCATTCTTGGATAAATGGAGGTTTCTCCAAAAATGGAGGATCCCCAAAATGGTACGAATTTTGGATGATTTGGGAAACCATTTTAGGAAACCTCCAAAATCTCCAAATTGGGGGACCGTCCGAAAATGCTGGATACCCAAGATGGTTATTTTAAGAGGGAAAATGATGATAATCCACTGGTAAACGTTTACATAGCGAACTGGAAAGTCACCATTTATCTTTTGTTTGTCAGCCTCGGATTGTTGAATCCTGGCTAGTTACTCTCTGCATGATTTTTCGATATCAATGCATGCACATATGAAGAACATAGTAATTGTGCCATCATTGCCCATTATATAGCATAAATATATTAATATATATAATAATTATGTATATGTAATATATATGTATATTAGAAACAAAATGATACTGTATATAGAAACAACTATATATAGAATATACAGTACATATACATATACATTTATTATACATATACATATATATATATATATATTAATGTATACATATATACACACCTACTTTCTTTACATAGAATAAATAGCAAAGGTGGGAGCAGATCGATGAGCCCGAAGAGGTGACGCCCGTGCCCTCTGAGCCCACGAGACTTGGACTGGTGCGTTTTGTAGGGTTGCTGGATGGGTTGCTGGGGGTTGCTGGGATGATTTTAATAGATATTGGGATTATAATGTGATAAATATTGGGATTATAATTGGATTATAATGGGATTATATTGTATATATATATCTGGGTAAATTATAACGACCTCACTGTTCTCCCTCATTGGAATCATAGTTAGTAAGGGGAATCATCCCCAAATGGCCGAACTATTCAGGTTAGTGAAATATTTGTAATTTACCCAGATTAATCAATCTTGGATTATTGTCTATAATGAGAATCAATGACGATAGTGGATATTGATTAATAATGATCATGATTAATCCATTATCTCAGTAATTAGTTAATGATGATAGTGGAAAACAGTCCAATATAATGGGATTAACGGGATATTTCCCAACCAGATGAACATGATGGATTTTTCAGAATCATTAATCGAGGAAAAACTTGATGAATCAATGGAAAATGATGGATGTGAATGGAAACACGGTATTTTCCGATTTTCAGACAATATACATACAATGTGAGGCCCCCAAGATAGCTAAGTTGGTTTATAACTCCAATAACTATGGTTTATGGTATTTATAACTATAGTTACTGGGGCTTATAAACCAACTTATATCTTGGGGGACTCACATTGTACAATTCACATTATAGCATTGCTTTTCCGCATTTTTCCCTCTGGATTTGCTGATGAGTTTTTTATTTTCCCCAATGGGAAATCCATTACTTGGAGACTCGATGAGGGAATACATTTTTGTTTTTTTTGGGGGCCCTTAAGCAAATCCAAATGTTTAATGGAATTGGGAGTTTTTCCCCTGAATTGTCAGGAAAAAACAAATATTCGTTGAGACATGTTCTTTGGCTGGGAAAGAACTAAACATTTCGGCCAAACAAAGTGGTAGATAAAACCAGCCAAACACATATTTTTACCGGCCGCTTGATGTGGGTTGGGCCTTTCATCAGATTGAACCATATACACCCATATATGTCCAGCGACAAAGTCGCATGGAACCCTTCAAAAGATAAGACATGGTTCATTCAACTGGAGTGGATTGATGCTTGGATATGGATGAATATGGGCCTTTACTGCAACCAACACACTTTGGGTATCTACCCAATAAAAAGGGTTGAGCAGCAACAAAAAACGCAATTCCTTCCCTGATCATCTGCAGTACGTACCTCTTGTTGGCCCCCCTGTATACAATGTGAGGCCCCCAAGATATAAGTTGGTTTATAAGCCCCAGTAACTATAGTTATAAATACCATAAACCATAGTTATTGAAGTTATAAACCAAGTTAGCTATCTAGGGGGCCCCACCTTGTATGAATAGATCCAATATTCAACCAGGGAGTTCTGGCGAATCATTGATATTGGTGAGAAGGGATTAATTCATCAGGGTTTCTTCTGTAAACTGCGCTGAAGACACCATCGCAGTGAAGGTAGAGGAACTGGCATTTCTTCAAAGAACTACTTTTGTTTCTATTGCAACAAACACATGTGTGTATGGATCAATACCTATTAATACCATTTTTAGGGGAATGAACATCCATTTTAACCCAGCTATTTTGATGTGAACTACAGGGGTACTATTGGTTTTGACACACTGCCATTTGATGAAACAACTGAATCTTGGTCAAGCGGGCCAGCGATTTCAATCTTTGTTAAACGCTTCAATTTTTCGACGATCGGGAAGCTCCAAGAAGCTCAACACCGGATGAAGATGGCCCGTTGCACCCGGAAAAAAACGAAAACGTGTTCCAAATTGTTTGCTCGCAAATTGCTTGCTTCAGCAGCCTCACCAACATTGGAAGCGTATAATATAATATATTATATATATAATATATAATATTATATATATATATACATATTATTATTTAATAACTAATATATATATATATGTATCTATAATAACATATATAAATAAAATACATATTTATCTCTATGTAATTATATCTGCATTGCCCATAAATGACGCTAAATGATGCTATTTGCGCCCTGCAGCTAAAGCTAATCTAGGTCCCCAGGAGTTTCAAAAGATAAACATGGTGACCGTCTTTGTTGGGAGCCACAAACGTGGTGAATTCTCATGGATTTGCGATGAAATCGATCATTTCTCTATGCACTAGTAGTGGCAGTGGCACAAGGAATTCACATATGCCACGAGGGTCCCGAAAAAACACTAAGGAGAGAAGAGAAATTGGATGCATATTTGCAGATTGCTGCGCAGGGTCTTAGCCCCATTGACTACGCCAGAGATTGGGAGGCGGGGATTGCGGTGGCATTTCCAGGGTATTTCCGCTGAGTCAGTCACAGAAGAATTTCCCTTTCACGGCCCAACGCATAGTTTTTCAGGTAATGTTGGCAAGACTACATTCCCAGTGGTAGTGAGATGTAGTGAGTATCCATATGGATCATCAAATTATACCCCTATATATCACTTACACACTCTATAAATCAAGGAAAATCACGCCATGGATGACCCATCTCGAAAGATCTTGGTCAAATCAGTGGGCGAGTTAAATTGGGCCCGACCCAATTTACCATTTGGATACTAGAAACCACATCCATCCACATCCCAAGGGGGCTTCAGTCCGTTTACCAGCCACATTCATCCATTCCGGGCTTCTAAGATTCTAGTAGTGACCCGGACAGTGACCCTATGCTTTTTTTTGGGCCCATAGGGATTGGCTCTACACATTTTTTCACCATGAACCATGCTAGAGCTCCAGTGTTGCTTAACCCGCTTAACCCCCTCAGGAGCAAAGAGAACAGGAGAGAATCGAAGCTCAAACTCCCCGGCGGTCAACCAAAAGCCAATCTTTTCTGCAAATTGAAGGCCGGGAATGGATCGAAACCGTTGAACGTACCCAATCTGATCCAATCAGATCTAATCAATTCAAAGTAATTAAACACATGCTCACTGCTCACTCCTCAAATATGTGTATATATATATAATATAATATATATATAATATTATAATATATATATATGTATAATATTATAATAAATAAATATATATAATATTATAATATATATAATATTATAATATATATATATATATAATATTATAATATATATATATGTATAATATTATAATATATATATACACATAATATTTTAATATATATATATAGTATATATATAATATTATAATATATATATATATATATTATTGTATCATAGATCTAGGTTTTGACGCATATTCATTTAAATTGATTGGGCCTCACAGGCCTTTTCGAAAGTGCGCTTATTTTTTTGGGCAACTCTTGGGGTAACTCGCTGAAGAAAAGTGGGAAAACCCATGAATCTTTGATGGAGAACTGGTTGGTGGTTTGGAATCCAGTTATCCATTAAGATTCCCATTAGATACTGTTAAACCACCATAATATCCCATTAAACCACCATTATTGGGAATAACATTTTTTATTTTTCCATATCTTGGGAATTTCATGATCCCAACCGACGAACGAAGTCATATTTTTCAGAGGGGTAGGTTGAAACCACCAACCAGATAGTCTTGGAAGCCGACACCTTCGACATTGTACAGCGAGATACAGGGGATGTCTGAAGAAAAGTCCCTGCTTACCCACTCAGTTCCCTCGTCAATCCCCAAGTCGTGGGCATGGGGAGTCTCCAAAATTCATCCTTTTTTGTTGGGAAAATGAGGATCCAGAAAGATTGGATTTGAGGATTTTTTTCAATGTCTTCAGGCGACACACCTATATTAAAAAAAAGAACTTTTTGGTCATCCAACCTGGGAAATCCATGCCAATTATCATTGTTTCATCAATTGGTCCATCATTTTCTATCATTTGTCCATCAATTTGTCCCTCATGTTCCATAGTTTTTCTCGACTTCTCTCCATTTTTCTCCATGAATTTCGCAGCCACCCAGGCGACGGCGTGGACGACGGCGTGGACGACGACCTGGACGACCTCGATGCCGAGCCCGGCGCAGAAATGCTGGGCGATGGCGATGTGGGCGTGCTGGAAGACGAGGGGCTGGAAGGTGCGGTGCACGTGGCTACGCTTTATAGATCTACCCTCTGGTAATGACTAACATAGCTATTAAACATGGCCATTTATAGTGGATTTACCCATGTTATCTTCATTTTAGATGGTTAAATCCCCCATGAAATCATATCCCATGACGGATCCATGGTGCTGGTATACCCTCTGGTTATGTCAAAATAGCTATTGAAAATGGCCATAGAAATAGTGGATTTTCATTAATAGCATGGTGATTTTCCATAGCTATGTTAAATTACCAGAGGGTATATGCTAACATAAAGGGGGTATATTGATGGGATCCATGGCACACCAGATATAGCAGCACCATGGATCCGTCATGGGTCTGGTAATGACTAACAGAGCTATTGAACATGGCCATAGAAATAGTGGATTTACCCATAACAAATTGTGATTTTCTAGTTCGTTATGTAAACGTTTACCAGAGGGTATAATGTTCTATGATCTAATGGGGGTACAACAATAAACCACCCATGACTGGGAATGGTAAACATACCAGCTATTTATGGTGATTTGGGGGATGGTTTATGATCCTTTTTTTTCCCAGATTATAATATATTATATAATGATCTATATAAGATACCTGCAACATCCAAAAGGCATTTTTTTGCAAGGTTTTGCCAAACTGCAAAAATACTTGATGATTTGCAGAAAAAGGATCTTGATGGATGGTGCAGGTATGGTGTAGATCCTTTTTTTTTGTATATCGATCACGATAGAATATATGTTAGATCTATATTAAGACCTTTTGTGAAATATTGATATTGTAATATCATTATCATTTACTTAACATTTGTATAATTAACTGTAATGTAATTATATGTTTATAATTTTATACGATCTTATATTATATATCATACTATGTTTTAGTATATTTCTATCCATGAAATTGTATAACATAGCACACTCATTAAAACGCATCCTATACATATTCTATATCATATACATATCCCACATCCATCTATATCCTATATAGATATATAATTAACACTAACCAGATATTAACCAGATATTGATAGAGGATTTTAGTATGTAACTATATATATATATCTATTGTTGATATGGTTGATATATACTGGTTTATAATCAACCATACTGTATATGATTAATATGATCCAGATATATTTAGTATAACCTATATATCCTATCTTGTATATATATATATATATAGATCGTTGGGCTCGGTCATCCCCGCAGGTGCCACCAGCTCTTGCATGGAGCGTGCGCCCAGCGGGCTGGCGGAGGATAAACCCATGGTGCTGTTCTTCAACGCAGCTGCACTGGAGGACTCGGTACACCAACCTGGTTGATGAGTTTCAGCTTTTTGTTGTGGGTTTTTTCTGGGATTTTCAGTGGAATTGTTGGATTTTTCTGGGATTTTCAATGGAATTGTTGGATTTTTCTGGGATTTTCAATGGAATTTGTGTGGATTTGTCTGGTATTTTCAGTGTGATTTTTGGATCTTTGTGGGATTTTCAATTGGATTTAATGGCATTGACTGGATTTCAATGTGATTTTCATGGGATTCTAACCATTAAACATATGGAGATAGAAGTGGATATAATTGATCAATGATAAATGATTGTTGATTGGCGATTTGGAGTTTACCATTATTTACAAGGGTTTTTTTCACCATACAACGGCCATGGGGATTTTTGGTGTTCTCGATGAGAAATCCACCATGTAGGGGAATCGATGGAGGGAAGATGTTTTGAGTTTGTTTCATTGGTTACCCTCTGGTAAACAAACATAGCTATTGAAAATGACCATTTATAATTAGTTGATTTACCCATTAAAGATGGTGATTTTCCATAGTTATGTAAACGTTTACCAGAGGGTACTATAAATGATTATACTACCAGGCTTATTGGGGATTATGATAACCCATGGTAGGGTAACTTAACAACCAACCAGCATAGACAAATGGGTCTGTTTTGAAAGTGGGATTTCACATAGCCTCACCTTGCAGTAACCTCTGGATTTGGGGGTAGTTATCTGACAGGAATATTCACCAGCAATGAGGGTATGCACCAACAAACGATGCCGGAATTGAGCAAATCCATGGGCATGTGCAGAATTTCCATAATTCTACCTCAAATTGGTGACAGTGTTCCCAATCCAAAATTTAAGTTGATTCAATTTTGGTGTTTTTAAAGTGGTTGACAGCGCCTTTGGTGTTTAGGGCATCACTGGTATTCAAATACACCTTGACTAAGGCCAGAAGGCACGGGGGTAGAAACCCACGTTCGTTTCCGACGAGAAACCCACCAGAATCGGATATGGGCAACAATTGGGACAGCGGGATAGACCGGAGAACACCAACACCTGGTTGGTGGTTTGGAACATTTTATCTTTTTCCATATATTGAGAACAATAATCCCATTTGACGAATATCTTTCAGAGGGGTTGAAACCACCAACCAGGAAGTACATTTCTCAAGCATGACATTTTTTTGAGATTAAGTAACAGACATGCCATCAATAGTTCCGTCATGATGTCCAGAAATGAGCCGCAGGTCATCCAGTATTTCTGGTCTCACTTCCGAGTGGGGAAACCATTTGGTTTAGGCAATTAAGACATCCAAAGCTGGGAGGGTTGGGCTGACTCTCAAGTTGAGCGACTTGGATCGATTCTAAATGAGACTTGCTCAGTGCCGTGCATCTCTGGTGGTTGATGGTCATCTTTGGGGTTATACTATGCTTTTGAAGTTTAGTTTTTGGACTCTAGGAACCACAAGAAAGATTGAGAAACGTATAACTGGTTGGTGGTTTGGAACATTTTTTATTTTTCCATATATTGGGAAGAATCATCCCAACTGACTTTCATATTTTTCAGAGGGGTAGATCAACCACCAACCAGTCTACCACTATTTCAGCAGGATTCTGCTGTTCTATTCTGGGTGTTGCTATAAAGGCTATAATCCAATGAGAATCCACCAAACCAACCAGTGACGACGCTAGGATGGTCCATGATGAGCATGAAACAAGTGGAACCTTATGTGAGTAATTAAACCTGAGTAACCACCTCATCTTTGAAACTACAATTTTGATTAGCTTGTTGCAGTAACTCTAAGTTTTTTTTTGTGTTTTGCCAAGGTTTCCTGACCGGTTCGATGATACTTCCACGGTTTTAATATGTTTTTCCAACCGCAGGACATTTCGCCGTCTGCGAAGGTCCGAGAGCAGTTATGGGTGGACCAAAGGACCAAAGTTTGGGATATGACATTGATGAATCCCTTACCCTCTGGTAAACTAACATAGCTATGGACAATCACCATTTATAGTGGGTTTTCCCATTAAAAATGGTGATTTCCCATAGTTATGTTAATTTACCAGAGGGTAATATAGGTTGTTTGTCAACCATTCCCAGTCATGGGTGGTTTATGGCATGGTTTTACACACATTACCCCAGTTTTTTTTCAGAACCCCCCGATGACATCCAGTTTTAGCATTGGATCTATTCATCACCAGGGGTCCCTCTTTGGGGGTAATCGATGTGGGTCCTAGGTGAGGGGATTGACCATCGATGTGGGAAATTCCATGACAGCACGGATATAATCTGGTTGGGGTTTGGAACATGAATTTTATGACTTTCCATATCTTGGGAATTTCATCATCCCAACTGACTTTCTTTTTTTTTCAGAGGGGTAGGTCAACCACCAACCAGTAATGTGGAAAATGGCCATTTATAGTGAGTTTTCCCATAAAAATGGTGATTTTCGCTGTGTAAACGTTTACCAGAGGCTATCTCAAAAACCCATGGATATTTGATGATCTGTGGGTATGTCCAAGAATTAGGGATCTCCCAAACTAGTCAATTTGGTCATTTTCATGGGGAAAAATATAAAAACACCATGGATTTGGGGGTACAAACCCAGACCTGATTGGCTTCCCCTCCAAAAAATCGACGAAAAACAATCCCACTCGATTTATAGAGTGTGTTCCCATTAAAACTTTCATTTTTCAATTAGTTTGGGGATTTCCCAGGTAGCCACGTTTGATTAGTACAGGTATTAATCCGATGTTCTGTCCTACCACTCCAGTTTACCCACTGTTAAACTAACATAGCTACGAACAGTGGGCCATGTTAGTTTAAGCTCACGACGCCCCTACCGGCCCTGGGGAATATGACTTTTTTGCTGTGCCCATTAGTTAGAAGTATTGCCCGTCAGTTAGAAGTATTGCCCGTCAGTTAGAAGTATTGCCCGTCAGTTAGAAGTATTGCCCGTCAGTTAGAAGTATTGCCCGTTAGTTAGAAGTATTGCCCGTTAGTTAGAAGTATTGCCCGTCAGTTAGAAGTATTGCCCGTCAGTTAGAAGTATTGCCCGTCAGTTAGAAGTATTGCCCGTTAGTTAGAAGTATTGCCCGTCAGTTAGAAGTATTGCCCGTCAGTTAGAAGTATTGCCCGTCAGTTAGAAGTATTGCCCGTCAGTTAGAAGTATTGCCCGTTAGTTAGAAGTATTGCCCGTCAGTTAGAAGTATTGCCCGTCAGTTAGAAGTATTGCCCGTCAGTTAGAAGTATTGCCCGTCAGTTAGAAGTATTGCCCGTCAGTTAGAAGTATTGCCCGTCAGTTAGAAGTATTGCCCGTCCGTTTAGAAGTATTGCCCGTCAGTTAGAAGAAGTATTGCCCGTCAGTTAGAAGTTTTTAGAAGTATTGCCCGTCCCGTCAGTTAGAAGTATTGCCCGTCAGTTAGAAGTATTGCCCGTCAGTTAGAAGTATTGCCCGTCAGTTAGAAGTATTGCCCGTCAGTTAGAAGTATTGCCCGTCAGTTAGAAGTATTGCCCGTCAGTTAGAAGTATTGCCCGTCAGTTAGAAGTATTGCCCGTCAGTTAGAAGTATTGCCCGTCAGTTAGAAGTTTTGCCCGTCAGTTAGAAGTATTGCCCGTCAGTTAGAAGTATTGCCCGTCAGTTAGAAGTTTTGCCCGTTAGTTAGAATTTGTGCACGAAGGATGGTGTGATTTTTTTGGGGAACCGGGGGGGGGGGGGGGGGGGGGGGGGGGGGGGGGGATATAATTTCTTTCCACGGTGTCTAACTGCTGATAGGTGCTTGACAGTCCTGAAGTGCAACGCCTGCAGCCGATCATAGATGTGGATTCCAGTTCGGATACTCCAGAGTCTCCGATGCGATGGCGCCGTTGGCGGAGTGGGTCTTTGAGACCACCACCGGGCAGTGTGGTGGAAGTACCTTTGGTGGAAAACGTGGACAAGAATGAGATTCGTGAAAAATTAAAAACATACTGGCAGGCATGGAATACGCAGACATGGACTACAAGTTCAGAAAAATGACACAAACAAGCAAGACACCTGAACCCGTCAGGAATTTTCAGCAAGAGATTGCTCAATGGCGCTGCTCGCACCCCAAAGAGAAGAAGAAATACCTTCTGCTGTTTTGGCGCTGGGCGGGAGCTCTGGAACGCGGTCAGCGCGGTCGCTTTTTGATCTCTGAGCTTCCCCATGTCATGACAAGCCCTTCTGGACGCCCTCCGGTAGAGTCATTGAATGATGTGAAATCATGTCAGTGGTTAGAACGTACATTGCCAAAGTCTCATATTTTTGCAGATGGAAACAAATCATGGGCCAGTCACAGTAAGTCCTTGGGCCGAAAATGTTTTCAGGTCAGTCATGTCAAAATGGAATTTACGCGTAAAAGGCGTAAACGGGGACACAAGACGCATGGCACGCAGTGCATTGACAAGAAATGGTCAGCATTGAAACGGTATATCCCCAAGGAACTGAGCTGTTCTCCATGTTGTTGGTAAGAAAATTTCCATTTTTTTTTGCATTTAGGAATTCAAATTCATGATTAAACGCATTGGAATTACGACTTCGCAGACACAAAACACTGTAAAACGCAGACCAAAATGAGCGATTGAACAAATGGGCAGACCAAGAAAACGCTGTGAGGGTTGCGAAAGACACAAATCTGCGACTGAAAAGATGAAAAAACAGCAGGGCCGTTACAGGCTTCGTGACCTAGTTTAACATGCGGGTAACATGTTTTTTCGTAACAAAAATGGCAAATCAACGAACTAAATGGGCCATGTTCGCAAGCTCGACTGGTCACCAGAGACCAGTCCAGTCCAGGTCTCACACCCCGATTTGAGCGGAAAGTGCATGATGAGTTCAGGGGCGTTACCACCCTTGATATATATATATACGTACACACATATATTTATATACATAATATATATATATATATACGTACACATATATATGTATATATATATATTATATACATATATATATACCCTCTGGTAAATTAACATTGGGTCTGTCTTTTACAAGCCTCACTGGTTGGTGGTTTGGAACATTTTTTATGGTCCATATATTGGGAATAATAACCCCAACTGACTAATATTTTTTTTAGAGGGGTTGAAACCACCAACCAATATATGTACATACACACATTGGGGCTTATTATAATATATGATATCAATGACATGGGAACACCGAAAAAAAATGCCCTTACGTAGTTTTTGAAGGGACAACATTTCGGGTTTTGAGCGCTGCTCATTTGACAGCTGTTGCAAAGTCTTGAGATGGTGCCACGTGACTTTTGGCAAAATGTGCATTGGTTGCAGTCTATCGCACTGGTTTTGTTGATTGTACTGCGCAACAATCTTACTGCATCTTATTACATTGCATCATTCATTGACCCATGGTTGTTTTTATTTTTTTTCATTCTGTCCGCATATTGATATGTTTCTTGCGTACATTACCATGAGTCTTACTTTGTTGACTAGATGATTCTTGCGAACAATCCCAACTTGTCTCTCGGTGATATCCACTTAGTTTTCCTGACTTTCCATATTTGTTCCTGGTAAATCTCCACATTTTGTTTGGTTTTCCCAAACACTACTATACCCAGATTCCAATCCAAAAATAATATTCCATGGTATAAAAATATACACATCCATATATAGTTTACCTTAGTATATCCTATATATATATATATATATATATACGTATGTACAGTATGCTGTAGCCCTTGGGTCATCGTCTTTCAAAACGGTCCTGCTGTGTTCTCCGGTCCCCGAGACCAACGACCAACGCAGGCGTCTGCTGCGCCGTCCAAAGAGGAGCCCAAAGGAGATCGGCTCCCGACGGAGATGCAGGCGGGGGACCGTTGTTCGGAAGGGAGACCTTTGTTTTGGTTCATATGCCCTGACCCATAGGATCCATGTATGGTATATATGCTAACGTTGGGGGTATATTGATGGGATCCATGTTACCACATATATAGCATACATGAATCCTATGGGTAATAATCAGTGTGTATATATGTGTGGTATATATGTGTATAATGTTCATGTATTTATTTCTGTATGCTTAGGTTAGTTCTTGTCAATGTGTTTTTTATGATGGCTTATTGCCCTTATAGTTTCGACGGTGTGAATGCATGAACCGTACAAGTACGGTATAAACCATGTGTATGAATATGAACATGGTTGACCACGCATGAACCATAGAATTCGCGCCCAAAGGATATGAGTAGGGTATACACATACAATATACAGCCCTTTAGTAATCTCTATCACCTAGACCAAGTCCATCCAAGCAGGGTTAGTCATCGGAAACCATGACCTCACTGGCCGAGGTCATCATGTTTACCAACAAAAATCATCCCTAAGTGACCTCATTTCTATTCATTTCTGTGTTTTTTTCCCCTATTTGTTCGTCCAGGTATTTTTGAAAAGGCCAAAACCCCTACCAATTGGGTGATGCTTACCACCTATTCATCGTTGTTTTAGGGATGGTTTGTTATTTACTTTACCACATTGTTTCTGAAAAGTTAATAGTTTCAAGAGCCACACATTGTGGATAAAATGAGGTATCAAACTATGACCCTAAACCCTCATCTAATACGACTGATGTATATCCCAGGAAGTCCAATAATCACTCCAAGTCTCGTAGCTTCGACCAACAAAATGAAGCTTTAGCAGTCCGAAGCAATCCAAGGGTCCTTTGGGTTCTAATTATGTACACCTGGTTGGTGGTTTCAAACATGTTTGATTTTCCATAACAATCCTTTCCCCCTAATACTAAACGCCACCCCGCAAATAATAAACACCTCAGGTAGTTTTTATGATTATGGGGGGGTATTTATTATGAGGGAACCTTAGTAATACATTGAAACCCTTAATAAAAAAAACTATTTGTTTCGATTTCAAAATCCATTGGATTTCGAAGCGAAGCCTATTAATAAATTGAAACCCTTAATAAACAAAACTATTTGTTTCGATTTCAAAATCCATTAAATTTCCTTATATAACGCAATTGAAATATTGCCAAAATTTGGACTTCGAAGCGGACCCTATTAATAAATTGAAACCCTTAATGAAATTCACGGACCCTAATAATAAACACCCCGGGGTTAACTAGTTTTTATTATTAGGGCGCGAAACCCACAAATGGTAGCTTTATTTTTAAAATTGTTTTCTAAAGGGGATCGATTAACAGTCAAATTGGCCAACCTGAAATTTTCCAAAATTGGAGATGGACCCTAGTTTTTATTATTTGGGGGAGGTTTAGTAATGGGGGGAATGGATTATATGGGATAATCCTTCCCATTGACTTTCATATCTTTCAAGATGGTTATTGCACCACCAACCAGACACAGATACTCTGCCAAAAATGAAGGAGAGGACAGTTTTTCTATAGGAATACAAACTGCTCAGCCACTGCTCGTCTCTGCAAACGAACAGCTCGCCAAGACCGACCGTCAACGCCACGAGACGCATCGCACCAAGCCGGGCGACCCTTATATTTTTTTCGGATGGTCCCTTAAGGTTCCCTTAACGGCCTAGAAGATGTGACGGATTACCTCCCATAGGATCCATGTATGCTATATATGGATATATATGGTAACATGGATCCCATCAATATACCCCCAATGTTAGCATATATACCATACATGGATCCTATGGGCCTGGAAGATTCTGTACCTCAGGCCTATCTATAGACAGTCAGACTTAACCGCGGTTTCTGAAGTGGAGTTTTTACTGCGGTCTGAAACAACTGTTCTGTCGGGTTTCGAACGTTGTTTTGTTCACAACCTTCAAGGTCAGAGCTGTCGTAATGCCATGTAATGCCAAGTTCATTCTTCGGTAGTGATTCGTTGAGTTTTTATTCCAGTTGAAATTTAAGTTTGGATTCCAAAATCACTACCCTTTGGTAATTTAACATAGCTATGAAAATTGTCATTTATAGTGGATTTACCCATTAAAAATTGTGATTTTCCATAGTTATGTTAGTTTACCAGAGGGTATCACCAATTTTTCAGGTCATCTTAACACCTTGGGGACACCAACATGTTTCACCATTTTTCACCCTTAAATTCTATCAAATTGGGACAGAAAAATGGCCACCAGGCGCTGGAAGCACCAGAGGAAGTGCCAGCCGTAGAGCAAGGCCGCGTGGAGGCGCTATCATCTCCGCAGAAGTGTTTGGTGAACAATGTGATGTGATGATTAGCCGAAAGATTTCGGATATTTCGGATTTCAGGATGTCCTTTTGATAGAAACATAACATATAAGTAAGTCTGGTTGGTGGCTTGGAACATGTGGATTATGACTTTCCATATCTTGGGAATGTCATCATCCCAACTGACTTTAACTCCATGTGTCTTCAGAGGAATTGTTTTACCACCAACTAAGTAGATTCATAGAATTGGATGACGGGACAATTTACAGGAAACCCTTATATTTGATGGTAAGAACCATGGTTTCCGGTTAAGATTTTCCTTTAAACCAATCCATTGATAGATACGAAGTCTTTGGGATGTCCTTTATGCTACCAAGATTTTTCACCGCTGGAGTGATCCCAAGTTCCCATCTTGGTCTGAGAATGTGGCGTTTTGACATAAATGCACAACAAAACACATGTGCGACCCGGAGTATCTCAAACCATCTCCAAGATGTTTAACATCTAACAGTCATTAAATCCCATCTCAAAGATGTTGAACATCAGTCAATCCTCCCAGTTTTGCTGGGTGAATCCCAATTTTCGGCTCAACAAAAAGACCAGGTGGAGTCAGCCCCACGGCACGACGACGGCGGCGAAGCTGTCGCGGATGAAGGCTTTCCCGTGGCGTTTTCCCGTGGAAAATTGAAGCACCAGAAGTCAACCCAATTGTACCTGATATTGGATTCACCAGGTATGTTGGATATTGGATATAGCCAGGTTTTACTGAATCTTACATGGATACTTTAATCCATTTTAATCCAGTCTTTTGGTATTAATGGGAATATCTACGTTCACCAGCAAAGAATTTGTCATTTTTTGCAGGGTATCTTTCAGATTGGCAATGAATACCCAACCCAGGTTTTACTGAATCCAATATCCAACATACCTGGTGAATAATCTACTTTTTTGGAGGGGTACCCAATTTTGATATCTGTAGTGACCAATTGGTTGACTTATACCCAATTGGATAAATTGGGTACCACAGATATCATCGATTTTTTTGGGGGTACGCAATTTAGGTCTATACCCATAGTTAATCATAGTTATATTTTTGTCATGGATTCTATAGACAAGCAACATGTGGATCAGATGGATAATGGAGTTTTTTATTTTAATGGATTTCCCTTCAGCAAAAATAGAATGGGATTAATGATGATTAATGTATAGGTATATATATATATATCCTGTGTTGTAGCTGGTTTCATGTGGTTTCGACATGACTTTCCATGCTGGGATGTTTTTTTGATTTAGCGGAAGGTGATATCACCTGGCCAAGGTTGCTCGAAGATAGAGTGAATGCATTATACCGTTATATATGGCATATATATATATATACACATGGAATGTCCCTAGTGTGGGACGAAATATGGGCTATATATGGATTATACACCACTTTCTAAGTGGGATGTATTATGTTCATCCAAGTCTTTTTCGTTGGTAAACTATGATTCAGCAAGCAACGTGGCTGATCACAAAGGATGGGTTAAACTTGTTAAAACAGGCCAGCAGGATTCCGGAACGCATTCCGGAACGGATTCCGGAACTCGCCAAGTTCGTTTCTTCCGACATTTTGCGGACACAATTGCTGCTCCCAAGTGCTGAACATCTAAAATTCACGTGTATAATATATATATATATGGATATATATATATATATATATACATGGATATATATATATATATGATTATACATGGATGGCATTTTTCTGACAACAAAAAACCGCAAGATTGAAGAAAAAACGTAGACATATGGATGCAAGTACCTTCCTTTCGAAGTATTTGGATTCACAGGGATGGGAGAGTAAACCAGACGACTGACCAAACCTCAGCAATTGATTGTTGGCACTCATGATACACAAAAAAAACTGGATGTAATGGAAACTCCACCTGAAATTCATCCAGAAATCGATCCAGTGAAGATCGATTTCCTGCCAGATCCAGGTCTTCAGCTCCACGAAGGCCTTCGGGCACAGTGAGTCAGTGGTGAAAACTCCGTTGTGGCAGGTTTGTTGTTTTTTTTTGACCCCCATTATGCATATAATATATGCAGATTTCCTAAAATGGGGTAAACATGGGTAAACGTATCCAAAATTGTTGATAATTAATGGGAAAACCAATGGCCTGGAGTATCCATATTTGAGGAAACCTCCATAGGTTTCTACCAGAAATCCGAGACCCAGGCGATTCCAGGGATGACCCGGTACCCATGCAACTGACCACATGCCGGAAACTTCAGGAACGTTGAAGAGTTAATTTTTGAGGAAATATACACGTAAATTCATTCATGACTTGATCAGAATTTTATTTTTGACGTGTTTTTTTTTAAATGTATTTTAGGGACTAAATATACTATCCTTTTCAAAGGCTTTGAACATGATTTATGCCTTTGATTCTTGCTTACTCTCCTTGACCCAACCTTTCTCGAGGTTGGAGCTTGTCCAAAGTTTATGGGTGCCAGTGTGGCAGGTGACTTCAGTTACCCACTTGTCAAGTGTAGGAATACACCGTTACACTCCAATAGTTTAACACAGCTATGGAAGCCATGGCCCATAGAAATAGATGAATTAGCCTCTGGTGAACTAACAGCTTGCTCTTGAAAATGGCCCAGTCAAAATGTTTTCCCATTAATAGCATGGTGGATCTTTCCAGTTCGTTTGTTGTAAACGTTTACCAGAGGGTACCCATGTTATAAAATGCTGCTTTTCCATAGCGAAGTGACGAAGTGTTTCCCAAAAAAATCACCGAAAAATCCCCGGGGTAGAATCCCAGTATCTGGCAGTATCTGGGGATGGTCAGATAGTCATGTCGTATTGCGAGATGAGTCGCCTCCAGGACCTGTTTTTTTTGTTTGGAAAAAAGGGCTACTGATGTCATTTGGATGTTTTCTAAAGTGGACTTTCCAAGTCACCATAGGTTTCAATAATGTAGTACACCGATTCGTGTCCTGGTACCCTATTGTGAGTTTTTTTCCAGACTAATTGAGTATCCTGCCGTTTGTTGCTTGTGGGGCTCTATTGTGAGAAGTCTTTTCTCAGATCCAATTTCTTCAGGAGCTTTATCCACCTTTATACACCTTTCTTTGGGTAAAGCTAGTCCATTTACTTTTGAAAACCATATGCATTGAAATCATGTCTTATCAATTTTTTGGAGGTTTATATAAAAGGAAACTCAATAATTGATTTCAATTGAAATCCTTACTTAAGTCATCACCCTGAGTTTCCCAGACCTGGTCCCCCCAAAAATGCCGAGTTATTGAGTAGACTAAAATTCTTTGAGGGGGGGCCCTACACTAATCAGCGTCCACCATTACTAAAGATGGTCTAGTTTCGGATGATTTGGGGGTACCCTCTGGTAAACTAACATAGCTATTGAAAATTGCCATTTATAGTGGATTTTCCCATGGAAAAATTGTAATTTTCCATACTTGTGTTAGTTTACCAGAGGGTACAACCTGTGGTTCAAATTTTTATCGGAGGGTACCACCATTTTAGGAAACCCTCAATTTGAGTCATTTCCACCACCACTGCACCAAAGCTCCCCAGGAGCTTTGGAGATCGCCACCCCTCGCGACGCGGATGCGCAGCTCGCGGACCTTCCCGAGCTTGCGGAGCTGCGTGCGGCAGCAGTGGGGCTGGTGGGAGAGCAGAGCATGTCCATCGATTTGGCGCTAGCGAGGTGCGACACTGGCGTTGGAAGTACTTGGATTTGCTGAAAAAAATGTTTTTCACAGTTTTCCCAATGGGATCCCAATGGGAAATCGACGACTTGGGGAATCGATGATGGGAAGATGTTTTATTTTTTGGTGGTTCCGTACACAAATAAATCCATGAATATGGGGGTTTCCATAAATGGGAACCCCCAATAGCTGGATGGTTTTATATCGGAAAATCTCGCAAACAAAAATGGATAATTTGGGGGTACCCTCATTTTAGGAAGCCTCCATATCTGGATGTGGGCTCTGGGTTCGGGATTACTACCCATCACACCCCCCCCCAAAAAAATAAAGTTCCAATCGATTCTAATCCCAGAGGTTTTCTCCAGGGTCAAGACCGAAAAACCATCCGTTTTCTTGGGATGAACATCCATTTACACAGTTATGGCCCAACTCACAGTTATTTTCATGGGGTTCTAATGATACATAACCAACTACAGCGGAGTTATTTCATCCCATTTGTAACCAGTATTTTTGTTGGGCCATAACTGCAGGCGATGCCAGTTTTTTTTGTGGGGTTGGTACCTTTGATCATCCACTCGCATGCGATGTTTAACCTATATTTCCAGGGGAAAACTTCAGGGATGCAGTTTCCTGGCCATGCATATCCCTAAACTTTGTTTAATCATCGACCTCCTATGGTGACTTGAGAATATAGCTGCAGCGGGTTGCGTTGCAAGATTTTCAGCGCCTTAGAAGTATGTATGTGCTTAAGGAAGTCTTGGTGCCTACCCACATTGTGTTTGTTCATTACATGATATTACATATCATATACCTCCAGGTTCCTTTCCTTATATATACATATATACTGTATATATACTGGTTGGTGGTTTGGAACATTTTTTATTTTTCCATATATTGGGAATTTCATCATCCCAACTGACTATCTATCTATATTATATATATATATATCATATCCATCCTCCTGCCAATTTCCACTACTAAATGCTATGACCTAGGTCCCGGAAAGTGAACCAAAAATTTAGTGTGAAATTTCTAGATACCATTTAGTAGAGAATCATGATTTTTCAAAAAAAAAACAAGTAAACATCTCTAGACCCATGATCCACATTTAGTAGAGAGGTAAAAATGATATGTTAATCATATTATGATGTCAAATGTAGTTTTTTGGGTAAAACCATTTAGTAGAGATGTCAAAAAAATTGACAGGGGGTTTCATATCGAACATTTGCTTGGTTAGCGACGTATTACCATATACCTCTATGATCCTCCATATCTCGGCATAGGCGGCAACCTTCGCAGACCCACTCATTGGAGCAAGCATCCTTGATGGTCCTGGGTGGTGGGGGCTCCATCCGTGATGAATTCGAACTCGAGGTCCAAAAATGGCAGCTGTCAAAGATATCTGTCAAACATATAATGTAATATAATGTAATGTAATATAATATAATATATTATATTATAATATATTATAATATTATAATCTAATATATAGATTCAATCTAGATAATAAGGTATATGATATCTATATATATATATACTGTATGGTTTTCGATGGTGATGTGAGGGAAATGGACGGGATTTTCCACCGCCAGGATGGCTTTGATTTCTCCAGGGAGGACCCAGTGGAGGCCAGGGGATTTGGACGTCAATTCTTTCGTTCTTAATATGAATATATATATATATATATTGGTGTATCTTAATAATTCTTATTCCTGTATATTGATATGTATATGTTTGATATATCTTATTATATCTTATTGCCTTAATATATTAATATGTGTATATAGGATTATATATATATATAGGTATATCTTTATACAAGTTCTTCCCGTTTTTTAGGTGATCATCCCCGCTGACAACCCTTTTGGATGGGATAAAACTACAGATGGTTTTACGAAGGATTTCACTAGCACAACTTGAGGATCACAGCCGGAGAACTTACACTGTTTTCAGGAAAATGGAAGAAGGATTCAATAAATAAAATCAGGATTCACAAGAATTAATGAGAAAATCACTCAAAAGAACATGCCGACCCCCAGCATGGGTATTTCACCACATCGTTTCACCGTCAACAAGGATTGTGTTCAAGACACTAGGACTTCCCCATCAAGACGGTTATTTTCCGAAAACACAGGAGATGATAGGAGTATGGCCATGATATTGTCATCATATTGTCATCAATACAGTGAATTTCAGGCTTAACACATTCGGACATCGCCATGGACCAAGATTTGGAGTTTATCCTCAACAGCAGACCTTCAAACAGGATGAGAATTCTCCGAAAAGAATGAGTAGCAAACATGGTTGTGCTATCGTTGGAGTACTGCGCAGTAAACACATTTGACTCTTGAGGCTCAGTAGTATGCCAGCATATATATATATATATATATTATGTCCTTGTTTGTCTTGTTTGTCTTGTTTGGTACAGCAGTTGGATCAATTTAGACAACTGCCCAAGTCACCGTATTCGAAGAATTTTTCGCAGCAAAGTGCCTGGATGCATGACACCATTACGACGGGGTCAACCTGGAACAGCTCGAGTTGGTCAATGCCATTTCCCATAGGATCCATGTATGCTATATGTGGTAACATGGATCCCATCAATATACCCCCAATGTTAGCATATATACCAGCACCATGGATCCTATGGGTTTGCAATCTACGGCATTTTCTCATTTTTTTTTGCGCAAAACAGCCATGCAAATCCTTAAGTGTTGCAATTCTGTTTCATGAGCTGGGAAAACCACATCACTGGAATCTTGATCTGGTGAATCTGGTTGGTGGTTTCAAACATTTTTTATTTTTCATAATATATGGGATGTCATCCTTCCCATTGACGAACTCATATTTTTCAGAGGGGTAGGTATACCACCAACCAGTGATCTTCTTTGGCAATTGTTCCTCGATTCCAATCTCCAAGCATCAGGAGCCAGAGAGCAAAAAACCATCGAAAGCGATTTCTTCGCCACTTGGCGCAGCTATGTGAAAGACCGGGACAGATGGGAACATGCACAGTTTGAAAAATGATGTTTTAAGAATCTTTTCTTACTGGTGCTAAACGTAGGGAATGGATGGGAATGGGGGTTGCTGAGATGATTATTACTAGTGATTATGGATCATTCTCTCATTCCCTGCTGAGCACCAGTAAGTTTTAGACTCACAAAAAAATTAGACTGTGGCTTTTTGCCTTGGTGCCACATCGAACCTACATTTACAGCGTTTTGAGGTTGATACTTTTAGCTGACAACCATGAGGCAGTATGCCAATTGTTCGCTCGCTCCAGTCGGTGTATCCAAGCGTTTTTTCCGTTCGTTGGGTCGGTCTTCGAGGTTCTCCAGAGATAGGGTCCACCATGGTCCCCTAAATTCCAAAGGTTTATCATATTCTTCAGCATTAGAATGGCCATCACACAATTTGCAAACTGTTTGCTAAATTTCTGGACAAATCCAAGTTAAACAAACATTAAGAAAACAAACACATATCTCATGTTGATCCTTTTTTTTAATTATCAAATGGATACCTCTTGTATGGAAACAACATATAAACATGCCATAAAATTAGAATGGTGGCCCATCCCTTATGTCCGAACCCAGCTGTTTCAGTGATTGGAGAATCCATCATAATGGTCGCTTGATGCACATTCCCACGCTGGAATGTGATCGCCAAAATATCAAGGCTAGTGTAACACCCTATTGTCATCAGCCAACCACCTTTAACTGATGGTTAAATCGAATCCTCATCAACTGGGGTTTGTTGGTAAGTTACATATTCAGTTGCATGCCCATGAAACATCCAGTCAAACATGCACAGGTAATCATCCGCAATCTCTGATACATCGGTTACCAGTTTTTTTCATACCCAGATTTGATGGGTAACCCCTATAATTAGCCTATAATCATCCAAAGTCGCTGTTGTTTGATGAATGCATGGGGTCATACTAAGCTTTGTATCGTGCAAGAAATATTTGCTGATTATCATAATCCATGAACTGGGTATCCTAACCAATTGGTGTAATTGAATGACGTGTCCTGTTTTGAACACTGTTCAACTGGGGTTTGTGCAACTGAAACAACTGTACAAGGTGGTACCCCCCCCAATTATTATGTTTGTCGGTTTATGTTCACTCCATTAACTAGCTGCATATATCATGATGTATTTGCCATAAATCCAATCGTTAAGCTGCTGAACTAAACCTTATCAGCCATTAGTTACTTATATCATGGTTATATCCCACTAAATATCATGTCCATCAAGCATATTCACAGTTTTGAAGTATACCAGCCATAACCCTTAACTAAGCCCATTTAGATATTTAGCTCACTGGGTCATTAATCTGGGTAAATTATAACGACCTCACCGTTCTCCCTCACTGGGAATAATGGTATATTTTAGGGACATCATCCCCTTTTATGGCCGAACTATTCACTATTAAGTTAGCCATAGTGGTTAGTGAAATTACCATATTATAGTCATATGAGTGACCATAGTGGTCATATGATAGTTCCAACTTCGTGGTTAGTTCGCCGCCGCCTTAGGCGTTCCTTTGGCGGGACAAGCAGCTTGGCGCAGGCACCGGCGTCACCGAGCTCCCCGGCTCCTGGGCGAAAAATGTTTTTCAACACGAGGAATTCACCGTGAAACATGGTGATTTTTCATGGGATATAACTGATGATATCATGGGAAGATATAGCAAAGATGTAGCAAAAATGATGATTCATTGGGAAACATGGGAATATAACTGATATAGTGATAGTGATATATAGTGATATATAGTGATATATAGTGATATATAGTGATATATAGTGATATATAGTGATATATAGTGATATATAGTGATATATAGTGATATATAGTGATATCTAAAGCCAGCACGAGGGTGTTAGCCTCGTGCCATCAAACATGGCGTGCTGCCAGGATATGCCCGAACTATAGATGGAGGTGTATAGCTTGGAAAAGCATATGCAAATGGATGATTTTCTGTTTGCATGTTTGATTACCAGAGGGTAACAAAATGCTGGTGAATCAAGCCAAAGATGCTTTTTGTTCAAGAAAACAATGCTTTTCAACCAATGGTGGTTTCAGCCATTCTTGTTGAATATGTTTTTTTTGCTTGTGAAAATGGTGATTTCATCAACAAGAGGTAGGAATCCAACCAGGAAACAAATGATTAATCTGACAAGCACGGGTATTAATCCACAGTAGCGCGGGGGTCATTACAGTAACCAGGATATTTAGTGATATTGATATATGCTCGTGTTATTATATACTATAGCCCTTATTCCACTACTATTCATCTCTGATTGTTACCCGTAAACACATAATTATGGAACATCACCATTCTAGTAGGTAAATCAATTATAAATGGGCCATTGTCAAAAGCTGTATGAAATTACCGGAGGGTATATCAAGGACTCCAAGCTGACACTGGCGATGGAAAATAACCATGAGGCACATTCTCTATGCATGGATATATATATATATATATATATGTATATATATAATATATATATGTACGTATACACAATATGATATATCATGATATCTCTCTCTCTCTATATGTATGTTTGTATGTATGTAATGTAACGTAACGTAACGTAACGTAATGTAATGCAATGTAACGTAACGTAACGTAATGTAATGTAATGTATGTATGTATGTGTAGCATTGGGCTTTGCTATTGACAAGTCAGATTACCAGAGTGTACAACAAAAACATACATTCTGAAATTTGGTGATTCAGTGGGTCATTTTCGGTGGGAGATGGCTATCCAGTGTAGTCCAGGTCAAATACAACTGTCAAGCTGTCAAGATGTCCATCGTTGGAAGATAGATAGATTAGATCGATAGATCTATTTAGATCGATCTATTGAATCCATATTATTCATATTATGAATCGCAAAAATCACCGATTTTTTTCCCCATTCTCCTATGGTTTCCTTCATTTTTTTCAGAGCCAGCGAAAGGTGAGTCCCAGCAGAGATCTCAATCCAGGGCTGCTGAGTGACTCACCTCGGAACGGATGGGTTGCTGGGGGTTGCTGGGATGATGAAATTGCTAGTGATGACCGGGATCATTCCCGAAAATTCCCTGCGTAAAACGAAACAGTAAGTCTAGGAACATGGCATGGCAAACATGGCAAACTATAGTTATAAATACCATAAACCATCATAAACCATAGTGAAATTGGAGTTATGTTCCCCAACTGAGCGCTATCGAGCTGGGGCCTCACATTGTAGGAGCATGGCATGGCAAACATGGCATTTCCATGGAAAATCCACCATAGTCCACCATGGAAACTTCGATGATTGCAACGTTTTTCACTATCGGAGGGTATCCATCTATCGGGTCACTGGAGTTTTTCTTTGTTCCAGTTGACCAAGCTAGTCTTGGTTCAAAACAAAGAGGGAACTAGAACTCTAGAACTGCTTTTGGGATGTTACAATGTTGCATGTTTTTAACCAACGAAACATAGGGATTTTGACCAACAAACATGGTTATTTGACTGGAGAAATGTCACTTGGAAACCATCAATTTTGATTTGCAACAGCGAAATTCTTGAGAATTTCATATGAGCTAAATTAAAGGCTAACCTTTTATTGTGTTCTTTGCTTTTTTGATTTTAAAAGGGTAAGCTTGTGGCCAAGCCAGGAGGCAGAAAGCCGGTGACACATCCCGCCCATCTCGTCACATTCCGCCCAAAGTTGTTGTCCAAGATCATCTGATTCCAGGGCTTCAAGCAATGTACACAATGGATTATATATATATATATATATCTACTAGATATGGATCATGGTGATTTAAAGTCATAGATAATTTATAGTATAATATATAAAAATGATATAGATAGATATAATATATAGATAGTATAGAGATAATATATAGATAGTATAGAGATAATACCACATTTATGGTGATAAATAACAGATATTGATAAGAGATCATAAGAGATATAATGGATATGATATAGATCATGATATAATATAAACAATGTAATCTATATATATATATTGGTTTCCATAAATGGGGGATCCCCAAAATGGATGGTTTATAATGGAAAATCCATCTACTGAGCAGTGTTCAAAACCCTGGTTGGTTGATGATCATAAGGGATTATACTACCCTTTATATATTGGGGTTTATAATAATCCAATAGGGGAATCCCTATAAACCAACCAGTATACTGGAATGATCGAGGGCTTTTGAACACTGCTCAACGAATTATGTGGTACTAAATCATGGGAAGTGAACCAAACCCCGCCAAAAGTGTCCCCACTGACCCTACGCCGAACAATAGAATTGAGGATCACGCCAATGCGGGTAAGGGTTGTTTGAATCAGGTTGAACCGATTTGAAATCATCAATTCCATCAAGCTATAGTTATATATTTTATATGTTTTAATATATATATATAATGTTATAATTTATTATATTAACATATTATCAAATCTATGTATATATGTTATTGTATAGCCATCATACCACCCAGGTATGCAGCGGCCGCCTGGTGATCTCTGGAGCCGCACGCACGGGCGGGCACCGACGGCCACCTCCCTGTGACATGGCCAGCGGACGGAGATGAATGAACGTATAGTATATATATATATCTACTAGATATGGATCATGGTGATATAATGTCATAGATAATTTATAGTATAATATATAAAATTGATGTAGATAGATATAATATATAGATAGTATAGAGATAATATATAGATAGTATAGAGATTATATATATATATATATATACTAGATATAATACCACATTTATGGTGATAAATGACAGATATTGACAAAAGATAATAAGAGATATAATGGATATGACATAGATCATCACATAATATAATAGATGTAATATATACATGGGGGTTTCCATAAATGGAGGATCCCCCTAATGGTTGGTTTATAATGGAAAATCCGAGAATAAAATATGGACGAGAACTGGGGGTATCCCCATTTACGGAAACCTCCATATAGATAGTATAGAAATAATGGATAGTATATAGTATGCTTAGAAAACGTAGCATAAAGGTATATGTAATAGCTTCTTTCAGGGGATATGCCCCAAGAATATGGCCCTTAGTACAGTAGCTCCATTTTAGGTGAACATTTTTTATGGGATTTGGAGTAAACCACCCATATGCGAATGGTTGGAATCCCACCTATAAAAATGGTGATTTTTTTTGGTGATTTTTTTTTTAATGAAATTATTTTACCAACATTAAGGCTAAATGATAAATAGCAGATATTGATAAGATATAATATAGATATAATAGATATGATATAGATCATGATATATATATATATATCAATAATATGAATGGAATTTGGATTATGTGGGAAATCCTGGTTGCCATAAATCTACCGTTTGGGTATTCTTTAGAGCACCAAAATCGTGATGACTTGGGGATGATGTATGACATTGGGTTTACCACATTAATATTTAAATGGAATATCAGTGGTGAGAATGACATGATAGATGTTGAATATGCCTGCTACAATGGATGATTTTGGTACAATTTGATGCCCCCCTGATGTTTGTTGCTCAATCCCTTTTAACTAGTTTCTAGGTCAATCTTACATGGATACTTTAATCCTTTAGTCTTTTGGTATTAATGGGAATATCTACATTCACCAGCAAAGAATTTGTCATTTTTTGCAGGGTATCTTTCAGATTGGCAATGAATACCCAACCCAGGTTTTACTGAATCCAATATCCAACATACCTGGTGAATCATCTATTTTTTGGAGGGGTACCCAATTTTGATATCCGTAGTGACCAATTGGTTGGCTTATACCCAATTGGATAATTTGTTGCTTAATTCCGTTTCAATGGTATTTTTTTTCGCCCCAGTTTCTTTTTGTGAACTTGGATACACCAACTTGGCGTTTTTTGTATCATTTTGTTTCCCCCATGGCACCGGCCCGGGATTGGTAAAACCTGAACTTCAAGAGCTGAATCGCCCGAGGCGTGCCTGTACCCTCTGGTTATGACTGTTACATAGCCATGGTTAAGTCATGGCCAATAGATTTATAGATGGTTTACCTTAATTCAAACTGGTGGATCTTTCCATGGCGAACTGTGACAAATAACCAGATGGTACGCAAGTCAGCTCCGAAAATTAACGAAGATATCGAAGATTCGTATCGCTGCCATGATGGCTATTGTAGCGACGACTGTGTTGGGGGATGAACATCCAGAAGAATCAGATCTATCAGATCTATCAGCCCCGCTGGGAGGTGTATGCCAGCTATCTGGGTGTAATTTTTCCATGTGAAAACGCCCGGTTCTCTGCCCTTGAGGTATCCCTTGGTATAGAACTTACGGCTTAGTTCTATCCGCAGTTCTTGGAGTGCACATCCATAACTATCTATAGTTAACTTTCATCTAACTATAGTTCCTTCGAACGAAAGGCATCCAATGAAACCATATGAAACCAACTAGGGTTATATGGATATCATTTAATGAGTTGGTGCTTCCAACCAATGACATCTTGAAGCGCAACCTCTCAGGCGCTCCATGGCGCAACAGGTGCAAAAGAGCCTGGCCACCGCCTCCGCCTCTGGCACTCTGAACCCCCCGAGCCCAAGCAGCCCATCCAGCCCATCCAAGCGCGGCCAAGCGCGACGGCCCTCACCCAGGATCTGGCCTCTGGTTGATGGGCGAGTTATTGGGGGTTGATAGCAACCACCAGTGAAAAGTGGGGGAACCATGGGGAACCTGGGATGAATATCATCAGCTGGAAACACATGTCTATCTCTTTGAGGATGGCTATCTGGATCTAGTATATCTATATCTGAGATCCCGAACTCACCCATAATTGTGAAGTTTTTTGGCCAACCAAACCAGGATTAAGTGTAACGACATATGGTTTTGGAAACGGCTCACCATTTGTTTTGATTCAGAAGGGTACATATATATACTGGTTGGTGGTTTGGAAAATTTGGATTATTTTCCATGATATATGGGAATGTCATCATCCCAACTGACGAACTCATATTTTTCAGAGGGGTAGGTCAACCACCAACCAGTAATCCATCACTAAGTGAACTACCCTCTGGTAATTTAACGTAGCTATTGAAAATGGCCATTAATAGTGGATTTTCCCATTAAAAATGGTGATTTTCCATAGCTACGTTAAATTACCAGAGGGTAATCAGAATCCATAGATGGAATATCTTTCCAGTTGATTCCAGTTGTATGTGGATAGCATGGTTAAACCAGATGTTCAGATGTTGATTGAATTTGGGAAAGCTTCAACATATATAAATAGGGGTCTTGGTCAGATTGGCCAACTTTTGGGTCAGCAATTCGCCCCAGTTTAGCACTTATCCTTATATGCTGAACATTGTCTAGTGTCTAGATAAATATATATATATAATTATATTATATTATATATATACATTGTAAACATGATTTAGTTCAGTAAACTAACTCATGTAGAATGCTACCTGTGTCATCTTTGGCCGTGGCCGACACCCAAACGTTGGCACTTGTAGCCATTGTTGTGGCCACTTAGACATCAACGATCATCAACGTACGAATCAAAGAGAACAGAAGCATCCCAGACTTGAAGTCTTTGTGGATTCAAACACATTTTTGTTAATAGATTCAGTGACTACTTGGTGGCTCATCCCACTTAGTAAGTGGGTTATAACCCCAGTTATAAATGTGATAAGTAGGGTTAATCCACTTATAACTGGGGTTATAACCCACTTACTAAGTGGGATGAGCCACCAAGTAGAAGCTTTCTGAATGGGTCAGGGTCTATCAGAAATTCTCCCGTGCAGCCCGGGGCCTGTCAGGAGGTGACGAGGCGGGAGAGCCAGGGATTTCCACGAGCTGAGAAAAATCAGGAATTCATCTTGCAAATGAATGCAAGTGATGCATCATCAAGCATCATCATATGTAATCTATAAATATATATATATATATATATAATAATGATAATAATAATTTGATTATATAATGTAATATGACTGTTGCGCAAACAGTTCAATTCTGAGTTTGATAAATTGTTTGCATACAACAATGAATATGATCGATTGTTTTCAAATTGATTGTTTCAATTCAACAACCATGTTTGATCCATCTGCTATGATCTGCTTTTGTTGTCTTCCCTGTTTGTGTTTCAACATGTTTCAACATGTGCTCGTCCTTGCATTCAGGATTCTTCGGGGTCAAGTGAGTAGCTAATAGTATGGTTTAGCAACAGCTTGCACGGACAGAATCGCACTTCACGGACAGAAAGTGAAGCCTTCATATATCTGAGCTAAGATAGATCTATATCTCAAAGATTTCACAGATATGCGATTCTGCAGTAGGTTTGCTCCTCGCCCCCACTGTTTTTGACGTCTTCTGTTTTTTTTTCTCAGCTGAAATGAGAGAACTTGACAAATTTTGTATCAGTTGAGTTTTCTGCTGGTGTCTTCTTATTTTTTTGTCATAGAATGCCGCGGGAGCTGCTCCCAAATGGGAGAAGAATTTGATGCTCTGATAATGCGCAGCTGCATGGCAGCTCCGGACGGATGCTTAAAGCATGGACGTTGTCCGACGGTGACCGCATTTTCTCAGGCCATGTCGACAGACCTCATGGCGTGTCTTCAAAACTTACAAGGCCCGAGTGCCGCAGGTGCCGTTGAGTCAACGAACGTTTCAATCCGTGCTTGTCCGAATACCCATGCTGTATCATGTTGTGAGGTAAAGCATCTAAAGTTAGATATGCAAACACAGATTTGTTCAGATTGCAACAATTCTGGGATTTCGTGACTGAAGATCATTGAAAGCCAGTTTGACATAGAAACGCAACAGTGGAATCTCTTGCAGAAACGGCAAAAAAACACCGAACTAAGCCACCTTTGCCACAAGGATCTTGTTTCCGCAGCACATTTCCGCAGCCTTTCGGTGATTTGCGACTCGCATCTTTTGCTTTTGCGACCATGGGAGCTTCACTGTGCGGTCACGTTGAACCAGAGGAGGGGCTGGACACTCAGCCACTGGATCGATTCATCATGGATGGCACTTGACGCCACCGATGGGGAAAATGCTGTGGAAACTGAAACCCTTGGGGATCTGCAGCAAAGGTTTGTTGAGCCGCATAAATTCAAAGTGATCAATCCGGTAAAATAGGGATGAACCACTGCAGGTCACCGGTTGCGATTTTTGTTTTCAAACTTGGGATGCACAACCAAGTAGCGACACAGCTGGATTTTGGAGACGCTTGGCAACGTGGATCAGCATTTTTGTTGCGTGCCAAGTAGTAAAGGTTCGGGTTGTTTTCCTTGGTTCAGCCAGTTCAACCCATCCAAAACAAGAACTACATGCGACTTCAATGGATTTCATGGATCATCCTGGTTCATAGAACCACCCCTAGGGTGAATGGTCCATAATGGTGGTGACTCGTAGGGGACTATCGATACCATACGTGATACCAACATTTACAGACAAAAACGGCGACTTCTGTGATCATCTGTGCATGGATGGTATAAGTTACATTCCCTGGGGACGGATCAAAACATCCTATCTTTGAGAGTGAAAACCATGCCTCCTGCGTGTCAAGTTACTCAAACCCGGAATTCTGTCCCAGATACTCAGGAAGTATATGGACCTCAAGGAATGGTTAAAGCATGTTAAACCTGGTAGGTTTTGGCATCGATGTTAACATAAAGCCTGTGATTGGTGCTCGACCTTCAAGGTCAGAGGAGCTTTCAGTCGAAAACGACTCAGGCACGGCAAGCATTGGTTTTCTTGATAGCCGCTGATAGCCTAGTCATAGTCAATCTATGTCAATTTTACTTTAGATTTCTTGTCGACCCCATGCTATCTTCACTTCATGATTCTGATAGGGATAGGTCAAGAGCAGTGGTTTTCCACGTAGGGATGACGATCTAGGTTTTCCACTTCGGACTTTTTGCAGACCAAATCAGGTTCTAGGCGCATCCTTTGGAGAGAAGCGACTTCAATAGATCATAGTTCTGGAAACGTTAGATGGAAGATTCATTTGTGCGAAGCCTCAATTCCAGTCTTCATGTCCTTAGTATTCATTGGTTCGGTTTGATCCAGACATTAGTTGTTTTGACCAGCGGAAGTGGCTCTGGCCACCATGAACTCTATTCCACCCTTCGGCCATGGAGGGCTCCTCAACATTAACGAAGCCTCCGTGGAAGAGCTCATGACATTGCCTGGCATCGGCAGGAGCACAACCGGGGATGGGTCACTTGGTTCTCCTTGAGGTCTCTCAAAAGGGAACCACTGATACCCTTGATCGAAAGAATGGGAATACCATATGGATATTTAACATAGCCATGAAAAATCCCTCATAAATGGAGGTTTTAATGAGAAAATCATCTATAAATGGGCCATTTTCCATGGCTATGTTAAGTAACCAGATGGTAATAGTTCAGAAACCTTACGCAGCTGCAGACAACTGGTGATTTTTCCTTTTGACAACTGATTGAAATGATCGCAAATACTGTGTTGATAGTGTAAACCAATGTAAGACATCGATATAATATAGACACAGGGTGATACAGGTACACGTCAAACGCAATATTTTCCATATCCGTGAAGGATGAACATCCATAATCACAGCTTTTGATCCATATATCTGGGTAAATTTCATCACGACCGAGCCCTGCGACCGAGCCCTGGGAATCATGGTTTATTTTAGGGAAATCATCCCCAAATGGCCTTAATTCAGGTTAGTGAAATATTATAATTTACCCAGATATATGGCACTTGTGATCCGTCAGCTTCACAGGAGCCGGGCCGAAAAAATTGTGGGGCACCCTGCGGGATGGCAGTGGGGCGGTGGATCTCAAGATTTGTGCTCATGATCCCGGCCATTCCCTTAGACATGTGGCTTTTCTGGGGATGTTGTGGTAACTTATGCATACTGGTACGGTAACGACATTCAAATATGTGGAGGGCGGGCCACGGAAAACAATTGCCGGTAAAATACCAGTTCGTATATTTAAAAATCCGTATATTTAAATGTAGCTGCTGTAATTTTATAATACATGTTGGCAACCTTGGGATGATGAATGATATGAATGATATGAATGGTAATTTCATGGTAATTCCATGTAATTATATAATTCCCTGATAATATAGAAGTCTAAATTTTAGAAGAGGAGCTGGGAACCAACCAGTGTCAATGCTAAGCAGATACCACAAATTTATGCACGTGCGTTAAAAGGAACCCAGTTTAGCGAACTCAAAACCTTATAGCAAGGGCAATTCCGAAGTTTTTTGTTGGACCATGCAAATGAAAGGTCTGGAGTTTGAGTTGGGTCTGTCCTTGTACTTTACTTACCCTCTGGTAAACTAACGTAACTATGGAAAATCACCATTTTTAATGGGTACTGTAAATCCACTATTTCTATAACCATTTTCAATAGCTTTTTGTAAACGTTTACCAGAGGGTAGATCTTTACTCAGTAGTAGTTGCTTCGAGGATGTCGAAATATGTCGAGGCCCCATGTCATACCCCAACATAAACCTCGAAAGTCTGGTGCTGAAGTGCCGTGTTTTTGACAAACGTCTCAACCAAAAGTACCGATCTGACCAACCCCAACCCAAAGCAACAGCTATTATCAGCTATTTCTGGTTGGTGCTTTGGAACATTTGGATTATTTTCCATAATATATTGGGAATTTCATCATCCCAACTGACGAACTCAT